TATACATTAGACTTTGAGAAGGAAATGCAAACTCAAGGTTGCACCAGTGTTTGGTAATATGAATCGTTCTACTCATCAGTAGTTAATTCACAGATCTTTAAAGAAAGGTTTGCATAGGAAATTTCGATTTCATTTAAATTGTTCACCATTTAATACATTTATATAGGTTTTATTTGAGTTTCAAGTTGAAATTTTACCACATTGGGCTGGATAAACACTGAAGCTACGTTGAAAAGGCATTAAAATTTCCAACTCTGTCTTGAAAGGTGAGTTTTCTCTCCATCTTTTTATGGTCATTTCTTACTGTAAAGTTGCTGCAAGCGACGGAAAATACAGAATCGCAGAAAGAACGAGCTCAATCGGCATCATTAACGCCGAGATCGTAACTACAGCTTTCTCATATCGTTAGGCCTTTTGACGATGCCCAATGCTCCGTTTCGTCGCCTTTACAGCCGTATTTGATGTTTCTTCTACATGGTCCCCGGGTACATGGTACACTTGTGGAGCTCTTCAGTGCAAAGCTTTGACCACCTGGCTTAGGATGTGTTGCTGAAAAGCATCACTTAACCTACTAGCTATTCTCTGCTTCGGCCGGTTTCAATAGCATCTCTATTACCGAATGATTTTGAGCGCCTCTTGTTGTTCAACACGGCTGATCTCGTCCTAGCACTAAGATGTCTTGAATAATCCAAATAATACTCCTTCTTAAGTTGAATCCACCCTGTACCTTTTAAAGACGCTTTTGAGTTCATCTTAAAATGAATTTCCGTGCTTTAATGGCGCATGGAAAGAGATTCGTCGTAGAAGGGAAGCGGCTATGGTGTGTTCGGGTACCACTCTAAAGACCAACTATAACAAACTGTTACCTTTCGATTCTCTTTCATTGCAAGTCACAAGACATTCTATGCCGTCTTTGTTCTTTAATTTGCTTTTGAGGATATGTTCTGAAGGAAACAAGTATTTTAAGAGGCCCTGCGCCTAAGAAACGACCGATGATTTCCGGCTAAAAAATAAAATCGGCCGATTTTTATCTCACAAGTAGAGGTTACCGAATACTATTCAAAAATGAATTTCTTTTGTTTCAGTTTCGCTTTAAACGAGAAATATCGAGCCGCAAACTTTTTCCGTCTGATAGCAGCCAAATCAGGCCTAAAATAAGCCCTCGCAAAAAACGGTTCAGAAATCACTATCGCAACGCAAAATAATGAGAAAACTACACAGTGATGAAGAAAAAGGCCTTTTAATGCAATATCATTCGATGAACATCGAAAAGCGGCCGAAGTGAATAAAAAATGAATTTTCAAATATTCCATACTAAATTAGATAGAGCGCTGGAGCTGATTTTAAAATAATTATTTCTCAAAAGTCCAACGCTGTTGAAAGCAATCACAGTGATGAATCAGACATTGGAGGAATATACATTACGATTCTGGAAAAACATTTTTCGGCCAAAGTATATTGACGTTGTACAAAACGTTCAAAGTTACCGTGTTTACCGTTATCTTGCTACTTCGGCGAAACACTTCTCTGTTGCCAATACGGCCGTGGATAGCGTGGTAAACACCACTTTAATCCTTGCTAGGCGCTCAGAGACCATCCTAAGTAGAAGAACGTAGAATTGAAAGAGAAAGGAAGATGAAAAATAGGCAGAAAAAGAAAATAACTGAAAATTACCATCTGCTGACGAAACTTGAATCTGGAAAATGTCGTCGCGTGACAGCTGCCATTGACGTCATTTGTCTAAACGGCGGCGGAATCTAACGAATGCACAAATAGGAAAACAACTTCTTCGTGGCCAGAAAGCATTAAGTGAAACAATGTAATGTTATTTTTTCTCAAGCGATGGTGACTTAAAAAGAAAAAGTTCCCGAACCGCCGCACCGTTTTGGCCTCAGCGTGATCTGAGCGTTGTGGGGTCACGAGTCGACGCTTCTGGCCAGCGGTCTATTGAAAGATATCTGACCCGATGTTTTTTTTTACTCGGGCGAGAATCATTCATGTCGATGTCCAATGTCTGCCTTCAAGGGAAAAAAGAGAGATGTTAGAGTACTGTCGCTCCCGGGAACGAGGAACATCTTGGTCGCGAAAACTGAGTTCATTACGCCCAAGAATTAGGTTTTTTTTTTTTTTTTTTCCTCAAAGGACTAGTATCTGGCGCTATAAAATGTAGCCAACAGATTCAATTCTTAGCACACTGATTAGCCCCGCGTTTAGTATTTTCTTGGACATCAAAACTTCGGGAGTGACGCTATTCAGTGGAATGGCGGACTGACGGAATGATGGAACGGAATGGCGGAATACACGGAATATTCTAAAATATGGAATCATGGAATACTCTAAAACGCAGGATAAGAGACAAATCGTTTAAAAAGCAGTCGACTCCAACAACCTGAACCCTCGCTACCGACTCGAACCTCGTGCTAACTCGAAGTAATACTAATTTTTGTTTCCCTTCAGATCATTTCTATATAATTTTACCCTCAATAACTCGAACCATGTTTTAAGCGCGTGACAAGTAAAAAAATTGAAGCTATAAATTGACTTACCGTAATGACTCGATTTAGCGCCGAGGCAGCTTATTTACTTTTGGTGCCTTAACATGCTCAAGGGAGGACGCTTATTCGGGACAGGGCGCTTATTTCTTTTTAGAGAAACAACCAAATGTTAAAAAAAAAAAGCTTTAATATTTATTTAAAAACGAACAATCTTTGAAACTGAAACAGTAACAAATACTGCCGGCGGTGAATGCTCAGTTAACGTGAGGGACTTACCTTGAAACTCATGTTGGGCATTTGCCGATGGAACTTTCCTTCCTTATATGTCACTTTTCTTAAAAAAAGCTCGCAGTAAGAACAAAGTGCAAGTCAATTAAGGTAATGGATCAAGGAGACTGGAAAACGGACTTGTTGTCCCTGGATCCTTCCTCGCCAGAACGACCAGCCGAGCAATCGCCACAAAATTTGAAACAGAGATCATTCCTTTGAAGACTTATGCACTCACATGGACATAAAACCACTGTTTTTGTAATGTGGAAATACCACGTTCGTTTGTGAGCTATGAAATGAAGATGAACCTCGGTTGATACGTACCCGAACTCTTATATAATATTAGAATGGGAGCGCTTATTAACAAAACACATTTGAAGGGGGCGCTTATTCGAAAGGGGGAGCGCTTATTGGAAAGAGGGCGCTAAATCAAATAACTGTTTTGGAGGCCATCTTGACGGTTAAACAACCGCGTGAAAATATGCAGTGTTGTGTGTAATTTTTTCTCGTTCTTACCGACTAAAATTTCCCAGGAAAATTGCGGACAAATGTCTGGAAAATCTAAAGAAAGCGACCGGACAAATTTAGGCGCAGGTGCGGCCACCATTAATTGTTAGTATAATCCCGTCAAGCTTAAGTTGACAATTCTTCTTTTTTTTAGAACAGCCGTTTTATGAAAATTATCCGACATTAGATTCCCGTGATACAAGCTAAGACCCTTCACCCGTCAAGATGGCTTTCAAAACCGTCATAAGGTCTATAGTGTGGCTTACGGCAGTACAAAAATTTCTTTCTTTTATATTTCAAAACAACCGAGTATTCTTTGCCTCTGCCTTTTTGTCAGTCCAGTTCAAATCAAATACAGAATATTCTGTATATTCCATGTTTTAGAGTATTCCGTATATTCCGTATTTAACAATATTACATGTATTCCGCCATTCTGCTGAATAGGGTCACCCAAATATCGGGGAGGACATCATAAAAAAGGATAGGAGACCGGTAGGATTTTTAAATCGATGAAAGTGCCTCACTCATTTTGCAACTTCATTTTATAAAATGCTTCAGAATTTGTTTCCACAATAATATTTACGATATTTAGATAATAATAACCAATGCACTACGCACAACTTGTCATATAAAATTGGACAGCATACCATGCACTCAAACTCTTGCGCAGGAAAGTTGCAGAATGAAATTATTTTTGCTGCACTCACTCACATTCCTTTACAAGTTCTGAAACCTTGGCTAAAAGGTCTCTTTTTAGATCTCTAGATTTGTAAGGTATTTCGAAATACCCGCAAATGTCTTTGAGATAAACAAACACGCGAGATGGATACAACTTTAAGTAAGCGTGACCGAAAATAAATGCGGTATCAGTATTTCGTCGATTTTTGACACGGTATTTCGGTATTTCCCAATTTTTCTTAAGGTATTGCGGTATTGGGTACCCCCAATGCCCCCCCGCTAGCATGGCGTTGCTCTCCAATTTAGGTCCGCTGACCTCTACACGCGCTGACCCGTAACGTCCGTTGGAATGTATGTAACGAAATACATGCAGCCCACATTCAAAGCACTTGGAGTGATGCTGAATTCATCATCATTAATAGGAACAACATAAAGCTGTTTCACTTCACGATTTCTGGTGATAGATAGATTGTTTTTTTTTTAAACTTATATTTCACGCATTTGTTTGGATTCCGCTCCAGTTTGGGCAAATGAACGCTGTCACGCGACAACATTTCCAAGATTCAACTCTCCTTAGAAGATGGTAATTTCGAGTTATTTTCTTTTTCTGCGTATCTTTAATTTTCCTTTCCCTTTTAATTCTATATACTTCTACTTAGGATGGTCTCTGAGCGCCTAGCAAGGATTAAAGTGGTGTTTACCACGCTATCCACGGCCGTATTGGCAACAGAGAAGTGTTTCGCCGAAGTAGCAAGATAACGGTAAACACGGTAACTTTGAACGTTTTGTACAACGTCAATATACTTTGGCCGAAAAATGTTTTTCCAGAATCGTAATGTATATTCCTCCAATGTCTGATTCATCACTGTGATTGCTTTCAACAGCGTTGGACTTTTGAGAAATAATTATTTTAAAATCAGCTCCAGCGCTCTATCTAATTTAGTATGCAATATTAGAAAATTCATTTTTTATTCACTTCGGCCGTTTTTCGATGTTCATCGAATGATATTGCATTAAAAGGCCTTTTTCTTCATCACTGTGTAGTTTTCTCATTATTTTGCGTTGCGATAGTGATTTCTGAACCGTTTTTTGCGAGGGCTTATTTTAGGCCTGATTTGGCTGCTATCAGACGGAAAAAGTTTGCGGCTCGATATTTCTCGTTTAAAGCGAAACTGAAACAAAAGAAATTCATTTTTGAATAGTATTCGGTAACCTCTACTTGGAAGATAAAAATCGGCCGATTTTATTTTTTAGCCGAAAATCATCGGTCGTTTCTTAGGCGCAGGGCCTCTTAATAACGATGCAGACAAAGAGGTTTAGAAAAATAATTAAAAGCCAGTGCCAAACAGAGTGGTATATCACGCGTATAGCAAATTGAACAAACGCGTTTTAGCTTAAGGAAGTATGAGAAAGGCTTGACTGTGTTAATAACGTTGACTAACAATGCATATTGGTGGATAAATCAGATTAAATTTATTTCTTACCTTTCAATACTCAGAAAAGAAGGCAATTGGAAAATGAAATGAATGAGTGATAGAAGTCGATCATAAGTGTTGGCCTATACTCACTCACAGGCTTTGCTGTGCACGCGATCCATATTTCCGTACAGTTCTCGCTCCGTGGTTGTTTTTTCCGTCTCGGGCTATTGCCCTCGCTTGTCGAGCTCTGTGGTTTTGCCCCAAGTGAGCTTGCCGCCGCAAAAATGATCACTAAACTCTGAGACTTGAACAGTTTTGAAATTTCTATACAAACCGACACATTTTAACGGCTTTGACAGTCGCGTTCATACCTTGTTATTGGAAATTTCATTACAATTCTCGGTAAAGCATCTGTAAGGGCGGTACTGAAGAGCCGTGCAATGTTAGCTCCGGCTCTTGGACAGTTCGCCACATAGGAAACAGGAGGGAAACTGGGTCAAGTATAACTTTCACAAAAGACTTCTGAGACTGTTACTAAAGAGATGGAAAATTATACATACACACACTGTTTACAGGTAGTCATTACGCCACTTGAAGGAGGATCATGAGATTATCCCTGTATTAAGATCTCTCCTTACACAAAGTATCCCACCCAATTGGCCAATAACTGACTTGCGTGTCCACAATAACGATCCCAGATACAATTGCGAGATGCATGCAGTTCGACATCAGTTCTCTTCTCGTTTCTAACGTGGCCAAATTACGCATAACAAGTAATAATCCTCACTGACTGGACCGATGCCAAATAATAATAGAGCCTTTTCACATGACGTTATGGCGACCATATTGGTGTTCCTCAACAATGAAAGGGCAGGCCATGTCAGTCTCAAAAAAAGTTGAACTCCTTTCTTATATGAACACTTTCTTTTGTTCCAGTGAATATCATGCTAGATAGCCTCGCGAGTGAAAACGCTCTAAGGCCTATTGTTGAAGTCGGCTACCAGTGATTAGAGTGGGAGACTCGAATTGGAAACCAGCGCTCCAGTAAAGCATTCGGTTATGCTGCCCCCTCTAAGTGTCTAATGAGCTTGATTAGCTTGGGTATCCTGTGCTACGTTTAACGAGCCTTTACTTATCACACTTCGACATTTTCCCTTAAAAGCCCTTCATTCCTGAACATTTAATATCTAGATAATTTTAAAATGAAATAGTTTACTGGCTCACTTACATAGGAATTTATGCACACACAAAAATTTTAATGCCTGATGTTTATTTTACCGTGAGTCCGGGAGCTCTTAGCTAAACTGTGCCAGTAAGGGTCATGTTTGTAATCGCTCAGCCTTGTTCAGGACATAACAAGTCCAATTGACCAGTGATGAAAGACATAAGATCTGATTGTTAAGAGATTTTTTAGCTTACATAAACCTGTCTATCAAGACTGACCTATCAGTCACGTGACACAAGAGGTAGGTGCAGTGAACCTTTGGTGCAGTGTAAAATGTGCATGATATAGGCGTACTATTCAAGAAACTAGCCTTTGGCATGGCTTTTGGTTTAAACATTTGTGGCGGGCTTTGCGTTCTTCGCATATTCTAGACAATGGAGCCCTGTTACGGCGATGCCAGCGAAAACGTCACAAATGAAAGGACATTCGCTTCGTAAGAATTTTAAATTTGTCAAATTCAAGTGGAGTTTTCTGGAGTTGAATGTTTAAAGAAAGGCATGTACGTTGAAAAAAAGAAAAAAAAAAAAGTAAGAGGAACATGAAAAATTGTTGTTAGCAGATAACGTACTCCGTAATTAAACTACCGTGAGTAAATTTACTTGCCAGAACGTGTGGTGTGCGTGTGGAGTTGTTGTCTTGCCTATTATAAACTCATTAGGCCTTTTCGTGTTGCCCGTTCGTTGCCGTTTGTGGCATCGTCGCGATGGAATATACCATCTGGAAAAGTGAAAGATCTCGCTACCGGTTTTCTAAAACTAAATTTTTACAAACGTTAGATTCTACAGGAATTTAGCAAATGAGTGAAACTTAATTTCATTTTTTCATACGTTCAAAGTTTTATAAACACAGGTATTTAAAATGTGTGCTTATTTCAGTGTTTCATATTTTTCATTGTGATCAAGAAAAGCCCACATTTACGAACCTTAAAGGATTAGAGTGCAATGACGTTTTCAGAATTTCGAGAATTGAGCAATTTTTCAGGCAGTTTGACGACAGCTTTAATCTTATTGAGTGGGATTCTAGTTCTTTCGTAGCCTTGGGCATACGGCACTAAAGCGGAAGGGACGTTCCTAAAGGTTTGTAGAATTTGCTCATTTAATTCGAACGTATTGAGCATTTCTGCACCCCACAATGTCAACGTCCTTGCAACAGGGAAAAAATAGAAAAATAAAATACGGTACCTAAATTAAACAAACAAAAAAGTACTCAATTCGTTAATCCAAAAATTGTTCCATTGATTGATTTTCATTGAATTGTTGAAGTGATATGCATATTTCCTAATAAGAATTAATTTTCGGGATAAGAGCAAAACTACATATTTTTGACAGTTTTAATTATCAAATGGAGTTTAATTGCAGGGGAAGACTACTTTAAACAGTGGCAGTCAACTCAATGAGTTCTTCAGGCCGAACATGAATGCGCTAGAGTTTTGTCTCTGTTTGCAAGCAGTATGCATAGTCCCTAAAAAAAATGAGTTGTCCTGATACTGAGCAAAGCTACACATTTTTTGCGATTTTAATTATCAAATGAAGTTTAATTGCATGCAGAAGAAGACCACATGCTTGAGGCAGTGGCAGTTAACTCAATGAGAATCTGTAGATCTGCATTCATCATCTTTATATAATTATCAACCAATTTTGTTCGGCCGTCATCAACGAACACCCTCTACGATTTGGCCTTCACCTGATTTTTCAGTTCTTCTACATATCATCAACTATTATCTTTAAACAGATAGTACAAAGTAAGATCCTTGACTGCCCCTAACCGCTCTGTCATGTAAAAATGCACTTATTATAACTAAAGCGGATGGGTTGGTTTGAGGGACGATTTTGTGGTATTTGCTAATTTATTTTCAATCAGGGTATTGTGTGCTGACTGGCACCATGCAACGAATTCCTCAAGCCAATTCGTTGAAGTGTTTGTTCGCGTAGCCGTAAAGGTTTTCTGGTGCTGACAAGAGGTATCTTAAAACGAGCTACAGCCAATCTAATTCTGGGGGGTGTAAGTCAGGTGACAAAATGAATGATAGTCAACTGAAAAACTCATACATCATTGATCACTGTACTTCCATTATTTTCCTACACTTTAACCTTTCGCATTCCAACTTCGTTGCGGCTTGATGCGACTCTCTAACGAGATCCTTTGTTTAGCAAAAATTTGTTTACATTATTTGGAGGACAAAGAACTGTCTATATGAAAAGGGAAATGACAAAAGCTCTCAAAAAGGAATTTTCTAGTGGTCTAGTACAAAGGAAGTAATTAAAAATAGATTTTGACAATCACATTGGATTTTAGGGCTTTCAAGGTCAAACTATAGCAAGACCAAATTCAGCTCTACAAGTCAGCACACACTCCCAATAATGTTATGCCTTACCTTGTGAGCCTCATTGCTTAATTTGGTCAAACTATAGCTACTGTTTGTTTTGAGATGATCATTAAAAAAGCAAATTGAAGAACTTTACTTTTATTTTTGGTTTCCGCCGCCACTTGGTTAGAGAAATGAGTAACGCATTTTTCTACTATAAAGTAGCTGTTGAAACTGGTATAAAAATGCACTATCTTTGAATTTAAATATCTGGAAAAGAAATGCTAGCGATTCCAAAAAATAAGTTATGAAAAATATATATATTTCTTCTTGATTTCAATTGTTCCGACAATTACTTTTATAGAGTAGTAAATTTTGAGCCACAGTTCTGAAGGAAAACGCGCGAACAACAAGTTCCACATAGGGTAATGGAGAATGAAGTTTGAATTCTAAAATATTGGGGTGGATAAACACTGAAGCCAAGTCTCAATGGCATTGAAATTTCCAAATCTATCCGAAAAAGTCAATTTTCTTTCCCACTTTTCATCATCATTTCCAAATGTAAAGTTGCTGCAAGCGATGGAAGAAACAGAATCGCAGAAAGAACGAGCACAATCGTCATCATTAAGACTAAAACAAGATGAACTTGTTGGGCTGTTAATACAACTCCGATGTATCGCTATGCTATTTGACGAAGCATTAAGCTCTGTCTCTTCGCTCTTGCTGCCGTATTTCCTATGAAATGTTTTGTCCTTTTGATAAACTTGTATCTGTGGAGTCCTTGTAACGCTTTGTCCAACTAAAGTCACATTTGTTGTGTTAAAAGCAGGATCACTTTGCCTGCGAGCTATTCTCTGCTTTAGGATTTCAATAGCATCGGAATCACTGAACGATTTTGAGGGCCTCTTGCCGATCAATGCAGCCGATCTTGTACTGCTACAAAGATGTCTTGAATAATCCAAAGAGCGTGTTTTCTTGTGTTGAATGTGTATCCAACCATTCCCTTGAAAGGAAGCTTTTGCATTCGATCTTCCATGACTTTCTTCCATCCTTTAGCTTATAACCTAAAGAACTGAATCGTACGAGACTGGACAATTATATTAGTATCACCACTGAGTGCGACAAAGTACAATACAGCGCGTGTGCAACATGTTTTTCTCTTTATATTGTACGTCATACGAAGTTCCAACCGCCTTTGGCATCGGTCTGGTGACTTCGCTCAATAGATTTCGAAAGAGCAACATAATAAAACGACGTTAGCCCATAGCAACCTGAACAATTACAATGTAGCCTAAGGCTTTGTCGTGGGAAAGGGTAGGTGGGGCTCTAAAATTAGGAACTCGACAACCAATTTGCTTGCAACTTCCTATACGGACCGGATATGTTTAAAATGTCTATTTAAAATTGTCGTAACTTGGACTAAAAACAGAAAAAAATATACTTTGGCTGATTACCGAACGGGAAAGTAAGCAAACAAGAGAGGAAATGAAAGCATGGTGGCAGATCCGATGGTCAGTGTTCTGGTGCCTGATGAGTGGCGGACAACGAGGAGGTCAAAAAACAATTGTATATAAGCAACATAACTGCTCTGCAAATGTATCAGACCAAAGGAATATGAGAGTGGAAGAAAACAAGCTGAGAAAGAACAACGAATTTATTGAGGCATTCCTATACATTTACATTAGACTTTGAGAAGGAAATGCAAACTCAAGGTTGCACCAGTGTTAGGTAATATGAATCGTTCTACTCATCAGTAGTTAATTCACAGATCTTCAAAGAGATCAGAGGTTTGGACAGGAAATTTTGATTTCATTTGAATTGTTCACCATTTAATAAATTTATATAGGTTTTATTTGATTTTCAAGTGGACATTTTACCACATTGAGCTGGATAAACACTGAAGCTATGTTGAAAAGGCATTAAAATTTCCAACTCTGTCTTGAAAGGTGAGTTTTCTCTCCATCTGTTTATGGTCATTTCTTACTGTAAAGTTGCTGCAAGCGACGGACAATACAGAATCGCAGAAAGAACAAGCTCAATCGGCATCATTAACGCCGAGATCGTAACTACAGCTTTCTCGTATCGTTAGGCCTTTTGACGATGTCCAATGCTCCGTTTCGTCGCCTTTACAGCCGTATTTGATGTTTCTTCTAGATGGTACACTTGGGGAGCTCTTGCAAAGCTTTGACCACCTGGCATAGGATGTGATGTTTGAAAAGCATAACTTAACCTACTAGCTATTCTCTGCTTCGGCCGGTTTCAATAGCATCTCTATTACCCACAGGCGGCCCAGACGTAGTATGTGTCACTGAATGAATATATTTATATTCACATGGACAAATTAATGCGATGAGTCGTCGAAACTCCCATGGACTAAAATAGTCTAAACGTCAAAATATAACAAAACAAAGCTAAGATACCTTCAACTGAACGTATCCTTGTCTTTCCTGGCCGGTTTAAGTGGCATTTTATTGAGTTTTGCAATTGTAGGTACTATCCACTAAAGAAGAATTAAAGGCTGGCTACAAAACAAACAGACCATCTCCACGCGCCTTCACACCAAGCGCTATAAATTCGAGAATAATCGACGAATCCGCTCCAAATAACCATCGGCTAATCTGCAGGTAACGTGTGCTCCTGCTTCTGGCTCGCTTGCTCCGCAAAACCCATCGCAACTGCACAATAATTGCTCGCTCATCAACAACCACTGTTGACCTTTACGCTTCGATATGACCGCAAACGACCAGGTATAATACGCGACGTGAATATTCAAGCTTAGCGACCGCGTTCGCGCAACAATGCAGCACTTGCTATGGGAGGGATGGTACTATTGCTTCTAGGTCAATCGACTGACCGATGGTTCGCTGCGCTAGTTTTGACCAGAAAACAAAAGGCGATCGCGGGACCGTCTGTAAGTTTTCAACAGGGCAACCCTGGTTTTCAATTTCGAATTCTTCTAACGTTCGCTGTCTCAGCTGCTGTCACATTGTTCGTCCAGCCCCTTGCATAGGTTCTTGACTCTACCAGACTTATTTGCTTAGATTAACAACGTCTTACTCCATAATATGTTGTCCAAACTGGTGAAGGAGGACGAGAATTTTCCGCCCAGGAAAAAGGCAAAATCTGGCCCTTGCTATGCACCTGAATAGAAGATACAGCTGAAGATATCGTAAAGTAAAATTTATGTGCGCGATATCTTTTATTATTATTATTATTATTATTCTCAAAACTCAGTGGCACCCAACGATGATTTCCTTCTACATGCATTGAAAACACATATAAGGCTGTCCAGAGTACTTTTGATCGAAAAATGCATTTTAAACAGCGCTTACATAAATTTAGTCAGTAGGGCTAAAAGCGTAGCTAAAGATTTATAGCTTGCTCATACTAAATATAAAATATATCGTGTAATGCTAAGCGGAGAAGGCAACGAGACAGGGCCACCCAACGACTGTTTCCTCAAATACTTTCAATTGAAAACACTTTTGTAGCTATTCATAAAGTACTTTTAGCTCTATAGAAATGCATTCTAAGTGGCGCTATAAAATTTGCATCTCAGTGTTCGGCCATTCTAGAGGAACTTGAGTCTTTTGGAAATTACGAGGAATTCAGAATTATTTTCCCGAAAATTTTAGATGCAATTTAACGTATTACGAAGGAGATAATTTTTCAGATACCTTCTTTCATCACATTTTTGAATCGGAAAATTTTAGGATTCCATTTTACTCTCTACGAAAAGTAGCCTAACCTGTGAGTGAAATGTGAAAAATTAAAAGTTGGATGCCCTTGACCAGAACTGTGAAAAACAACAATAGGTCTAATTGCAGCAGACTTTCTTGTACATTTCCTAGCCGTTGATTTGCATGACTGCAACGTGAAACGTCCAGAAAACTTCCTGGTTTTCACTTTTTATGGAGAAAATGTGGTACACGTTCTTGTTCACTTTTTCCACTGCCGCTCATTTCTTTTAGCTCCGCTATAAGATTCGTATCTGTTCGGTGCTCCTTGGGCAAATTGGATCTTTTTAAAAATTACAAGGTCTTCAATATTATTTTCCCGATTGATTGACCTGGAAGCAATAGAACCATCCCTCCCATAGCAAGTGCTGCATTGTTGCGCGAACGCGGTCGCTAAGCTTGAATATTCACGTCGCGTATTATATCTGGTCGGTTGCGGTCATATCGAAGCGTAAAGGTCAACAGTGGTTGTTGATGAGCGAGCAACTATTGTGCAGTTGCGATGGGTTTTGTGGAGCAAGCGAGCCAGAAGCAGGAGCACACGTTACCTGCAGATTAGCCGATGGTTATTTGGAGCGGATTCGTCGATTATTCTCGAATTTATAGCGCTTCGTGTGAAGGCGCGAGGAGATGGTCTGTTTGTTTTGTAGCCAGCCTTTAATTCTTCTTTAGTGGATAGTACCTACAATTGCAAAACTCAATAAAATGCCACTTAAACCGGCCAGGAAAGACAAGGATACGTTCAGTTGAAGGTATCTTAGCTTTGTTTTGTTATATTTTGACGTTTAGACTATTTTAGTCCATGGGAGTTTCGACGACTCATCGCATTAATTTGCCCATGTGAATATAAATATATTCATTCAGTGACACATACTACGTCTGGGCCGCCTGTGTATTACCGAATGATTTTGAGCGCCTCTTGTTGTTCAACGCGGCTGATCTCGTCCTAGCACTAAGATGTCTTGAATAATCCAAATGATACTCCTTCTTAAGTTGAATCCACCCTGTACCTTTTAAAGAAGCTTTTGAGTTCATCTTAAAATGAATTTCCGAATGGAAAGAGATTCGTCGTAGAAGGGAAGCGGCTATGGTGTGTTCGGGTAACACTCTAAAGACCAACTATAACAAACTGTTACCTTTCGATTCTCTTTCATTGCAAGTCACAAGACATTCTATGCCGTCTTTGTTCTTTAATTTGCTTTTGGTTATATGTTCCGAAGGAAACAAGTATTTTAATAACGACACAGACAAAGAGGTTTAGAAAAATAAATTAAAAAACAGTGCCAAACAAAGTGGTCTATCATGCGTATAGCAAATTTAACAAACGCGTTTTAGCCTAATGAGAAAGGCTTGTGTCAATAACATTGACCAGCAATGCGTATTGGTGGGTAAATCAGATTAAATTTGTTTCTTAACACCTGGAAAAAAAGGAAAAATCCTAAACACAGCAAATTAAAAGCAAGTGGAAAACTGAAAAAATGAAGTGAATAAGAGTTAGGAGTCGATTATAAGTGTTGGCCTATACTCACTCACAGGCTTTGCTGTGCACGCGATCCATATTTCCGTATAGTGCTCGCTCCGTGGTTGTTTTTTCCGTCTCGGGCTATTGCCCTCTCGCTTGTCGAGCTTTGTGGTTTTGCAGCAAGTGAGCTTGCCGCCGCAAAAATGATCACTAAACTCTGAGACTTAAACAGTTTTGAAATTTCCATACAAACCGACACATTTTAACGGCTTTGACAGTCGCGTTCATACCTTGTTATTGGAAATTTCATTACAATTCTCGGTAAAGCATCTGTAAGGGCGGTACTGAAGGGCCGTGTAATGTTAGCTGGGCAGGAAAAGGAAAAGACCGGCTCTTGGACAGTTCGCCACATAGGAAACAGGAGGGAAACTGGGTCAAGTATAACTTTCACAAAAGACTTCTGAAACTGTTACTAAAGACATGGAAAATTGTACATACACACACTGTTTAGAGGTAGTCACTACGCCACTTGAAGGAGGATCATGAGATTATCCCTGTATTAAGATCTCTTCTTACAGATAACCCACCCAATTGGCCAATAGCTGACTGGCGTGTCCCCAATAATGATCCCAGATACAATTTCGAGATGCATTTCGACTTCAGTTCTCTTCTCGTTTCTAAAGTGGCCAAATTACGCATAACAAGTAAGAATCCTCACTGACTGGACCGATGCCAAATAACAATAGAACCTTTTCACAAGACGTCATGGCGGCCATATTGGTGTTCCTAAACAATGAAAGGGCCGGCCATGTCAGTCTCAAAAAAGTTGAACTCGAACTCTTATATGAACACTTTCTTTTGTTCCAGTAAATATCATGCTAGATAGCCTCGCGAGTGAAAACGCTCTAAGACGTATTGTTGAAGTCGGCTACCAGTGATTAGAGTGGGAGACTCGAATTGGAAACCAGCGCTCCAGTAAAGCATTCGGTCATGCTGCCCCCTCTAAGTGTCTAATGAGCTAGATTAGCTTGGGTATCCTGTGCTACGTTTAACGAGCCTTTACTTACCACACTTCGACATTTTCCCTTAAAAACCATTCATTCCTGCACACTTAATATCTAGATAATTTTAAAATGAAATAGTTTACTGGCTCACTTACATAGGAGTTTATGCACACACAAAAATTTTAATGCCTGATGTTTATTTTACCATGAGTCCGGGAGCTCTTACGTGTATAAGCTAAACTGTGCCAGTAAGGGTCATGTTTGTAATCGCTCAACCTTGTTCAGGACAAAAGAGGTCCAATTGATCAGTGATGAAAGACATAAGATCTGATTGTTAAGTGATTTTTTAGCTTACATAAACCTGTCTATCAAGATTGACCTATCAGTCACGTGACACAAGAGGTAGGTGCAGTGGACCTTTGGTGCAGTGTAAAATGTGCATGATAAAGGCGTACTATTCGAGAAACTAGCCTTTGGCATGGCTTGTGGTTTAAACATTTGTGGCGGGCTTTGCGTTCTTCGCATATTCTAGACAATGGAGCCTTGTTACGGCGATACTAGCGAAAACGTCACAAATGAAAGGACATTCCCTTCTTAAGAATTTCAAATTTGTCAAATTCAAGTGGAGCTTTCTGGAGTTGAATGTTTAAGAAAGGCATGTACGTTGAAAAAACAAAAAAAAACCAAAACAAAATAAGAGGAAGATGAAAAACTGTTGTTAGCAGATAACGTACTCCGCAATTAAACTACCGTGAGTAAATTTACTTGCCAGAACGTGTTGTGTGCGTGTGGAGTTGTTGTTTTGCCTATTATAAACTCATTAGGCCTTTTCGTGTTGCCCGTTCGTTGCCGTTTGTGGCATCGTCGCGATGGAATATACCATCTGGAAAAATGAAAGATCTTGCTACCGGTTTTCTAAAACTGAATTTTTACAAACGTAAGACTCTAAAGGAATTTAACAAATGAGTGAAACTTAATTTCATTTTTTCATACGTTCAAAGTTTTATAAACACAGGTATTTAAAATGTGTACTTAATATTTCAGTGTTTAATGTTCTTCATTGTGATCAAGAAAAGCCCACGTTTACGAACCTTAAAGGATTAGAGTGCAATGACGTTTTCAGAATTTCGAGAATTGAGCAATTTTCAGGCAGTTTGAAGATAGCTTTAATCTTATTGAGTGGGATTCTAGTTCTTTCGTAGCCTTGGGCGTACGGCACTAAAGCGGAAGGGACACTCCTAAAGGTTTGCAGAATTTGCTGATTTAATTCGAACGTATTGAGCATTTCTGCACCCCACAATGTCAACGTCCTTGCAACAGGGAAAAAATAGAAAAATAAATTACGGTACCTAAATAAAATCAAACCAAAAAGCACTCAAGTCGTTAATCCAAAAATTGTTCCATTGATTGATTTTCATTGAATTGTTGAAGCGATATACATATTTCCTAATAAAAACAAGGTTTCGCGATAAGAGCAAACTACATATTTTTGACAGTTTTAATTACCAAATGGAGTTTAATTGAAGCTGAAGACTGCTTTAAGCAGTGGCAGTCAACTCAATGAGTTCTTCAGGCCGAACAAGAATGCGCTGGAGGTTTGTCTCTGTTTGCAAACAGTATGCACGGCAGTCCCTTAAAAAAATGAGTTGTGCTGATACTGAGCAAAGCTACACATTTTTTGACGATTTTAATTATCAAATGAAGTTTAATTGCATGCAGCAGAAGACCACATGCTTGAAGCAGTAGCAGTTAACTCAATGAGAATCTGTAGATCTGCATTCATCATCTTTATATCATTACCAACCAATTTTGTTCGGCCGTCATCAACGAACACCCTCCACGTTTTTTGTAGACAAAAACGTGATTTTTCAGCCGTAAAGGTTTTCTGATGCTGACAAGAGCTATCTTAAAACGAGCTACAGCTAATCTAATTTAGGGGGGTAGGGTGAAAGTCAGTTGACAAAATGAATGATAGTGTACTGAAAAACTCATACATCCTTGATCACTCTACTTCCATTATTTTCCTACACTTTAACCTTTCGCGTTCCAACTTCGTTGTGGCTTTTGACGCGACTCCCAAGCGAGATCCTTTGTTTAGCAAAAATTTGTTTACATTTTAGGAGGACAATGAACTGTCTATATGAAAAGAGAAAGGACAAAAAAATTGTTAACAAGATCTCAAAAGGGAATTTTCTAGTGGTTTAGTACGAAGAAAGAAAGAAAGACCGATGTTGACAAACACATTGGATTTTAGGCTTTCAAGGTCAAACTCTAGCAAGACCAAATTCAGCTCTAGAAGTCAGTACACACTCCCAACCACGCTGTATGGTGAGATAATCCTATGCCTTACCTTGTTTGCTTCAATGCTGAATTTGGTCAAACTATAGCTACTGTTTGTAATGATCATTTGAGCTTTTGAGATGATTCAAAAGCTAAATTTACTTTTATTTGGGTTTCCGCCTCCAGTTAGAGATATAAGTTACGCATTTTTTTTTCAAGAAAATAGCGGATTAAAACTAGTATAAAAACGCACTAGCTGTGGTTTATAAGTAATATTTGGTAAAGAAATGCTAGCGACTCCAAAAATAAGTTATGAACAACATATCTATTTCTATTTCATTTGAATTGTTCCGACAACTGCGTTTATGGAATGGAAATTTTGAGCCACAGTTCTGAAGGAAAACGCGCGAACAACAAGTTCCCGTGATAGGGCAATGGAGAGTGAAGTTTGAATTTTACAATTTATACTGGGTTGGATAAACACTGAAGCCAAGTCTCAATGGCTTTGGAATTTCCAAATCTATTCGAAAAGGTGAATTTTCTTTCCCACTTTTCATCGTCATTTTCAAATGTAAAGTTGCTGCAAGCGACGGAAGAAACAGAATCGCAGAAAGAACGAGCACAGTCGTCATCATTAAGGCTAAAACAAGATGAACTTGTTGGGCTGTTAATACAACTCCGATGTATCGCTATGCTATTTGACGAAGCATAAAGCCCTGTCTCTTCGCTCTTGCTGCCGTATTTCCTGTGAAATGTTTTGTCCTTTTGATAAACTTGTATCTGTGGAGTTCTTGTAACGCTTTGTCCAACTAAAGTCATATTTGTTGTGTTTATAGTATCACTTTGCCTGCGAGCTATTCTCTGCTTTAGGATTCCAATAGCATCGGTATCACTGAATGATTTCGAGGGCCTCTTGTCGATCAATGCAGCCGGTCTTGTACTGCTACAAAGATGTCTGGAATAATCCAAAGAACGCGTTTTCTTGTGTTGAGTATGTGTCCAACCACTCCCTTGAAAAGAAGCTTTTGCATTCGTCCTTCCATGACTTTTTTCCATCCTTTAGCTTATAAGCTAAAGAACTGAATCGAAAGAGACTGAGCAGCAAAGGTATAAGTATCTCAAGTATCGCCACTGAGTGCGACAAAGTACAATGCAGCGTGTGTGCAACATGTTTTTCTCTTTATATTGTACGTCATACGAAGTTCCAATCGCCTTTGGCATCGGTCTGCTGGCTTCGCTCAATAGATTTCCTCTTGCACTGTTGCAGCCAACGAATTGATAAACAGCCGAACAAAAAGGTTTCGAAAGAGCAACGTAACAAAACGACGTCAGTGCATAGCAAACTGAACAATTACGTTGTAGCCTAAGGCTTCGTCGTGGGATAGGGAGGGTGGGGGTATGAATTTACGAACTCGACAACCTATTTCCTTCCAACTTCCTATACCGACCGGATATGTTAAAATGGTCTATTTAAAATTTTCGTAACTTCATGAAAACAGAAAAAAAATATACTGTGGCTGGTTACCAGACAAGAAAGCAAGCAAGTAAACGATGAAAGGAAAGCATAATACTCGCAGATCCGATGGTAAGCGTCGGCCGACGACCGGCGGAACGAGAAGGTAACCCCTCTACGGCGTATTCCCAGGCCTTCTTGGACCGCTCGGAATAGGGACCTGTTTAGTCAGTGAATTGTTGTTTCCGGTCCTTTCGGTCGAATGAAATGCTTCCTAGCACCTAGGTCTTAAGAAAAATTTGTTTGCAAATGATGAACTAAAAAGGGATGTTTCCTTTTATGGCAGACTCATGACATTACCCAATCGAAAGGACCAAAAGGAACAATTCACTGACTTAGCCTAGGCCCGGCCCTGGGGTAAGTCAGTGAATCGTAACGTGAAACGCAAAACGTGACATCGAAACGTCATGAATGTAAAACGTGATAGTCAAGTGTCAGCCGACCCTCCAATCCAAAGTACACATGATCCGAATTGTTTCATTCGGAAGGTGAATTTACTCGAGCGAAAACTGCGAATGGTGTTCAAAGAGTTTCCTCCAATTCACTGACGACCACTGGTTAAAAACTTACTGAGCTGTGTTCGGTTAACAGTTATCCGGCTTCAACCATTTTATATCAGCAATCTCTTTAAGGGGTGCGAGAATCAGCTGATTCTAAAATTGTAGTCAATTTCCAACTATCAACATTTCCCGACCCCCCAAGTGGTATCAGATTAAACGGAAATTCCGCAAAAATTGTTTCGCTTTATATTGGCCAGCAAATTCGTGATATGCAGGGTGTGTGAAAGGAGTGTTGCGATCATTGGGACTCCTGAACGAGACCTCAGTGCTGATTGTATCCATGCCTTAGTTTTTTGTCGCTTAATCATAACCGTGTATATTCCTGAATGCAGTTTCCTTCCAAAAATGTATCCAAATTCCACTTTATCAATTGAAGGAATAATAGGGTTGTCCAATCTGCTTGCACTGCCTACACTAATTAAGTTTTACTCCATTGTCTCATTTCCGGACTCAATATCAAGACTTCTCAGTCCGTTTGTATGAGGCCTCTGGAGGCTTATAAGCTTGGCTGTAAATCTTTAGTCCTCTTCGTCTCCCCCCTTTTTCTGTCTTTTTTCAATATTGCAAAACTAATCAGTCATTTCCCTTTGCCTGAAGCCGCAATTAACGCTTGTAGAACACCGCCATCGCAGTCGGGAGACGGCAAGAGGGAGTCCCTTTTAGTGCATCCTGCAGAACAGAGAACGACTCAAAGACATGCACACATATTGTTTTATAAATTTTTTTCACATTATTTACAACAGTTTCCACAAAGTCCCACGGATTCGTTCCGTTTGTTGTGACGGTAAACCCCATCTATCCTTTTAGGGCACAGATCTCACACGGTACTAACAACAATGTATAACACACCAAATTCAACTGGATTTACCATTGTTTGTTCCAGACTCGCGTCTTATTGAAATAGCGTCCTCACTAGTGAAAAACGTGACCAGGCTCATTTGAATGCGGGTATTCCACACGAGTAACCAAATTATTCACGTGTTTAGGGTCATTTAACGTAACTATACTTTACATACCCTTGAACTTATTTACTTCGGGTTGCTGAGCTCAGAAACAATTAACATAATCATGATAGTGTTGTTAGGATTCATTACTGTTCCTAAAAATCTCTAAAATTTATAAAGTGCATCTTTCGGTAAATGCATTTGGCTGACAAACTCTTTCCCTATTTTTCAAGGGCTAAAATCTGTACTTTTTCTTGTCCACCTCTCAGTGGTCTTCGCGTAGTTAAAAATAGACACTTAAACCTATATTTAGAATGATACTAACAAGGACAGAAGACCACGTGCATGGAAGGTGAAACGAATTCCTTTGATCAGAAAACTTTGAACAATTCTTAGAGTACTGGTGCGATATTGAATGTGTTTATTGATCGAATTAGTATACTAATGGCAATGTATCTAAATTGTATTTGCCGACATAGAAAAGAAAGGAACGGAAACCCTGCCATTACACGGTTGAATTGTAAGGCAGCTTAAGTGCCTTCCTTCCGCCCTTAGTCTTGCTAATGATGGAACAGGAAAATTTGCAAACGATATCATGTCTTTGAGAACACACTAACGACCCCAAATTTCAAGTATCAATCTACTTCTCGCATATGAACAAAAGTGATTAGGTGTACAGAAAAAAACGACCAAAATCCTTATCCAACAAATTTCGTTTCTGTCAAAGTTATCAAGCAGTCTCTTAGACTGCGAGCAGTCTCTGTTTTTTCTTCAGATTTAGTGAGGGGAGTGCACACGCGCGCGCGAGCGTCGAGCGGCGAAGCCGCGAGAAACCAGGGCTGCAGTCGACGGACTACAGAAAAAAGAGACTGCTCGTAGTCTAGCAGTCTCTGAGAACACGTTTCTACATTCTTTGGTAGTTTCTGCACTGACAGAACTATCTCATGACTAGTACGTAACCCAGTTCAAAAGTTTTGCGTCCATTGGCGTGTATTAGATTTTTTGCTTATTAAAGGACCATATTTGACTGGGGGAATTGAAGTAGAGCTAGACGACCAAGTCGGCGATAGATAACCATTTTGATTACCAGGAACGGACTTATTGTTCGGAAAATCCTGCGGGTCTGTCTGATCCACCTTCAACACAGGTAGGCTTACTCGTCTTCGCCTTCCTGAATGTCCTTCGCGAACGGCATCACTACCTTGTGCCTCGGCCTCAAACATCCATCCATTAAATTCCGTTTTTGCTAATGGCGTAGTTGATTGCTTCTGGTTGCTCCCTGTTGCTTCTTTTGTAAACACAGGCATGCATGCATCCAAGTCGACTTCTCGTTTTGCCAATTCAATGCGCCCTCCACCTTCAAGAAACTGGGATGGCCTCGTCGGCAACCGAGTGGGAAGGGAGATTTTTCTCCTGCGATTTAACCCAACAAAAGTATTGCTAGCTGTAGATTCATTCTGAGTAAGCTGTGAATCATTGAAGGCTGGTTCTTTGCTCGGATCAGACGCATTCCTCGCTACAATGTATCCAGAGGCTGAATTTGTTCGCGCTCGAGTTGTTGTGTTAAAGCTACAGTCTCCGGCAACGTTATAATTTACATCTCTTTTCCCTTCCTCATATCGTTCAACAGAGTTATCTACAGTGGAAATTTGTTCCAAACCGTACAGCGAGTTAATCTGTTTTGCACTCATTTCAATCTGTTGTTTAACATGCCTCTGAAACAAAGATCATTTCTTCTCGTCACGGATAACTGTTCATTTCAGAACAAAAAAATTGCCTCCAGCTGTTTAGCTATTTAGTAGATTTCTTAGCGTCTAATTAAGACAAAGTGGCGTTGAGTTCTCTAAAATGTGGATGAATAGCTTTTATACTCCTGCTGTGAAAGTATTTACCCCAATTTATATAACCAAAGAGAGATAATACAGCGAAACAGCAGCGAGGCTAGGAAAATAGAATGATTTCCTCGCAGGTAAAGCTTTAACGAATTTTTAGGCTACGGAAACTATATTGTCAACAAAAAGATGACGACGCATAATAAAGTTACAATATTTTATCTTAAAAAAAGGGGTACTTTCAAAGTCCCAGTTTCGCAGTGAATCAATGTATAGTTTGCCACATTTATTTTTCAATACTAATCACACATGTATAATCTGAACTTCGTTATGAAGGGATGAAAAGGGCTAACTCTTGAAATGGACGAAATGGTGGGTGCGCTAGGATTTAGAGCCCTTGATTTGTCACGTGTTAACAAGATTTTATTCATCGAAGGTCATGGAAACTGTACATCAATTGTCCTTTTTAATCAAGTGGTTAGCAGCCATGCAAATATTTTCAATATTGGAACAAAAGAGTGTTTTTGCATAAGAAAAAGTTCAACTCCCACAGGACTGGTTTGGAACACCAACATGGCCGCCACTTCATTAGGGAGCTTAAGCAACGACGACGGCGACGGCAACGAGAACAGCAAAGAAAAGCAATTTGTTTAGATTAGCAAAATAACAACTTTGCACGTGTATCACGCCTTTTCTACATTTCTTCGCCTTCGTTGCTCGATCCGCGAGTAAAACGTGAAGATGCCTAATTTCACGTTTTTGTAGATAACGGGGACACAGGACGAAAGCTTCCTTTTTCTTTTCCTAAACTTTGATACAATCCTTCAGAATTAAACTCTGAAAAAAATTGCCGACGTTTGACGAATTAAACAAGCTGGAATAAGCTCGATAAAGTTTGAGGCAGGGCGAATTCTTTGTTTAAGTGAGGTTTTCGTAGCCGTAGCTGTCGTTGATAATTTAAGCTCCATAAAGTTTTAAGACACCCACATGGCGGGCGTGACGTCATGTGAAAACGCTCTATATAAATCGTCTGTGCTGTTTCAAGTCTTCTAAGTCTCATATTATGCTAAATGGCTCAGTTTCACTCTTAAGCGTGGTTTTCATATGCTCGTCGGAATCGAATTAATCGCCATTGTCGTCTCAAAATGTGTTCACTCGATCAAGATCTACAATAGCTTGCTATCATATAAAAACATCTCTGATGTGATGCGGAACGATCGGACGATCCCGATTGCCTGGATGAGAACTTTAGGGCTATGTTCACCCTATGAAGGATAGCTTTTCGTGGCGCCGGTATGGTGTGCACTCCTATCCGAAATATAACTCTACTCGACGCAGCGACGTTTCGCTCCGCCACAGAAATCGCGCCGCCACAACTGTTCTTGTATGTGAACAGAAGCCTTATTCGTTATGATTTTCGTGGCGGCACAAAAGCTATCCGGTAAAGTGTGTACACCTATCCGATATATAACTCTTTTCTTTGGCGTGGCGTACCTTCGCTCCGGCACAGAAATCGCGCCGCCACAACCGTTCTTGTATGTGAACAAAAGCCCTATCTGGTACGATTTTCGTGGCGGTGCAAAAGCGATCCGATATTAACTCTTTACGGACGGTGAGCAGTTGTACAGGCAAATTTAAGAAACAAAATTAATTTTCTGTCTGCCTATCGTCACATTCATGGGACTTGGGGCCCACACAAATGAACTCTTGTTACAGTACTTAAAGCAGGCGCATAACAAGCTCGGTTACCCAAGATGGCGTCCGCGCGCTGGTTGTTAATTGTTTGGGCTTTTATGGTTGTCACGCACTTTTGTTGTTTCAGTGCAGTTACCTTTCTACATTCTGCAAAAAGCACTGCAAATACCGTTGCAAGACAGTGATAACGAGGGAATTTATAATGAATTTTGCACTAGTAAAATTTCTAGTTGTAAATAGGGTAATTGTGTTGTCCATTTACTTGTTTGTTGCATAGTCATTTTCTGCTAAAATGAGCATAATTAGAAAAAAAACAACAACAACAACAAAAAAAACCCTTGGCTAATGCTTACGGAAAAAAGTACTCTTAATAACAATAGAGTAAAATGAAATAATCAAAAGTTTCCTATAATGTTACAAGTATTATCTGCTGTTTATAGAATATTGTGTTACTATATGTAATGCACATTAAGATTCATGAAAGAAACATCGTTAACTAAACTGCAAGCAAATAGCTCTTGTCTAAATCTGTTTTTCCCTTCTCAAAACATCACGAAAATGTTGTTTATTATTCATTCAAAATATTTCGCCGTTTCTCTTTGGCTCAAATCCGCCGGCTAATTCTTCATAACAAGCGGCAGCCGGCGTTGACCAAATTTGTAGATGCAAGTAATATACCATCGATTCAACGGTATCTTTGTCTGGAAACGCGGCAGCTAGGACAAAGTAAACTAAAAAAACTGGCTTTCATAGCTATCTGAACACGAAACAGCTGAGTTTCTGACCAAAACTGAATGGAAGAAATTTCCTATACGGCGGCGAGAAGCCGCTGGGCTCAGGTTGCGTTGGGCACAATAACCCTCGTTTTCACACTTTTGTAGTCAGTGGAAAAAAGAAAAGCATATTGCTGCTACAAGTGTAATATTTTAAGGTTTAGCTTAAAAAAGGTTACAAGCATCCGCTACTTTGGGTAATCTAATCTTCCAGAGAACTAGAATGGCGAAAATTTTGGTTGTCCAGGAATTGGAGCCACAGAATATGCCACAAAAATAGATTAATAAGGAAATAAGTAAATATTAAAATAAAAAAGGGACGATGAATAAATAAGGGTCTTTTTCCTACTGGTATCTGCATGTAATCAAACACACTTTCTTCACACCATTTTCTCAGTTTCAAGGCACTTTTCTTTTGTTTCCTGCCGGAGTTTGCCATCGATTTCACGCCGAAGGCAATAGACAACGTTTTACTCAGCCATTTTTTGAAAATCTGGGAGAATAGAGCGCACTCTGTTTCAGTTGCAGAGAGACAAGATGTTGCTATTCCACTTCGCTAAGCCAGCGTTGGATACTGTCTTGTTTCGCATAATAAGCCTGTATCCTGTCATTTCTTGTGGAGGCAGGGATGTCAGTGCTCGTGCACCTAATGGTAGAAACGGAATCACAGTGCGACCTCGAACTGCAACTCATTCCTGACTCGTCCCTGCTTAGCGTTGATTTCCAAGGATCCTCTAAAGGTAAAACATGGACCACGTTGTTTATGTCATGACTGAGGAAATCAACAACTGCTTTTTCGTCTGCCTTAGTGCTATGAATCGCTTTTTTAGTACCTCTGATTGAAGTGGAATGATTCCGAAAACCTTTCGCCTCAAGGGTAAAAACCGAAGGCACGAAGGCCCCCGAAGATGTCCCGAATTTCTTTTGTTGAAACGTCAAGTTATTTGGCAACGAGCTTCTTCTCTGAAGACGAGATTTCCACAGATTGTAGGATGGAACTTCCGAATTATCAGAATCCAACGGTCTCTTTTCACGATGAAACGACAAACCATTCAAACTGTTTACCCCGAGTTCTGGTGTAGATTCCCTCCTTCTAAAGATATAACGTCTTGGGTCTTCTTGATAACTGTCACCCGTAAAGTTTCTTGATACGCCTGGCTTATGCACCCTGGTTTTGGGTTTATTTTTACTTGCATCCATTTATAAATATCTTTACCTTTGACTGAACTAGCACGCCACTCCCGAACAGGGAACGCGTTTCTCTTCCGCTCTCAAATCAAAACAGTAGATGGCAAAAAGGTCGATCCCATTCACAGCTACTTAAAGTGATCTGCAGCGTAAAGCAGAAATTTCAATCAAGTACTTTAATAAACTTGTCGGAATCGGAAGCTTATTTGCATTTAGCACTTTTCAGTTCATCTTGTCCCAAAGTACCCGCAGATTAGAAGGATTAGTGTCCTATAAATAAAGCACGTTCCATTCACGTTTTACAGGATACACCGCCATTATGCCATCCAGTGCTTGCAAACACCTAACCCTTCTTTATTCAAAACACAAAATGTCTTTGTAGCTTTTGATAAGTCTGCCATCTAGCACTGTTCGTTTGGTCCAAGGCTAAGCAAACTAAGCGACATGAATTAGACAGCACGATTTATCAACTTTTGTTGCCAAATCCTTCAAGCAAATAAACAGGCGCAAAACGAGAACTGTTAATTAAAAGTAGTTTCAACATTGCTCAATCGACATGTTAATAACGACGTTACGACTGGCGACAAGGTCTCCTATACAGACATTTACCTCGCACTGATACCAAAAACGCTTCGCGAACAAGCAGAAAAAAACTCCGGTCATTGTCTCATCCTACAAAAGACTTACTGAACAAATCTTTGTTGAAGGCGGCTTCCAAAAATAATGGAAGGATAAAACTAATAAATAGTGCTCTATTTTTAGACTATTGGCTATTAATCCAGATAAATTTGCCACAAAGAAAACTCTAGTCAAGGACATTCATTGTAAGATATTACCCTTAATCTGTACCATTTCAGTGTTAGGTGATTTTGTTTGCCAAGAAACTCGACAGTAACTTGGCACATTGTTCCGTGGAACATTCAATCATTCATTAATTCAACAGCCAGGAACATCTTGCTTCGGAAAAAAACAAACAAGATACTGTTCCGTTTGTTTTTATGCTTATTAATGTTTTTCCAAGAAACAAAGGAAGCTTATCGTATCGGGAGCATCCTTAACCCTCTAAGCCCCAATATTCACATCCCAATTCTCCAGATTGATCTCCACACACTTCCTTAGAGAACAAATGAGAGAATTTGATAGCAGATCAAAGCATTTTCCCTCAGGTGATTATTTCATTAATTCTCATAACCTTTTGTCTTGATTATCTATTGATAATGTTACGAGAAAACATACGTTGGTCACTCTTGGAACTTAATAAAGGGTCTTAAAGTTACTTGCAGGGATACAGAAAACTTGAAATAACAAGTAACGACTCCGCGGGTCAAACAAAGAAACAACAAAAAAGAGCTTTGTTGTGGTCATGGGCGTGCATTTTTTTTTTACTATCAAAATGAAAACCCGCAAAGCAATATGACCGGTTTTGTTAAAGTTCGGCTTCATTAAGTTTGGCCGTTTGACCGAAAAGGCGATTTTAATTACTTAGGTTAAATGTGAAGTACAGCTTTTGACATGGGCGTAAAACGATTACATCAGAATGAAAAATATTGAGCAGTGCTATCTTACAAAGTCAATAAGTGAGGCAAGGATATTAAAGGACGCTCTACCATATTAACCACTGCATAAGTAGTTCAGGGTGTGGGTGGAAATTTTTTATTACTGGTAGCACTGATTAGAATCAGTCTATCACCAGTTTTGTCTTGCCGGAGAAAAAAAATTGCAGATCTTGCTGGGTGGTAACATTGGTACAAATTTAGCAAAAATTCAGTATAACAGCTCGCCTCTTTTGGTTTCTTCAAACAAACTCCTGATTCATGAAGCGAAGAAATGAAGGGCTTATTAAGTAAACTTGCGGTGGAAGCCGGTAATTTTCTCACACTACCAACGTCAACGCTTTTGCGTCGACCGATCACTTTAAGGTGGTTTAACTCTTTAAGCCGCATTAGAGACGAGCATCCAGCTTGTCCAAAAACAACACAGTCTGATTAAACAAACTGGTCATGAGAATGAATTAAATGATCACTAAAGATGGAATATACTGATGGTTGAACAAATTCTCTCAAGCAGTTCCATAAGAAACGTATAAAGAATTGTATTGAGAAAATACTGTTACGGATATTGGGATTGGGGTATTGTTGCGGATATTGGGTTGCGGATATTGAACGTCTAGTGCCTTCGCTCCAAAAAATGATCCGAACGTAGCGAAATCAGTGAGCCATTCCCAGCTTTAGCAATGTTAAACGAAGTTGCTAAATCAAGCTGGGAAGCTTTTCTTTACTCAAATACTGAGACCCTCACTTGAAGTGTTTGCTCAAGCCTTCTAGCTTACTACCAGCATCAAACTTTGCAGATCCGCAGGCCCTTGGGCTGAGAGCGGCGACGTCCAAGGACGTCAGGGGTGTCCGCGCTTGGAAAATCGATCACGCTTCTAACCTTATTTCCAATTCATGAAAAAGAGCGCATACATCCGCACTTTTACATGGTGAAATGGTTTTCAGTACTTCACAAACAGACGACTTAACTTTTGTTTTGTTTTTGCCTCCCTTTGATGCCTTGATGGTCTCTCTTTAATCAGTATGCCGTCGCCTCTCATCAATTTCACTAGAATCAGTTGACCAACGTCATCAACTTTAATCAGTTTTAAACTTGATAAAAAATGATTCTCATAATTTGCCAACAACGCACAATTCAGTAATACAAATAAATTAACAATTCTCTCAGTCACCGTTACTGAGTCTAAAAATATTTGAAAGACAAGATAATTAATTTCTAAGCGAACCACACTATTTTCGAAATTCTACGGTCTATTTAAAATTAGAGGGACAAAGCCGATTTTCGCCAATAAGACATTATTTTTTCAATATTTATAGATACAATTATCAGTCTTTTGCCAATGTTGTGAAGCGAGGATACCCACAACTTAAATATGTAATAACGACTGCACATGTGACTGCAGAAACTTTGATCAGCGTGCCTTGAAATACAGCAATAAGTATTACAGGAACTGTCGTTGTCGCTTCTCTGAGTCGTTGTGAAGGTAAAACCGTCCACACCTTGAAACACTCACTAATTTAGCAGTTATCCTACAGACAAAATAATTTTTCAGTGCGCCGGTTTACGAGATAGCACGTGGACTCTGGATGCTAATCACGTGAAATGTAATGCCACGTCCTTTGGTCTCCCAGGGACAAAAGAAGTCCCCGTGACGGTATTTTCTAGAACGCCTCAACGTCAGTATCATACTCCTCAGCTTGCTCTCCAGTTAGGTCGATCCTGGCGTAGTCGTCTGAGTCGATGGACTTGCAAAAATGGATGGCATACTTAAGCTTTTCGCAAAGTACTCTCTGACAAGAGTAGCGAGGCATCTTAAGAAGGAAAAAGCAGGTGTACGACTCCGGTAGATAGTGATCCGGGGGCGAGTATTTGTCAAGTACCTGGAAACACATTTATATGCAAGAGTTTTATTACGTTAAACCCATAATAGGCATGAGAACTGAAGCACGTAGTAAAGAAATCAAGTTTTCTTCTTTCCGGATCCCCATACCTCGACAAAGCTTGCTATAGACGGCGGGCCTGTGGAAGTCGTGGATAATTGAACACTTCTTAGAATTTTTCAAATCGAAACAACGCAACACCAAAATGTGCTCATTGCGTCTGTAACAGTACAGTGTTTCACCAGGCCCTTACAGAGAGCAATTAAGGTAGATACCCAGGCGAACACACTTGTTTTTACAATCTTGCATAATTAGCCGAACCCCCACAACAGCACAATAGGGACACGGACGGACTCAACTGTCAGTATGACAAAAGTGGGGCGGAAATAAAGAAAATGTATGAAGTTTGGCGTCTTTGGGACCATTGCTACACGGGAGTATGGAATAATAAACATATCGCCCACGTTGGACAAAAACTTCGCTGTGACTTGCTTTTGGCCGGTGTATCGAGCTATGATCACTTACCTGAAATACAAAGTCCCTGCCTCGGAAATCCACGATAGTTCTCGGGAGTCGTGTTCGCCCCCAAACAAACCGAAGAAACAACGAGCGCTCGGCGTTGGAAAAACTTTCTAGTGTATCCCAGAACCAACGAACCAATGGAGCGCTAGCGTCTACCCCTTTATACGTCACCACGGACTTTAACAGGTCCAAAGGAATATCGGGACTTCCACACACCATTGTCTCCAGTTCAGGACCGGTAAAGAGAGATAGCAAGGGAACTGGGACCACTCGTGCCATGCCTTCTCGAACCGCCGATACCTAATTATAGAAAAGATTCATCATGTTAAGTCAAATCGAGAGGAAAAGTGAAAAAGATCTATCTAAACGTATTTGTGGGGACAACGTTTTTCTTCCCACGCTCCAGACGTTACTGACCAATTGCGGGGTCAAGATGGCTGGGTATCGGCTAGTTTTTTTCTTTGCTTTTAAGGAGCGAGACGAAGTCGAGGTCTACAAAACCACGAAACAAAAGAACGACTGACAAACGGGGCGTTTACTGACTGACACCCATCTACAGCTGTATTTCCAACATTTTGCAACATAACACAAAAGTTGAAATAATACATCAAACATCAATGGGATAAGTAACCTAAAACGTTTTCATCAAAGGCCAGAATTTTTTCGACCGTTTCGTGAAAAACAACATCACGCTATTTTCTGACTCAAGAACTGACTGACATGATAATAGTTAGAACCCAAACCACCAACAACACTTACCTGTACATCAAACTCATGCAAGCGGTAATGAAGTGCTAATCTAACATATTCTTCTCTGTTGTCCAGCGTGATTCTCTTAACCTTATTATGCAGCTGTACTTCTTGACCGCTGGCGCTAGGAGTACTGAACGGCATCTCCATAGCTTCAAACGTCTCATCCATGTCCCTGATGCACATCAAACCAGGCACATAATCTTTGTCGATTTCAGCTAGGTCTGTCACTCGCAGTGACATCCCTGAAAAAAAAAAGTTATAATAATTTGCCAAAGATTATAAGAACTTCTTTAAGGGCGTTTGCGTTCACATATATCTTACGCCTTTAGTTAGATTCTATAATGACCAGCTCTCTTATGAAATGCAACAAACATTTAGAGTTGACGTTATTAACGCTCCACTGCAACATTACTTACCAGCCAGCTGCTGCCAAACAGGTTCAGCGAGGTTCAAGCTCAGTGGGCTGCCTGTCCTGATAGCGATTCCTATCAGCACACCCAGGAATTTGAACATGCTCAGATGCACAGGAGAGCGAGCGTCAGGATTCAGAATAAAGCAATCTCTGTTTGCTCCTGACTCTTCTCTTCCATTAGGGGTGACAATCAGCAACGGAAGAGAGCCATTTTGAAGCTCATCGCACATTTCCGCGATGGACTCGGAGTAACCACCTCCACAGTCATCAACACTTTCGCCAATGAACTTGACCTTCCAGACACGATGCGGGAGGAACAAGCTGTCGGGACCAAAGTTACTCATCTTAAAGCAAGCCTGACCGAATACCGATTTAGAGCCGTCTGGTCCAGTAAGACCACCCTTGGATCTGTACTTTTTGATCTGAAAGAAAAATGTATTATGCTGAAGGATCACGTTAGCCTTCTAATAGAAATATAACGTGGATTATGGGGTTCAGTACAACAAACATGTTGTACTTGAATTGTACAATGAGCTGCATTTGATGAAAAACAAAAAAGGACAGCTGTTTATGTGCGTATCACTTGCATCAGTGTCATCCAAACACTCTTAAAAATGATGAAAATGTTTCTTAAGCTTTTGAAATTGTTTGGTGCAATCTTCACGCTTTCTATCAATAAACGTGACAGTGTATTTACGAACAACGAAGGACACAACGTAATTCGAGGCTGACGTTACCAAAGGATTTACCTGTATTCTGTTAAGTTCAATTACAGGACCATGCTGTCGGTCACGAACCATGGTTGTCTGAACTACCTTACGGAAGGCCGCTTCCTACAACAGTGACAACAGAGTGTTAGCGTATTTATAAAAAACGATTGTCGGACAAAAGAATAACATTGGGATTCTACAGAATGAAATACAAAGGTTTATCTTGGTAACAAAGGGCAAGTGGAAAAAGGAATTTAGATTGGAAAAGTTAGCGAAAAGCCCGCCAAATATTAGTTACCATGGCATCTTAGTGAGGGCGTGGTGGTCAAGTCGTTAACACCTCGAACTTCGGACCTGTAGATCCCGGCTCAAGTTCCTCATTTTTAGACCAGAAACTGATCTCCACAGTCCGTTTCTCTTCATCCAGACCCGGTTGTTTAAATGTTGGATAGCACTATCCAACGGATAAACCACTATCCAGGCGGATAAATATTAGGAAAACCAGTGGATAGCGTTATCCACCTTTCGAACAACCTGGGCGGGCAACAACCACATACTACTGGGGGAATCCTGAGATCGACCAAAATCCCAGAGGGGAAGGGGAAAGGAATAATATCCCTAGGTGTCTCATGCTACATAAGCCGGGTTTGGTTCCGGCTTAGGGGGCCCCGTAGGTTGGTGGGCGGGAACTCATCTTTGTCAATGAGAAATACCGGTAGATAATAATGTGTGGAATACAAGTAATAAGTCTTCATAGCTAGGGCGCTTAAATTTGTCAGAACTGGCTACGGGCCACACCAGTTCTATCGTAAGGAAAATCCCATTGTTAATCAATACTATCCAGCCAGATCAGCTTATTCCTGAATAGTATGCACGGATGAGATGCCAGGTTTAGTAAAAATTTCAAGAAAAGAACTAATATTTCATTTTCAAATCAACCGGTCTAGCCGGCCAGTTCTGACTTTGGAAAGCGCCCATAGCCTCGGTCCCTACCTTGCCCGATGGTATCAATACACCTCTCAAGGAATCAAGCGCTACCAGTGGCTCCTGACCAGCATGTTCCTTAAGTCGGGGTTGCAGATCAAACATGGCGAGCGAGGAACACACGAGATCTGAGAAGTGGTGAAGAAGCATGAGGCGATTTCGAAGAGTTCCCAGGAAGATTGACTGCAGATGGTTATACTCCATCGGGACTTCCCTGGGAAGGCGACCGGCATTGGCGGGTTTGGTGGTGGACCAAGCGATCGTGTGAGCCGAGCCACATGCCACACGGTTTGTCTTCTTACCCTGAGAAGGAGAGGAATTGTAAAACAAGGATATCAAAATAAGAACTGACAAAACCACAGACACAAGGGTAACAAAAAATTCTAAAGTTACATGACACTTGTCACAATCAACTCATTTACCTCTATTTAAATGCACAGCCCTCTCCCCCTTCCCCCTCGCCGATAAGCGGACACCATAAAAGAATCCAACCATTTTAGTCAATCGCTTAAACTCTCATTAAGGCGGACAACTTACTTAGATGGTCAATCATTGCCGCGTTTAACAATGACCGACTTAGAGACTTATATGCTTCGGTTGGACCTCTTCTTACGGACCTCTCCATAATACGGATACCTTTCTATTACAAATAGTTCTCTCAGTGTTCCCACAGATACCAATCCTCCTACATATTTGACCTTTACAATATAATGCAGACCTTCTGATTTGTCTCTAGTGAGTGTCCATATTATGGAGGCAATTGACGGTATTCGAAACTAATGAAAATGTATGATAAACATACCAAATTTTTTTCATCTTACCTACTATTTGTAATGGTAAAATGACTGAGTGGAGTACAGTTCGGTCTGTAATCATACCAGTGATTAACAAAATCCGCGGGAGTCCGATTTGTTTAATCACGAGTATGATTACAGATATTGGACGACACGAAGTTCTGTTATCAATTAATCATAACTTTAACAAAATTTGTGATGTATAAGGCTCTTTTTAAAATCAAAACACAAGAAATTCCAAGATTTTTCTTTGCTAGCAGTGAAACAAAAAAAGCCATTTAAGCGCGCGCGTGATGGCGTGTACTGTCCAATTACTTGGGGATGACGCGTACTGTCCTCTTAAACTGTCCTATCGAGGCTGAAATCAGGGCAGTTGATAGCCAATCAGATTTGAGAATTTTGTTATAGTTATGATTAAAATGAAAATTGAACTAGTAAAGAATTCGCACCTGCAAAGCTGTGACTAGCCTTGGTCTTTGAATAGCGTTGGTGGAACCATCTCCTAACTGCCCCTCGTCATTATCACCCCACGTGTACACCTCACCTGTGTCGGTACACGCGACACAGTGCAAAGAGCCTGTTGCTATGGCGATGACTTTCTTGTTTTGTAACGCTGCCACCCTTTTTGGGCGTCTCACGTGATCATCTGAGCCGTGACCGAGACGGTAGTAATCCCCTTTACCCCTGCACGAAGTAAAAAAAGACCTATTGTACAAGAGCTCAGAGGGAATTGTCAAGAGTAACGCCCAGTTTTACAATGATCAAACTGAAAGAAATTAGCAAGCAAACAAAGAGGCAAGGGAAAAAGTACAATACGGAAACTCAACAGGTCAGGTTGATAATTGATAACTACTGATTTTCAGCACTTCAGTGTATAGTACAGTTTCTTTTGAGAAGGCAACATGATCACGCATTTTTACGAAAAAAACGTGATGTATTCGTTGCACCAAATTGCTGTAGCGTTAAACATATAGGACAGGAAGAGCTGATGGGATGGCATCTGAGTGGAGTTACAATAACCAGAATTAGAGTTACTGGGGGTAAATTTCAGTGAAAATTTGACCAAAGGAAAGGAATTTTAGTTTGAGTTAGCGGGAAATTCGAGTTAACCGAGTAAAAATGACTGAAAAGTGGGGTAAAATCCAAGGGAAATTAGATAGTTTGGTTCGAGTTAGCGGGGAGTTCGAGTTATCCGAGTTCGAGTTATCGAGGTTCTACTGCAGCTAGTAAGGCCCTTCTAGGAACACCACGCTAACTAATAAAAGATTTTATTTTGAGCAGATAGATCCAGCAGTAGCCTAAAAGATGCGATAGTCGAACTCAATGTGAGCCGAATCTTGCGCCAATAACCTTGATTAAGACAAGCACGTGCAGATTTCGACCCCTGGAAAGAGCCTCATAGACTGTCATTGGTTTTACAAAATTCAACTTCCAATACGTGCCGGAAATACAGTATGGTAGTCATGCCCCTTGGTGATTGTAATAGTATATTCATCACTTACCACGTGTACACTGCGCCAGACTTGGTCAGAGCTACAGAGAACTGGGAACCGCACTCAACCGTACACACACCAGCCCTCATGAGTGAATCAACTTTCATAGGAATCTTACATCCATCACTTCCTCCTCGACCGAGCTTGCCATAATCTCCGTCTCCCCAAGACCAAACACAGTCATTGTCCGTCAAACACAGCGTCTGCGCGTCTCCGCTTCCGCATGCCACGTCTATGACACGATGTCCGCGAAGTGCCTCCACCACTTTTGGCAGTAGCTGGTCTTCACTGTCACCGTGGCCTAGTCTTCCGTATCTTCCCTTGCCCCAAGTGTACAACTCTCCGTTGCTTGTGATGCAAGCGCTGTGGGATCCGCCACAGGCGATGTCCACAAGGGCTTTGCCTCGGAGAGCTTCAATAACACGCGGACGATCACACGAGCTAGGAAAACAGAGGCATTTGTTAAATGACTACTGTGTGGAATGTTTACACAAAGCAATCCAGCAAATAAAAAAATCTGATACCAAAATAGAGTAATTAGCCCAGTACTGACAACAGCTAAACCTCAACAGCACTTAACATTTACTGGGACGAACAAACATACAAACAAACAACGGAGCAAAATGGGGAAACAAAAACACCGAACACACTAGACAATCAAACACACTTCATGCCGCCAAATGGACATGTCAACAGAATGGAGTAACGCAGACATTAAAACCTAAAGAGAGAGAAAAGTTGTCCAAAGTAAACCAACAGACAAAAAGATTTTTATACAGCAAAATCAACCGCGGTGACCCTCACATTCCCTTAGAATTACAAAACATACCTTTAACGATGCAAAGCAGTATGGATTTTGGCCAGTCTGACCAGTTTGTAAAGATATATATATTTTTGGTCTCAGACCTCGTACCAGCGAAATCAGTACTTATCATTTCAAATGACCGCTTCTAAACTGACAGGCAAAGGGAAATTTCTTCAATCGGAAATAAGGAACCGTGAGTTTAACTAATAAAAGTACTTACTTCCGGCTACCATGCCCAAGTTTCCCGTCATCCCCTTCTCCCCACGAGTAAACATCACCGTCCATGGACAGTGCCATGGCGTGCTTGCCTCCAGAATGCACCGCGACTTTTTTGATGACCACGTGTTGCAAGGATTCTATTAACCGCACTGACGTCACCGTGTCTGTTCCGCCTAGTCCCAGACGACCACCGTGTCCGTAACCGGTGGCGTATACCTACAAAGAAATGGTAAAAAGTAATGTTTAATCTGTGCACGTTCCCAACTTAATTGCCAGATAGAGTTAACAAACGCTAGAGGTAATGGCTCTCAGGTGCTTCTCATGTTCTTGAGAATTCCGGCAGTTTTAGAGCGTTGTGGACCGATGCGATTTCTAAATGATTAAGTATAAACGACTGAAAAGGAGCAGAATGAAAGCTATACGACAAAGCAATAGCTAACCAACTCACAGATTTAGGAGCACCATAAAACGTCCAAAACGTGGTCTGACTGCTTATGCAAACAAAAAAATACAGTCGACTCTCTCTTAACAGACACCTCTATAAGACGGACACCTAGAGTTGGTCCCTGCCTTTGTTTACTCCGTTTATTTGACTCTCTATAAGACGGACACCTCTCTAAGACGGACACTTACTGCTGGTCTCAGAGGTGGCCGTCTTAGAGGGAGTTGACTGTACAAATATTTAGGACGTAAAATGCGACTCCAACAGCACAAACCTTTCCATCAGCTGTAACTGCAAAAAGAGTTTGCTCTCCTCCAACAATTTGAACAGGCCTTATAGCACTGAGGGCCTCACAGGGCTGTGGAAACTTGACCTTTCCGCCCTCAATCCCGCCGAGCTGACCGCGGTGATTGTGGCCCCAGCCGTAAATAGTTCCACTTCCACCCCAGGTTACCGTCCAATCAGAGGGGCGCCTGAAAGCCAGACAAGCTAGAATTTACTATACACTAGAAATACTACATACTGGTAATAAACAAAGGCTAGGGAGTGCAGGGAGTGCACATGGTCATGCTCCAAAGCTGTGCTTTGTATAATAGAAGTTCAAAGCACGTATGATCATATTACGAGTGATATCACAATCAAACGCGCGTGATTAGATTTCGTACAATACATGCCATTCGTTCTTAGTGGAAGTCCAAACAAATGCTGGTTACATACGTGTCGCGCATGTGAAACAGCAACCTGGAGATTAGGATTGCGGGCTCCTCTTGTCGCCCGTAATGGAGTATGTTAAAGTAGAACCACGAGAGTCTAAAACAAAAGGCTAAAGTGTTTCCTTGTAATTGGAAACCAGATTTTGAGGATCCATTCTAGTCACTACCTTTGCCTCAACTACCAAACAAATAATAAAACGAGTTTCATTCCCTTACAATCTGAAGAGCAAACAAATTTTTCGCTCGCAACTTTGTTAATGAATATACGAGAACAGTGCACTAAAACAAATACTCAGTAGAAGCATTTCACACGAACTTTTTCTCTCTCAGACAACAAGGATTTCGATTCGCAAAATACACTCACTGGTTAAGCCACAATAGAAGTTGTTCGTCATGTTCTCGTCTAAACATCTTGTGGTCTGTGTAGTTATCGGCGCCTTCGTCGCTATCCTGAACCATTTCCGAGATTTTCTCCTTGACTTCCATCTGAAAGTCGGACGGAAGAGGCGTCCTTAACTCCAGCGATTGTGCAACTCGCGAAGCAACGCAGAAACGTCTGAACCAGGCCCACTCGTGCCCATCCACACAACATGGAAGAGCATCGAGGCCAAGGTCACAGGCAAACGCGACAAGAACCTGTGGAAGAACAAAACAGGGCAATGAGAAAACTGAATAAAAAATACTTACACCTGCTGTAATTTTTCCTGCTTTTTAATTTCTACTAAATGAGATAATCGATTTGTCCTTTTATAAACAGCATCACCACCTTTACGGTGCATACGACACAACTTTCACATATCGAAGACAATAACTCACTTTGAAAAAGTCGCTATGAAAAAGGTGTTTGCCTCCTCTGACAAGCTGTTCCTCGTACTCGTACTGTCTTCGTAAAGTGTCTGGAAGTCCTCGGATTAGTTTTCCGAGTGCCGAGGACGCAACAGCCTGAGGAAATAAATAAGAATTAAGAGTCTTCTCAACACACGCCCAAGAACACCCAACATCTAGTAAATTACATTATTATAATTTAGAACGACGTTACTCAATTAAGAATACGAGACTCCTGTGTAATAGAGACACATCTGTATTACGGACTGTCCGGTTGGTTCCAGAGATACGAAACACCTTTCTATTAAGGACTGTTCCGTTGAACAGAACCGTTGTAGTTTAGAACCATTGTGCTTTAGAATACGAACAACTCTGCAATGTGAACATGTGGGTCTGTTCGTTTGGAAGTCCCCGTTAAGGAGATTAGTTTGTTCAAACAATGTGACAATCTAATTAAGTTCAGTTTCATTTCAGTACAGTTTGGTCGAACGTCAGCTCGAGCCACATGAAATGTAATAAGCCATTTGCACGGTGACGTCGTTTCACTACTATGACCAGAATCCTACAGGGTTTTGCTTTCTAGTTTTGTAAACCTCCCTGGGAAAACCAAATTTAAATATCAGTGAAAGGAAAAACGAAGAGGTGGTAGTAGTAAAATGACGCCATCGTGCCTACTAAGAAGGAACATATAAGCCCAAGCAAGAAGCAAAACCAATGGAAATCAGTACGAATGGTCACTGGCCCTTGGCTAAATGTTTCCGTATTTAAAAGTTAGTCTGAGAAAATAGTCGACATTTCGCGACGCCATCAGTGCTCTTCCCGCGAAACGACATCCGAGGAGCGAACGCAGAAATTCCATACTTAGGACGAATCACTACCGAGATATGGGTAGTGCTTCTAATCGCGTTCGTCAGAACGCATCCTAATCTCGTGTTCCTGTGGCACTATGGCAGACATTTTTGAGCTATCACGGGCGACTGCAAATTAGCCGCCCCTATCAGTTTTATCAGGGGCACCTCGGACGGGAAACTGGACTGCTTTCGACTCGATTTCGTTTCCGTAATTTTTCCTTAAGTGACGAACGCGGATCCGTAATCAGAGATTACTTCTACTTTAATATTATTATCAAGGCTGGATATGAATACTTTTGAGAATGCAAGGGTAAGTCACGACTACCTACCGTGCTCATACGCTGGTCACTGTTCTGCTTTAGTTTAATGAGTGGTTGATCGTACGTAAGATTGTATCCGAAAAGGCTGGGTACGTCAATCGATGGTCCCACTTCTGACAGCACAAGTTTTCTCAACCGGCTTAGCGCCCACGTTCTTTGGCCAGCGGAGAGAGTGTTGAGTTGTGCACATGCAGATAACGATGAAGCCAGGCGAGGGATCTGGGCTGTATCGCCAAGCGTTTCCAGTTTAAAATCTGCAGAAAATCAAAACATCATGATGCATTTTCACGTACATCAGCTTTAATACCTGAAATATCTATTGGGGGTCAATTTTGGGTGATCGCCGACACACACCGCCGTTGAGCAACTCATCCAACTTTACAATAAAGAGTCTCTACAAAAATGTCTTTAATGTATGAGTTAAGCCGAATATTCTACCACAGAGATTAAGCAGCGATGGCTTGCAGGGAAGGACTCTTTAATTTTCCCGGACCTGTAGGAAATGAAAGCTGCTTTTATGCATTCCTTTTTTAAATTTTGCTTTAATTCTCATTCCACGCAACATGACTTTCAAAAAAGTGCCAACAAAATAAGTAAGACACCAAGTCAGGAAACTGAAAACAACTACTGTATACTGAAAGGATCAATCTACCACAGTTTCACAAAACAAGTCTTCAAAATGGTTTAGATTTTTAACCAACCACTGTATATAACTGTATATAATTGAAGGTTGCTTTGGGTATTGGTAATTGCGCACGGTGAATCTATTGCTTTGTAGTCACTAAACCAAATCGTTGCATTGTTCTGTATCGCCAATGATCAATTGCCGAAGCCACCTTTATTGAATGAAGCATAAACGTTTTAGATTAAGTTTTTTTTGTAACGAGACGAAAAAAGAGCGACGCCAGAATCAAATCATCTTAACCGAACCAGCTTGGACAATGAAAGATTCATTGAGCGAACGAGAGAATAGCGGGAAGTCCAGAGCGGGCAAGGGAGGCCCATCTAGTTTACTTGGGTGCAGTGGCCAATCAGAAAACAGGATTCGCTTCATCTTTCCCGCTAGCGGAAGCAGCCACATAATAATAACCGCTGCAACTCTGTAATTGATACTCTCAAAGTCAATTTATTTAATCTTCAGTGAGTCAAGTTCAAAATGAGTAAAAAAATACCCTTTATTTGAGTGTCAATGTACAGTCGAACCCCGCTATTTCGAAGTCTCAAGGGAAATGGAAAAAAGTTCGAAATAGCGGGGTTTCGAAATAACCGGGGAAGCGTAAAGGGGAAGCGTAAATCCAGGGGAATTCGATCTTCCTTCGAAATAGCGGGGACTTCGAATTAACCGAGTTCGAAATAGCGGGGTTCGACTGTATTTAGGACGGAAATACTAATTGGAGATACTAGTTTTACATCTCCAACTGGAGACGGGTCCGCCATTTCACGTGGTCATCCGAGCCACGCGAAGGTCTAGCTGCTTGCAGGGCAAAGGCAGTACCTTTATTTCTCAGTCATTTTAAGACCCTGAGTATTGCTCCGGCCCCGGAAATTGAACCCGCGACCTTCCGCCCTGCATTCAAGCGCTCTGCCGAGCGAGCTAATCCTGCCGCGTGAAATAACCAGTACGAATTTTATGGCAGTCAATGAAAGACAAACGTTTAAAAGAAGGAGCGATGCTAATTTTCTAATAACGTCAGATCATAAGTTGATTTAGAGTTTAATTTATCGACCTCGAGCAAGACTGAGTTGCTAGAATTGAGAGAGAGAGTCCACTACAAAAAAAAGTTCTTACCCAGAAGACAGCGAGCCAAGTCAATAGAAGGCCTCGACTGTAACGCTCTGTCCGATAATACGTCGCAAGGAGCGGCAGCTGGGGGGATTGGATACACTGTGAAACGCCAGCCCCAGCCATTTACTGAGCTGTCACTGACAAATTTCCAACGGAGCTCGTCTCCACTCATGCGCAGTTCACTCGACCAATCAGACCACTCGCGGCCAGAACGGACAGAGACAACACGTCCAGTGCTGTCCATAATGGTCAGCGGATCATGCCTAAAAGAAACATTTCGTTATTAGTAATAATCCTATGAACCGAATACTACGTAAGCCGTGATTGGTCATGACCATGAAACAGAAGAATCGTTTTTTTTTTTTTTGTGAACGGTCTTTTAACTGTTCTCACATTATACGAGATTATTCCGAACGGGGCGTAAAGTTAAAGGCCTTGGAAAAGGTTTAACAAGTGCAAAAGGCGTATTTTCTGTTCATGTTTGTGTTTGCGCTATTTCCGTCGAGTCGATCAGAAATCAGACGGTTCTTAACATTTTGAGGACACTTGTGATCTATAATCGAACAGTCGCACCGTTAAATGGAATCTATCAAAAAGACAGGATGTGCGCTAGAAGGTAAAGGACTTCAGGAATGGGACCCCCTAAGATGGCATGAACGTTGTGGCTAGGCTCGACTTGTTCTATATGGTGTCAAACATCCTTTCAGTGGTAAAACAGGTTCCATCTCATTCAAATTATTTTACCATTTCTATTGGCTATAATACCCCAGGTGATTCTTCATGACCAGCTGGCGCTGACCAAAGTTGAAAGATGCGGAAATATACTATCGACACGATGGTGTATTGCCAAAAATGAACCATCGCAAGTTTGCTTCCGGGCAGCGGCGCGGTAACCTAGCTGTTTTGGTGAGCTCAGAAATCAAGAAAATGGCGGAAGGCTCTACGGCTGTCCGAAGACGAAATGGCAGAATTACAAACTAAAACTGAACTGAACTAATACAAGAATACGATTCTAGAAGGAGGTAAGGATGTTAAGAACTTAGAAATATTTTGAATGAATGATAAAAAAAAATTAAAATAAAATAATAACAGTAATATTGATCGGCTTTCGTATGATATGAAGAGTTGTGCAGATTTCTTTTATCTACCCTTCTCCTTCTGCATCGATCTTCTCGATTCTTACTCAGCCTCATTCAATGATTTGTAAATATTTACAACACAGCTGAGGAAATGACGGAAGCTTGGAAGTTACCTTCTCTCAGTTGAACTTTGTTTGTCAAATTCGACCCTGAGTCCCTCCGCCCCTGGTATCTTGACCACTCCAGTGGTGTTAGTATCGTCTGTGTACGGATGGCTACTCTCCTGTACCACGGGTTGGAAGTTACTGTGTATACTGCTGTTATCTGTAGCCACGTCCTCTAGCTCTGTGATGCACAGCTCAAGGAGCATCGAAGCTATCTGCAAGTCAAAGTAGCAGTTTTCATCACAATTTCCTAACACAATACTGTAGCGGACCCTTAGAATGGCGGGGAATGCGAACATAAAGCTAATTCAAGAAAGGTTGCTTCGGACATTGGGAATTGCGCAGTGGGCACATATTGTTTGGTGTTCATTGCAGCAAATAACGGCAGTGAGTTCCGTATGCCCAAATGGCCAATGGCCAACTATTGCTAATTCCCAGTGCCCAAAGCAGCCTTTATTGAATCAGGTATGTACGAAAAGAGTCGGTAAGTCTGTTTTTTTGTTTTTGTCTGCTTGTTTTCAGCTCTGAGGGCCCTTAAGGGTTCTATAACAGGGTCAGATTTCGCGGTTAAATTACATTAACAATGAATAACTCACTTCTGGTTTCGTTTGTGCCAAAGCCCTCAGGACTCCAGACAGCACCTCTCTACCGTTTTCACCAGCTCTATCAGCTACAGCAAGCTTCAACAGCTCCACCAGAAGTCGCGAATCATCTTGACCAAGGCTGATGGTGAACTCGTCCACTCCATCGATAAACGACTTCCGAGAACAACTCGCCACTGCCGTTAAGGTAGCGTCATCGAGGGAGGCTTCCGAACCAGAACCCAAGGACACGGCGTCATCATCTGTATCTGAAGGTTTGGAGTCGCCTCGAATGAAGGAATGCGGATCCATAAGCGATCGAACTACAGCATCACGCGAGTAAATAATTTGCAGGGCAGTCAGAATGTGGCCAAGCGCCTGCTGGCGTTCGTAATTAGAATTAAGCGAAAGCACGATTTTTGCCAAAGAAGGTCTGTGTCTGTGTTCCCCATACTCGTTGCTTTCTGCTTCGGCTGCAGCACTCTGCTCTTGGGAGTCTGGGCTGAGGCAAGACGCCCCCAGTGGATCTCGGGAAGTTGGAAACATGACAGGCTCGTGCGTGGCGGGTGCCGGGAAGTCAGACTCGGCCCAGGCCATACTATGAGAGGAGCCACACGCAACTCGATTGATTCTAAAATCTTCTAGTCCTAAGACCAGCTGTGGGCGGCGATTTACCGTTGTCGTACCATTCCCTTGTTGACCGTGGTCATTGTCACCCCATGCAAAAACCTCGTGTCAAAACAGAAAAAAAAAGACATTTTAATATGTGACTAATAGAGCACGCTATCGATGATGACATTTCGATGACAAAACTACTATCGGTCATTATCGACTTTTCTACGAAAACGTTTTGTATGAGTTTTAAGTTTGTCGCCTGGTGTCCGTCAGAGAAATCAGGACCAAAACAAGTCAGTTCCCTCTATCTCGTTCAGTATGTTGACAACGGTAAATATTATCATTTGTGACTTTCTATTGAGCAGCATTGTTGTAACAAGAGGTTAGTCATGTTCTGCCGTATGGCTTCAACCTTAAAATGTGATACTGAGACCCTACAGTGTGGCCTGCTACTGAGCTAAGCTTCCAAATAATGCTGCTCGTGTTTCAGCTTAAAGTACATGAACTCTTATTTTATGAGTCTATGAAAGCTGCCAATCAGTACTCTCTCGTAATGCTAGTTTTTATTCTTGCCTGTCAATGCACCGCCGCCAAGCAAATTTCACGTACGGAAGATGGTATCTACGGATTAGGAAGAAATCATAGATTTCACTCACTTGTCCTTGCTCTGTAACAGCCAGGCAATGCAAAGCTCCCACAGCGACATCCACAACTTTCTTGTCTTTAAGACCTTCCACCACTTGAGGCTTACGGACATGGGAGTCGTTGCCGTGGCCAAGGCGGAAGTAATCGCCCTTACCCCTACAAAAATGTAACACGGGTACTAAGGGTGTCTGATATTGCATAGCTCTCTTCGATCATAATGGTTACCATCTACCAGAGTTCAAGACGAACTGCAGCCAGCTATCCTCAATAAAGTAAATATGCCGAGTTGAAAAAAAAGCCCTTTTGTTTCACTAAGTACCGTAAAATTTCGAAAATAAGTCCCGGGGCTTATATTTTTCAAAGGTCTTTTTGAGGGGCTTATTTTTGGAGGGGTTTATATTCGGAGGTGCTTATGTACGGAGAGAAATTTGCGTTTCAAAATCGATTGGGCTAGGTTGTAGTGGGAGGGAAACTTACCATTTTTGCTTTGTTTTACTTTGTATTCGAGGGCCAAATTCTAAGTACAAGCCCCCGGGGGGGCTGATATTCGGAGGGGCGATTAAAAGGAGGGTTTTTTGCGTTACGATTTTGACGGGTTTATATTTGGAGGGGCTAATACATAGAGGGCCTTATTTTCGGAATTTTACGGTATGTTGGCCAGCGGAAATGATGAATAATTTAGTAAATGATATAAGGTTCAATATCCTTCTTTTAGTTTGTTGAATAGATAGAAGCAAATTTAACACCTAAAGCTTTGAACTTCGCCGGAAAAAATCTCGCTCCTTAGTCAGAACAAAGCCTGGTAAATCTCAAGATTCATTGTCATTGTTCGACGTTAAAAAGACAAGGGCTCAGCTTTAGCACTTGTTGATCAAAAAACCATGCGTCATTGACTTTCGAGTACAGGACCGGACGGATACATTATACCCGAAGAAAATCCAGAGTATAAAACGCAATAAAAGGGAAAATATACACTAAAATTTACAACTTATTTCCATTCCTTACCAGGTCCACACTTGTCCAGACTTTGTGAGGGCGAGAGAGAACTGGGCACCACAGAGAACCTTACAGACGCCCTGTCCTTTGAGTTTCTCTACTACATGAGGTACACTGCAGCCCTCACTTCCACCTCGCCCCAGCTTTCCAAAGTCTCCATCTCCCCACGACCAAACGCAACCATCGCTGGTGAGCGCAAGGGTCTGGGCGTCACGGCTTCCACAGGCAACGTCTATTGCATGCTGATTTGACAAAGAGCGAACCTGAAAATACCCCGGTAAAGTGTAAATTGAGTAATAGCAGAAATGTATCGCCTGTGAAAATCCTGAAATTACTAAGGTATAAACCGTAATACTATGCTACACCTCGCTTCTTCGAAGTAATATACAGCTATTCACAGCAAGACAGAGTTACCACTAAAAAGAGATCTTCACCGTTATCGACCACTCCAGAAATACCATAACAAACCATAATGCTCTTTTTTTGTCACCCCAGAATTTTGCATAAGCATTGTCTTCAGTTTCTCTTGGGAGTTAAAATGGCCCCAAGAGAAACTGAAAACAATGCTTACGCAAAATTTTGGGGTGACAAACAAAGAGCATTATGGTATGTTATGGTATTTTCTGGAGTGGCCAATACAGTGACGATGGCTTTATTATTCTCTCCATTAAGAAAAAATGGTTATTTAGTAACAGCTACAATCAACGTAATCGACGCAAAAAGGCAAATCAAAGTAAAAATCTAAATTTAGGCATATCTTCAAAGCACGACTCTAAAAGGCAGCCTTCAAATAGAGTGTTTTCACATGACGTCACGGCGGCCATATTGGTGTCCCAAAACAATTAAACGGCGGCCATGTTGGTGTCCCAAGCCAGTCCTGTGGGAGTTGAACTCCTTTCTTATGCAAACGCTTTCTTTTGTTCCAGTAAATTTGCATAGATGCTGGCCACGTGAGTGAAAACACTCTATAAGCTACAGTCGTTCCAGTTGTACTTCGTAGGGTTTGAGGGAGTAAGCCGAACTGCTCTGTATACAGAACTGCAAGACCATTCCTATTTGCGGCACACCTTACCTGTTTGGGCCTTAGTTGTGTTTGGTTGTCTCCATGCCCCAGACGGCCATATTCACCAAGGCCCCAGGTAAAGAGTTCACCCGTAGACATGACAGCTGCACTGTGTGAACTACCACAAGAAATCTCTTGAACAAACTTGCTTTTAAGCGCCTCAACAAGATGCGGTCGGTCGTAATTTCTGGGGTGCAAAATAAAAAGAAATCTTCTTTGAAACTAGAAAGAGTGGTAACGAAGCAGTAACTAAATAAGAGCTAAGAAACAAGGTGAGATAAAGGCGTGCCTATAGGGAGAAGCTGAGGACTTAAAAAAACTACTGTATCCAACAACTAATGTGCTAGTTGTCAAGGCCGTGTTAAAGAGTACGTTAACCCCGTGGTCACTAATCAAAAAATAAATACATGAACGAAGGCACGTAAACATCAATCGATCAATCAGTCAGTCAACCAACCAACCAACCAATCAACCAATCAATCAATCAATCAATCAATCAATCAATCAACCAACCAACCAACCAACCAATCAATCAATCAACCAATCAATCAATCAGTTAATCAGTGGAGCAATCATCGCAGTTTACGAGAGGGTTAGGAAAAAAAAATTCAATGCACTGATTCCTAACAGCAACAAAAATAACCTGTCAACTGAAAAAAATGACAAACCGTACGCTAAGTGTTTAACTTTTCTCGTATACTATATACTAACGCCGTTTCTTACATTTTATTGCCATGTCCAAGTTTTCCATCTTCTCCTTCTCCCCAAGAGAACAGTTTTCCTTCGATTGTGATGGCCATGGCGTGTCGTCCCCCAGAATGCACTGCAACCTTCTTTACCACGAACGGACTTAAAGTGTCAATCTGTCGGGGCACAAGCACGTTACCGGAAATGGGTCCCAGACCTAAACGGCCGTTAGTGGACTCTCCACAAGCGAACACTTTGCCTTCCAAGGTTACAGCGAACAAACTTTTTGAGCCCCCACTGACTTGCTTGACTTTAAGACTCGATAAAACGTCGGACACTGATGGCATCTTGATCTAAATAATAAGGTTAAAAAGAGATAAAGTCATTTATCAAACATTTGTAAGTTTTTCAGTGTTTGGGAAGCTGATAGTTCTTCTCGAGTTCTATCAAGATGGAAAGAAGACGTCCTATCTGGTTTTAGTTGCTGTCAGAAATAAGCCAGTCACATCCTTCTAGTTAAGCCTGTCCTAGTCATTCACATAGTTTATTCGCTCACTATACAATATCCATCTCCATTTTTTTCTTCATCTGCTCGCCAGTTTACGCTGTCCCATTAAAGTACAAATCCCGTGATGTCCTTCACAAAAACTACTCACTTCATCTCCTATTTAAAACAGGTATGTTTTTCATTTTACCGGCAGTGTCCTCTGTTAACTTAAGCAGTGTCCCATATTAACTAACACTTCCCATGTACCATTTCAATCCCCAAGTTTACATACGCAGGCCCTTTACTACTCCAGCCGCAACCTACAACAGAGGTAAAAAAACTTGGGACACTGTGGAAAAACCCTTCCAAGGGCTTCTTACATAGGCCTCTGTCTGCTCCAAATCACAATTTTTTGATCGGCTTCGCTTCATCCCTTCACCCACTCCTACCACTACAGGAATGTTGTGCCCAAAAATGGAATCATTTCTGCCCAGTTTGTTCAAGATTCAACACTGTTTGTTGTAAGAGTGGGAGGTCTTTAGTTTAAATAATATCACTGGAAAGGTCCCAACACTTTTGACCTCCATTGCATATTAGGCCAGTAACGTCACGTCGACCTACCTTGGATCCTTTCAGACCTCCCAACTGATCCTTGTCATTGAGACCCCACACAAACACCTTGACTTGCCCCTCCGGTGTTGGTTCCACGGTGGTTGCAGGCTTTCTCCTCAGCGCTCTTCTCCGTCTGGCTGCTTCATCTTCTTCGTCTAACGCTAGGAAGGAAAAGCTGGCAGCCATATCATCTTCATCCGCTTTAGCACGAGCCGTCAGACTGATTCCATGAATCTTGCAATCGATACCACTACTCTTACACTGGCGGATGCCGATTTCCAAGAAGCGATATTCCTGCAATGTAACAACAGTTAGCGAGTCAGGGCCCGTTTACTGTATATGGAACTCCTGGGTAGAAGAGTCACTCGCCTGCCCAAGCTACCTCAGGCGAGCCAACTTTTCCTACATTTCCTTACAAAGCGTGGCAAACCTTTACGTGGGAACAAAAAGTCGGCTCGTTCAGAAGGCTGGTCATCCTTTTTCGACGGTAGGGTCACCCTCCAAGATGGCCCAACTTTTTTCCTTATAAACAATTTGGCTCGCCCAGTCGGGTCAACTCGGTCAAGGCGAGACAATCTGAGCATGCGCGAGCGCTGCTGCCTCGGGCGAAGGGGTCAAATTTGTTCCCTCATAAACGTTTGCTTATGCTCACTCAGCTGGGAGGTTGACCCTCTTTTTCAGGACAGTTTTTCCCCCATATCACAGACGACTTTGGGAGGAAAGGGTAGAATCTATTTTCAGTATTTAAATGATAAGCACAAAAACGACACTCGCCTCTGGGGCGTCTTCGAGTAGGGTGACTACGGAATCCGTGGCACTGATATGAACAGTTTTAATTTCCTTCAGCATCTGAATGCTGTCCCCAGCTGAAATGACCACCACAGACGGCATGTAGCTACTGTCTGAAGGATCCACTTTCATGGTCAACCGTTGGATTAAAAGATCGGGATACAGCTCCATACGTATCCAGTGCTGTTTTAAGAGAAAACAAAATAAATTATAAATTCACAAGTGGACACAAGAGGTAACAAGCCTTTTCTTACATTGCCTCCGCGCAGACGTTCTTTTGGATTGTCACGCAATCCTCTGTGGGGAAGGAACGCGTGACGAAACCCTGAGAAAGTCTGCGTAGGAGGTTATCCCTTCCATTGATGAGCTTAGCAGACTTTCGCAATCTGTCAGGTGTGGGCTGCCACTGATAAATCAAGGAATAGGGTATACACTTGTGCGAGTTCGGGGAAGATTTTGGCGACGAAGCCGCCATCGCACGAGAACATTCCTCGCGGGATGGCGTTCCGCCGCCGCCACCAAAATTTGCCCCGAACTGGCACAAGCGAGCTGGCTATCGGCACGATGACTTTTGGAGCAGACAGGTGCAGATTGTCTAGTATTATAGCTGTAATTTGACACTAACCTATGCATGAAATCCGAAGCCGAGTTAAAATGAAAAAGAAGAGGAAGAATGAAAAGAAAAGAAAAGAAAAACGGAAAAAGAAAAACCTGGAGTCTGCCCAGCCTGAGGAAATTGCCGACATTTCACGACCCCGCCAACGGGTTTCCTTCCTAGCGAAATGACATCTGATAGCGTGGTACTACCCAGATCTGGGTAGTGCTTCTGATAGGTTGTTATCGTCACGAAACGTTGGCTCTTCTCTCAGACTACAGTTTGCCCTATACGTTTTTAAGCTTTTACCTTTCCCTGGGATCCTGCAGACTGCCAATACGACTCCGTACCATCAATCAATCTGCCTGCTTGGCTTTCACGCGAGGACACCGTAAGGTTCTTTACCAGCCGGTCCCATTCTTTGACGATATGCTCCGGGCCACTAAATCCCCCGGATACTACCTTTTTCTTTCCCCGGCCAGCTTTTCCAGCGTTGACCGGGATACTGCTTGGCTCCTCAAAGCGGTGGAAAGAATGGCGATGGTTACGGCGCAGTCTAAAGCAAGTTTCACAGTAGTTGAAATCTGGACATGACTTGCACTTGTAGCGAGGACCTTCGATCGGCTCCATATGACAGCCATCACACCTAAGACAAACAGTTCAAAGAAGAGACAGCGGTTTCTCATCAAGCAACGTTGTTATAGGTAACGAAAGGATCGCTAATCCAGACTGTGATAAGGGGGAGGGGGGAAGGTACTCATTCAGACCTTGTGATAGGGGCCAGGGGACCCTTGTTCAAAACTTGTGATAAAAGAGGGGGGTTCATTCAGAACTTGTGATAAAGTGGTGGGAGGCTTAATGAGACCTTGAAATGAAAGTCGAGGGAATAGTGCTCATTTTAAAAACAACCGTGATTTACGCCGGCGATCTCTAATGACCATTCTGTTATGTGTTTTCGTCAACACTCGGACATCGTCTGTTTCAAACCACCCACCTTATGCGAGGATGTGTTGCAGGTACGACTTCCATCTCAGCGATTAGCCCAGTCCAGTTGGTTTGCTGTGGGAAGTCTACCTTGACATCTTTACCGTTTGGACTGATAGACACCACAGTACCCACGCTGCCATGGTTCACAGATCCCCACTTGTATTTGGGCGTGGTCACGGAGGCTTTGACCCGTACACGGTCACCAACTTTGATCAGCTCACGCCGGGCTGCAAAAGAGCAAAAATAGTGAGATTTTATAATTACCTGAATCCCACAACAAAACTGCAGTCCTACATCCTAGCATATCAAAGTCTCAGAATCTCTTAAAACACAGACAGTCTTACCATAGGAGTCGTGTCCTAACAGCTCCACGTGCACGTATCTCACCCAGTACGTTCCGTTCTTTTTCTGCCAATCTCCTTGTACGTTTAGATCGTGAAGACCATCACGGTCGAGCTGAAATAAATGACACAAAGACTCAACGATTTCACTCAAGGAGTCAGATATGGAGACTGCTAGCGGATACTATTCTGCCGCATGGTGATTTGGGTGGGGAAGGGGGCAGGACTTAGTGGATTACAGGAAACTGAAGTTTCAATAGGGGCCTTTAGCATCAGGTTTTTCGTGGGAAACGGCAAACCGCAAATTGTCACGTGACCACGGCCTTGCGGTCACGTTTGCAGTTTGCAGTTTGCAGTTCACGTTTGAACCGCAGGAAGGGCTTCCAGCGGTAAGTGATTTACGGCAAGGTTTTTTGCTACAAACAATTGTACAGCCTCGCGTTTTAAAGGTATGAACTAGCTTTTTGTATCCGTTTGCGATGTGTTTGTTGGATTTCTGATCTCGAATCAATGAATTATTGCTGATTTCTGGGCGATTAAAGTGATGCACTTCGACTTAATGAAAACAACATGGCGGCCCTAAACAATGAACGCGTAGTTTAAATCAATTTTATATTCCTTTCTGCCGTACTAACAATGGAAAGTATTCTTTTCCAATCCAGAGTTAATTTTTTTTCTATCTTGTTACTGAATTCATAACTTAACTCAGTCTCTGTTTGGTTCCTATTTTTAACGTATCACTCCGCGAATATCACTTTATTTTGCTTATTTCTTTTAGACTGGGGAGCTCAGGCTTCATAAAGCCTTCTGGTTTCTTCTGGGCTCCCTCGCAACCTTACAATTCCTATATGTATTCTTGTACTGTATTGTATTTTGGCTAAATAAAAGTGAACTGAACTGAACTGAACTGAACGCCTTGCTAAAGTTTGAAACCTCGGCAACGCGAAACTGCAAACGCGTAACTGCGGTTTGCGGTTTGCAGTTTACCTGATGCTAAAGGTCTCTAACGCCTATCGTTACTGTTAAAAGTACCATTATTTGACCATCATTTACTGCACTATTGTTTTTGGGATTCAATTGATGTGGAGACATCCGACATGGGCTGGTTGTCATAAAATTATCCGGTCATAATCGTCCAAAAAGACCAAGGCGATGAAGGCGATCCGGATTATCATAGGGAAATCCGTCAGGCTTAAGTCCTAAAATGTAATGGTATAAATCAAGCAATACCAACACAATGGGCAAGCTTTCGTGAAAAACAGAAGCACGTACCTTGATAACCCGCCCTACGTCTCCTTCGTGCACCTCCTCATAAGTTCTACAGCAGCGCACCATCATGCCCACCTGTATGTTGTCTCGAACATACCGCGCGTATTCATCGTTACTGGACAGATCACTGCGCCGCTTGAACTCAGTAGGCAGAGCAAAAGTCTCGCCTTCACTTGAGCTACTATCTGTGTCGCTGGTGGACAATGCGTCGCTGTCATCATCATCATCATCACCGTCTGAGGAGTCATCGCTGGATGATAACTCTGGTGGCGCTTCTTGTCGGTCAGGGCGCTCAGGAACCTGTCAACCGAAGTGCAATAATAACAAAAAATAGTAAATATCCACCTCTTTCAGTTACTGACTCGCTATTATAGCCAAGATCAGTTTTGCTTTCCTAAAACAGGATTCAGCAATGTAAGGAAATATCGTCAAACGATCTTGGTAGTAAGTCAACTGACACAGGGTTCAACTTTGTGATCAACTGAAGTTGCAATACTTGCAATACTTGAACACTGTAGCGAGCCATATTTAATATTGAAGTACGCCACTCATCAGATTACAGGTTGAATTTAGGAGACTGCGGACGTTCCCAGGTTAAGTCTAGCTCTGATCACAGGATGAGTAGACCTTTCCACGGTTTTTTCAACTTTTGACGAGCACAAGTTAGGGAAAATCTGTCACCTCCGCTGGAAATTAGTAAAACTGCCAAGTTAGAAAGTGATTGGTTGAAAACTAACGAAAATATAACTCCTCAAGGTCGCACAATTTTACAGACGTTTGTATGGAGGAAGGGGGGGGGAAATTTACCCCCCACCATACAAACGTCTGTAAAAAACCGTGGACGGGGCTATTGCTTCAGAGTTAAAAAACCAACAGACGGGTCTTAGCCCTACCTAAGCCAAGAATTTTTCAACAGTTTAATTAAATTTCTTTCCATATTAAAGCGTTACCATTATCGCCTTGAGTTTATTTATGACCAAACCATTGAGTCGTACCTCAATATCAGGATGGTCAATAAGCCAAGCTACAACTAACTCGGCCCTGGGCTCCTCCTCATCCGCCAGCTCTTTCAGTGCATACTCCGCACGGCTTCTAGAGAATCCCATTTCTACCAGTTGTTGCACCAACGGTGGGGGAGGGGGTGGAGTGGGCTTCCTTGTTCGGGCCTTCTTTTTCTGCAAATGCTTTGATTTGGAAGTTTTCCTGGAGGTGGAGGACTGGGGTGGGGGCCTCTCTTGCTCGGGTCCAGTCTCTGACACAACTGGTGTTGGAGGCTCGGATGGGCGGCTTGCCTCGTTGGCAAGGAATTGACAAGCAGCCAGGGCTGCGGCCTGATTCACAAGTAAAATCAAACAGATTGAGTCACACAAGAGACGGATACTTTAGTGACTATCAAAGCAAGAGTACTACGTTATTTAACAACGTAGCAAGCCAAACATAACAAACTAGAAACTCAAAGTGGCCTAGGAAACCACTATGTTCCAAAAGACAACTTCTACGATGCCCAAATGTTACTGCCTTCTACGCAAATCCATTTCGTCTCTCCTTTCAGCTTCTAATTCAGTAATCCCAGCGAGGTTCAAATAAGAAAGATACAATTTGTACAAGAAATTAAAAATTTGAAGGGATCTGGTAGTGATAGTAGAATGACGTCATCGTGGAAATGGAATTCTGCCACCATTGGGGCATTTTTTATACGGAGTTTAGCCAGTGTTGAACAAAACAGCGTTCTTATTCATTTTCAATTTGTCCAACGCTTTTATCTGATCACCGTTTATCGTGAACACTTTCATGAGAGAATATAGCAAAGACTACAAAGGCACTGATCTTTTTAAAATAACTCACTAAGGAAGAGACCTGGAGGTCCAAAGATTTCTTACACCGCGGCCAAAGTTCGACTTCATTCAAATAACCGATCTTTGGTGTTTAGAGGATACAGCCAACTCTCCCTTTTACGGACACCTCTGGGAACGGTACTTAGTGTCCGTCTTATAGAGAGTCAAATAAAGGAAGAAAAGAAAGAAAGGGACCAACTCTAGGTGTCCGTTTTACAGAGGGGTCCTCTAAGAGAGAGAGAGAGAGAGAGTCGACTGTAAATGCTTAAGGCTGAAATGTACCTCTAACTCTTCCCTATCGAAGAGGGCCTTGATAGGTGAAGGTTTGATAGCAGAACACATAAGTTGCTGCAAGGAGAATGTGCTGCTGCCACCATCTGAGCTCTCAGCCTGATGATTAAGGATTTGCCTCAAGTTGTCCTGCCTACTGCAGAGCACACGAGCAGCCTTAAGAAGACCAAGGGTAATCTGCTGCTGTCTAAGCAGTGTCGTGTCCACATCTTCGCCTAAACGGAAACAAAATGAAATACAGTTGAATCTTCATTAAGCGGCTACTCTCGGAGTAACGACAAGGCGTCGCATTATATCCAGCGTTGCAAACACGAAAAATGGAATTTGGAAAACTGTTAGGCTAACAAGTTTTTTGAAAAACTAAATTATTGATCTGTATCAATCTTCTTTAATTTGTCCGTCCGTGACTTCGAGTACAACAAGAGAGCACTGTAAACTCAATCTTCGGTTGTTGTTCTGCGTGCTTTAAAAGCGACACTCAGAGAAAAGCATTTTTCCCTATCATCGTATACTTACCACCCATTTTAGCGGGGATGAGTGGTCTAACAGGGGGACATCTCGCAGATCCCTCCACTCCATCCTCTCCTGGCACTGCTGGCAGCTGGAAGTCCTCTTGATCTGTTTCCGCAGTTTTCTTTCCTGTCCCAGCCAGTCTCACAAGTGAAGCCCAGATCCCTAATGACGCATCCGACATTGGAAGATTATCCGCTGAAAACGGGATAACTGGAACCTAAAAAGACAATGTTGTACAAATCTACATTATTTCTGTAAAATGGACCGTAAAGTTCTATGTTCAGGGTTCGTACCCTTTTTTGAACAAAAACTTCAAGGACTTTTCAAGGACTTTCAAGGACACATTTCGCATTTTTCAAGGACTCCATTCAGTGCAAAAAAGAGATTTGAGTCTATGTCTTTTTTAGTTCTACTACAACATGAGCAATTTTATCCTGAAGGTCTTTCATATTAGGTACTTGAGAATGTGGGTTGGATAAAGTTAGCACCGAAATTCAAGGACTTTCCAGCACCGACTACAATTTTCAAGGACTTTCAAGGCCTTGAACTTTTTATTTCAAATTTCAAGGACTTTCAAGGACTTTCAAGGTGCGTGCGAACCCTGTATGTTTAAGTGGCGCTTGAATCAAATACAGAAAATAAAGGTTGATTTCCACTGACGCATGTTTGGCTGCGCACGTTAGCGCACGTCAATTTTAATAACGTAAATAAAATAGAGGCAAGCTAAAAAGTGCTGAGCTTGAACGAGAAGATGCATTGCCTCTATTTTTATGATTTCCGAACGTAAATTCTACGCACGTACGCACGTAAAAATTAAGCGACACTGGAAATCAACACTTAGTTGTGTGTCAAACATGAACTCTTGGAAATGATCCACAACATTTGCGCTCAATTACGTCCTTACCGGTTTAACCTGTGATATCGAGCATATCTTAGCCTTCTGTTGACCTTCACACTGCACAGTAACTTTTCCATTGGGAGCGATTCTACAAACTGTCCCAGATCCCCACTCCTTATGCTGCACCACTCCCCCAAGCCTAGGCCTGCTGTCCACGCCACCGATAACCGCTAACACGGCCATCACTGGACCCTGGTTCACTGGCTCCTCTGTTGCCTTCTCAGAATCCTGAATTGAAGACAAAACAACACAGGATTCCTTAATTCCTTAGTGCTGGTTTTAAGTGTCATGTCACAAAATATAAATCGGAACAACCAAAGATATTAAGTCAGCAGCCAAAGAGATGAATGAAGAGAAACACAGTCAACGCTTTTACTGGCGAACAACACTGGAAAGCAAAAGTATAAAAAACGCGCGATGCGCAAAGTTCAGTTGGGCTGTTGTTAAGGCGGCAGTAACCAGAGCTTTTCGTTGACAAGAGTGTCCTTCAAGAGCACTTTGACTTAAAGCAAACAGTCTCGCTAAGATTATAGTTTTACTAAACCCAAAAAGATTCTAGCCAAAATTTGCAATAAATTATTAGTTCGATGTCTAATTATAGGGATTTTTTTCGAACGCGAACATGGCCAAATTGCGCGCAAAATTATCGAAAAAATGCTTAACCTAAGTTTATAGTTTCGAATGGAGACACCAAGTTGTGGACAAGATGCACTTGACACGATGAATTACGGGAAACGTGCAATTTCGGTACAAAAGACGTAACAAAAGACAAGAAACGCAAACCTGTGTGATTTGTTCTTCTCGAATTGACTCGTCTGATGTTACCATAGTAACGACACTTTTCAGCTGAACACCGATAAACTCGTTCACTAATGGGTTCCAGGCCTCTAAAGTATGGAGCTTGCGTATTAGCGCCACTAACTCTTCCGCTACGGTACTACTGTATGTCGCTGAAACTGAGGCTGGGATTCTTGGCTTTCGCTTACTTTTACGACTTTTTTCTCCTGAAAAGCACACATAGGAGACAAGAAAGATATATTAGAAGTGTCCATGTATATTTTAAACCTCTTTAACGTAACAAAATAGGAAACAACAACAACAACAACAACAACAACAAGAACAACAACAACTTCCGAGTGACACCGTCACCACTTTCCGGATCAGTGTCCGTATGCACTAATAGAGAGTCCTTAGTAGCAGCGTGCGAGGTTTTTATTTGTGCACCAGGGGGATAAATATGTTCACATTTTTATCGCCTGTGGAACCAATTCCAGCGCGGGAAATGTTTCGACAAATAGGAAAAACTTATCTACTCCAGAGAGGCTACAAAGCTGGCGTTGGTGTCCTTCGCAAAGGACAAAGGGATCATGGAGAACGGAAAAATAAATTCTGATTGTCTTAAAAATGTTAAAAGATGCCCCTCGACTACCTTTATGACGAAATTCAACAAGAAAACTGGTTTTTCAAGTCCGAAAAATTTGTCCATAATGGTGAGAGTCCGTTATAGTGGGACAAACATGCGAATTTTTGCCATGAACTTATGCGTCTGTCCGTATTGGCCCTGTAAATAGAGGCCCTTAGATTTGAGGAGGGGGGAGACTGTGAGGACGAGATAGACACCCTGAGCTACTAGGCATTGAGAAAATCTCCTTCTCGTAGTCATTCTCGACTTAGAATTTACACATCTTTAATGCGAGGTGCCTGCAAGGCGAACGTTGACTGTACCTACCACCTATCAAAACAAGACCAAAACCAACTGGGTCAGAAAAGGGGATTAAAGTGAGATATGATTTTAACCGGACGCAAAACAAACCTGAAGGTGGTTGAATAGGCAGACTTCCGTGACAAGTCATCAAGACTCTTCCAAGCAAAGCAAAAAGTTTAGCTACAACTTCAGACATCCTGGATGATTCCTTTGTTACATCCCATGAAGGCAGAACAGCTCTCAGCAACCGCATGGCAAGAATCTGTTGGTGGAAGCCCAGAATCAAGTTATCATTCGATGCAAATTTTTCTTCCTTTTCATTGGACTAGACCTGCCAAAACTGCCTACAAATAATGGTCTGTTCATGCGCAATGTCGTCCAACTGTGTTTGGCTGCTGGCTGTATTTCGCTTTTCTCCTTCTTGCGATCGGTGTTGCGTGAAATAATTCGCAAATAATTGAAAAAAGACATGTTCATCGCCAAATTGGTTACCGCCAAATGTCGTGATTTGTCAACGTCTCGCAGATTAATTAACTGCTCACCACTGACAAATCACGATATCTTGCCCAACTTCATCCAATTATTATTAATTGCCGTTTTTTACAATATTAAACAGCGAAAACTGTATCCGTTCATTACGATATGTTTAAAGACAGTACAAGCGGCTTAAAATTCAATATTCTGTTTATAATAATAACAAACGTTTCACTTCTTTTTCTCAAAAAATTAATTAGCATTCAGCAAATTTCCGAAACAATTCAAAAGAGCATTTAAAAAGAATCCAAATAACTAATCATTGGTTTTAGAAAACTGGTGCACAATCCCGAAATATTTCACGGTGTTTGGATTTCTAAGAAAACACCTTCTCTAGGGCTGGGTATAATAAATACACGAGTTATTACCTGCCGAGGCAAATTGGCTGTAGACGCAATAGGAAGTAGCGTTTCTTCGCCAGGAAGCGATCCCCTCACCACCCTGAGCAAAAGAGACACCCAATGAGGGGTACTGAGGGAGCAGCAAATGACCGGTGACACTGCAATACCCCGTATGAAACCAAGCTTGGCCCAGTCTCTGTGCTGTTGAGCCATAACAACGGTACTACCTTCGCCTTTTAAGGAAATAAAACAGAAAGCAATTGTCAGTGTTAGACGAGCCATTCCATTTTGTCAAGGAGGAAGAGATTTACGGGCCTTATAGTAACTAGAGCCGAGATTGTCTTCTGCTTATCCTTTGAAGACTGCTTGGATACCTTCCCATTGAAAAGCCGGGGCACAATCTCCAGTCTAACGGTTACATTTTAACATTTTCCCCAAAGATATTGCATCACTTTGTTTCTACAAGTCGTAAAGTCAGAAGAATCAAAAGAGCAAATTAGTAGACTTACAAAGACGATAATCAAGTCAAGTGCCGAAAAGAGGGAACACTTAGCTCGGTGCTTTTATCTTTTACCCAGAAAAAGAGAAGTTACTTAAAAAACGCAGAGTTCTTTCAAAGACTAACTTCGAGATGTCTGGATGTTGGATGGAGTGGAGTGTTTGATATGGCGTTTCAAAATGAACAATAATTACTGTAGAAATTCAACGTTAACGTTCGTAAACATTTGATTGTTATTACGGTCCGATTTTCAAACTTCCAATTTCTCATGGAGTATTCATTGGTTCGGAAATTATTTTGAAATAGGATCCCCTAAAGTTAATGAAGATAGTCACTACCGCCTGGTTTCAGCAGATACTAACCAGTTGTACTTGCATCCAGTAGATTACGCAAAAGACTGCTAACAGTTCTGACGCTTTCTATTTGCAAACTGTTGGCATGGAGACCACAGCCAATGGCCAGTGCTTGCAGTAAACACACACAGGAGTGACGTATCAGGACGGTGGGGTGGGTGGACTGGATTTCTGTCTTCTCTTTCTTTGAATCATCTGACAAAAAAGGAGAAACTTATTTGGGTACTTACCATTTACCTACCGCTGCACATGATGCCCGGGGAGATAAAACACTTAACATAAAGAATATTACTTGGCAGATCAATATTTGCACAGTTCTAAACGAAATCAAGAGTCAAAATTGTGCCTTAAGTGTCTGTTCTGTTCGACTAAAATAGTGACCTGGCAGGTCATATGAACATTTCACCCTTTAAGCCCTAAGAGTGATTAGCATCAAATTTCTCCCTGTAATATCAATGCTTTGTAAAACAGAGTGGTCATGAGAATTACGGACATGATCACACAAGACGAATTTCCTTGATATTTTAACAACTTCTCCCCACTACTTCTGCAGGAAATGAACAGGGGCAACATATGAGAATTCAAATTTTGATCTTACTTTTCAACTAGAGTTAAAAGATCTACCTTTCATGTCTTCCTCCTCCTCTTCGCTGCTCTCTGGCACGGGAGGCGGTCCTGCCAGCTTTAGATCATACTTCCCTTCTTTGCCCATGCGGTATGAGTTGGTGCTGCCAGTGTCCCACTGAATACGCACCCAGCCATCTTCTCCGAGCTCCCCGATAACACGACCCTCACTAGGTGGAGGTCCATCCTGCGAAAAACAGAGAGCAGCTCCGTTTACGTTCAGTTGGAACAATCACCTAGAGAAACCTCTGGGTGTTTACCTGCGGACGTCAATTTCGTTGCGCGTCTGGCAAAATCGTCGCATTTCAAGATTTGTTTTGCGTGGTAACTCTACTGGCGAACTCAGCGCAACCGCAAAGACGACGGAAAGGAGCAAACCAAAAAGCAACACGTTTAATAAGCAACACAAAAACTCTGAACGTGCAGTACACTTTTTGGCGGATTTCTTTGCCGTCACTGCACGACTAGCATGGTCGACCTTGATTGGAATGGTAATCTGATCATCAATGGCGATCGTCGCGACTTCGATTTCCTCGGAAATACCCATACAGAGGCTCAACCTATGCAGAGCTATTCTCTGTGAGACTGAGCATCTCTTAAAGGGCAATTTTATTAGGAGATCATTTTGGCTTTGCGGTAATTAACCAGAACATAAAATATACGCACGACGGGTGGCTTTAGTTTGTTACTGGTTCTCTTCCTTGTGCCGAGATGTTTTTCCTCTCCCCGGAGACGGAGAACAATTTTAAGGGAACGAAGTTTAACCACGAAAAGGACACCTTTAATGACCCATATTTGCTTTGTCTTATGTCGCGCATGCTTTCATCGCCAAACAAACTGTTCCAAAACAAATACGACGATTCAGTAAACTCGGCAGCTTCTATAGGTTTATGCATGTACCTGATCACCCCACTTCCAGTCTGGACCTCTCACCACACGAGTACCAATCTTCATTCTTTTGGCCATTTCAGGCCCGGTGATTGGTATAGTAGGAGCCTTCTTTGTAGCTTTAGCTTCATCAATGATAGCGGCCAGGCTCGAGTCCTCTTCCTCTGCAGCTTCACAGGGTCCTGCCAGGCGCATGATGGTCTGAGTCAAGCCGATGGTTCCCGAGTTCAGTATGAGACTCGTGTCACTCGCGTTATGCTGTGCGGTGAGAATACCCAGTGTGGCCAAGAGGAACCTCGCCACGGGGAGGGCACCCAACGATAAGCCACCATGAAAGTCATTAGGGGTAGAGTCAGGTTTTGATTCCGCTCTCTTAAAGGTATCGTCAGCAAAGATGATCGCTTCACGCAGTGTGTTGACAGCCCAACTGTTTATCCTGCTAAAAGATCTTTCGAGGATGACACGATCGTAAGGTGGAATGAGACCAACATCAGCCGTGCAGTGCGGAACAGCGTTGCTAAAATGAACCAGCATAACATCAACACACAGAACATCAATAGGGACTTTAAGATCCAACTGCATTCAACGACAGGAGGGTTAGCCTACATGTACATTTGACAAAGTACATGTAAGTGAGTAGGACTAATCACAATGAAGACTGAAAGAACGCAAATTCACTTCTTAAGCAACGTTCTCGTTGCCGTCTGGTCGTTGGATCTTAATAGGGACTTTAAGATCCAACGACGCGGACGTCAACGAGAACGTCAGAAAAACAATTGGTTCAATAAGCAAAACAACAACTTCGCACGTGCATCACGCTTCTTTGTACATTTCTTTCCTGTTTTTGCACGACTACGACGTGAAAATGCCTAATTTTGCGGTTTATGGAGAATGTAAGCAACGGGGAAATTTTAGTTGTCTTTTGGAGCTTGGATGTGGTGACTTGAAATTCAGCTTCGGGAGGGTTCGCCTACATTTGACAAAGTACTAGTAAGTGGGTAGGAATAATCGCTATAAAGACTGAAAGTACCTCTTTAAAGTCCCTAATATCAACAGACTTGAATCAGTACGAGGCTAGCTTAATCTAAAAGATGTTGAGGGAGGTGACAGCGATGAAAAATAAAATGCTGCTGTTGCTGCTGCTGCGGATGATGATGATGATGACGACGACGATAATGATAATGATGACGATGATTATAGGAAATAAATAGAGAAGAGTGTTGAGATCTCACTAACTGATATTAGAGTTTACAGGGTTTGATACTTACTGCGCTTGCGAGTGAGTCAAGAGAAGACCTTGCCAACCACACAAAATCGAGTAACGAACGGACGGGATTAGATATTGTTTGGACACAAGAGAAAGAAGAGTTTCTGCTCCTTCAAGCCTACGTTGACCTCTCTCAAACTACATGTATATAAAAAAAAAAGGAAAGAATATAAGACAATGCATTACTAATTCATGAAGAGAACAAAGGAATTGTTGCGGTAAAGGAGATATAGAATATGACCTTAATTACTAAGAACTTTATTAATTACCATAAATTTTACCGTGGCATCTCTTGGAGAATTTTTGTATATTTGAGGAGATGTATGCAGCACTTAACACACCGTACCATCCGATGTCCAGTCACTTTGAAGTCGTTCAAAAAACCTGGCAGTCCCTCGTTCCCTCAACTTACTTATCAGTGGCTGAACATCGGATAAAATATTAGGCCTCGTGTTAAACACACGCACACCGTTCTCAGTTTAATGAAGGTCTCGCTACATCCATAAGACACGCGTTGAAATGCTCGTTTTAAGTTATTTCAATTTATGAGAATAATGACGACATTATAATTCATAATGAGTATGCGATGCGACTGCTGCTATTGTGGAAACGACAATGATGATGACCTTTGATGATGATTATGATGGCGAGGATGACGATGATGATGATGACGACGACGACGACAACGATGGGTGGTGGTGGTGGTGATGATGATAATGGGGTAATGGTGATGATGACAAAAAGTATAGAAAAAACAACAACAACATCCTTGTATACTACATAATTATTATATATTGCCGCTACTCGCCTAGAAAACTTCCAGGGAGGGAAACAGGGGAACTAAGTTCCGTAGAGTAGATAATTAATAGCTGACAAACCACATACTAACCTGCATGTGAAGACATTTTCGGAGCTTATCCACATCCACTGGCTCATCATGAAGGACGAACTCTTTAATGTGATTCATTAACAGTGTCTTTACAGAGGAGCCAATCATTCGCTCACGAAGCCACTTCACTTTACGGACACTTGACAGTGAGGTGTTTAAAGCTGTGTGGTCCACCTGCAACAAAACAACAATTTTTAATATTATATGATTAAAAATTAAAACGTTTGCTCCGCTTCTGTTCTATGTTACCGCAAACAAAACCGATTGTTTTATCGAATTCTTTGTTCACATATTTATATGCAACAGTGAGAAATGAAGTATCACAGATAAACGCTCTGGCAAACTAAACGGTGATTAACTGCCAGTCAAATCTCATAAGGAGACTTGCGTGTGATTAAACTCAGACCTATGCCTGATATACTGGAAAGCGCCAAAAGGATTCAGAAGAGGCACCTTACAAGAAATAATAGTGGACGTGGAAAGTCAAAGTAGTTAACTTCACCATCAGAGAACCCTAGGAAATGGTCAATTATTCTATTGGCAATGTGAAGAAAGCTAGTGTGCACAAGAGATACCAGCCTGCGAAAACACCCGTTTCTCCTCGCTCTTCGCCGCTGGAGACGTTTCGCGCGGAGGAACGTCTGCGACTCAGCGGCAGAAATTCCATACTGATGACGCAAATCAATGTTTACTGTTATTTACATAATAAATCCGGTAGTCACAGGGTTCCAAATATAAATTTGTCCAATTTTACGTGTCTTCTGGTCGATTTTGGTAAAGTGTTGTGTCCATCTGCCAACGAGCTCCAGAAAAACTCATATGCTTCTGCTAGAGAAGACTATATTCCACAAATATTGACTGACCTTTGTGGCCTTTTGTCTTTTGTCTGTCATTCGTAAACAATAGCTAAAACAATGTAACTACTCCGTCGACCAATCAGCGCTTCTTACCGGATTCCGGACAGATTTTACGTCATCAGTATGGAATTTCTGGCGCTGAGTCGCAGACGTTCCTCCACGCGAAACGTCCCCAGCGGCGAAGAGCGAGCGGAAACGGATGTTTTCGCAGGCTAAAGAGATACACACGGCTTTTCACCGCTACACAAAGTTGCATACTGCTTAACACGGTAACGCAGAGCTATACAGCGTTATTCACTACCATACAGTGTTACTTCCACGTGTGGAGCTAAATTCCGTCGGTGAGGTCCTCATGGTAACGACTCAGCGTGCAGTTTTGCTTTGCTGCTGTTTATTGCTGAATAAATTGCACAACTGAAAGGGGAAATTGAAAGTTTTGTTCTATTGATTTGAAGAGTAAACACAGTTCTTTCGAATTTAGGTTACCTTTTGTTTGCTCTTACGCTCAACATTTTCCTTTTCATTCACAGCTTTCTCCTCTAGGAGCTCAGCATCAGTATGAGCAATTTCTCCTCCTTCTCTAATGACGGGTTTTTCCTTTTCTTCTGTTTTCTTCTTTTTCTGAATCATCTGCCGAACAGTTCGGGCCCAGCGAGGCAGTGTGTTTCGTATCCTCAGTCGGGACAAAGTGGACACCTCACTGGACATTGCAGGATGAAGCTCTGTGAAAAGAAACTGGCACCTCTCCAGCGCCGGGGAGCAGACCTCTTCATACGAACGAGACGATTCCTGATGAGCCTACAAAGTTAACAGGTATCAGGGTGGTATGTTCATGTGTGCAATTTAATTCAACGGAATCAGCCTATTAGCACTCTTTGCCAAAACAATAATAATAATGTTAATAATGATGATGATGATGATGATGATGATGCTGCTGCTGCCGCTGATGATGATGATGATAACTAAGGATCAACATACTTAGCAACAGGGTACTAATTGAGGACACTGGGAGCGCCATTTGTATCTGTTCACCCGAGCGACGGGAAGGCCTAGCCTTTTTTGCAGGGGCAAAGGGAGGTACCCACGGCACTCAATTATTAAGAGGACGACCACCTTCACCGCTTTCGAACATCTGCTTCACCTCTTGGTTGCCAGACTAGCTTAAGTCGAAATTAACCTTGAGCAGTCAGCAAACCAATCGAAAACTACGGTAATCAATTCAATGATAATCCTTGCAATTGGAGTCAGAGTATACCGAGGACAACCTGTGAAGGTCCCTGTTAAATCTTGGAAAAATTACCCCAAGTTTAGAAAAAGGAGGAGCCCCAGGCTCATAATACGAATGCAACTCACCCTCAACAGCGCACACTTTGTCTGGTACACGACTTTGAGGACTTCACTGACAGGTCTGGGTATGATAATGGGAGGGGTGTGTGATAGAAAACTGTCTGAAGTAGAGCTTGGTACATCCAAAGGCGAATCTAAAGCAGGCGTGGATGGCGAGTAAACGTCGTCATCTAATACGCTAAGGGCAGCATTCCCTACAAAACAAGAAAAGTGTCATGGTACAATTGAGAAGACATTTTCTACTTGTACAACCCCAAATTTTACATGAACTAGTGTTTCCGAATGTTCCTGGGAGGACTAAGAGCACCTAAAAACACTACCCTATGTTGGGGCAAACAGAGTCTATTAAAGGGGATTCGAGAATGGTCAATGAGTAAGGAGAGGCTACACAGATCTCTCGCATTAAAGGGTCTGGCCCAGAACTGGTTACATCTTGTTGTCTGTCTTTCTGTTGATCTGACTGTCTGTCTGTGCTTGTCTTAATGTCCGTTTAGATAGATGTCCATCGAATCAATCAGTTTACTATGCAGAGAGCATCCTGCACAGCGCAAGGCGACAAAAGTCTATCCAGTTTCTCGCACAACTTCAAAATGGCCAGCAGAAGTGATAGCGCCCCCAAACAGTCGAATAAAGCGACCCGAACCACACCAATCCAATCTTACACACAACCTCGGCCCAAAAAGGCCAACGAATGCTAAGGAAACAGACAAAGGAGGATTCAGTGCCAATTATAGGGACTGTCTAAGTTGTTAGCCATTTTACCAAGTTCTTGATGCTTTAAGAGGCAAGCCATGAGCATCCTTCCGACTTTCTCCACAGGGTGATCTGCAGGGAACTCAATTGGCAAAACAATTCGTTTTTGTTTACAGAATCGCTCAGTCGCGGCTAGAAATTTCAAGGCAGTATCATCCTCCACTTTACTTTCAGCCAGGGCCTGTAAAAACGGTTTAGCGGGATCACCATGCGAGTTCTGTCGAGCGAAAGGTTCAGTCTTGTCTTCTGAAGATTCCTTCTCCTTTCTGCAAGATGAAATAAACGAGAGAGACGTTTAGAACGGGATAAAGTGAAGGGTGCCAAAATTACCTTTGTACATGTAGGTGATGGGATCTACTCCTGTTAAGAATGGTCAGAACTTTTATTTGGAGCTTTTAAGACTTGAGAGCACTAACTTTTCTTCGTTTCTTTAAATGCTCTCGCTCCTCCTCCTTTTGGGACAATTGTCCAACCTAAACGAATTGTTGAACACTCCTCGCCCAGAAATAGGTGTGATCACAACGCACTGACAAGTTGTTTCCCAATTCAGACCCTAAGAACCTTTTCAAAAAAAAACGACAAACTTTAACAAGCTTGGAAGCAATTCTTGGTTGTTTAAGCTGGTTCTAGTTTGATGTTTGAGGGGCCCGGCGGGAGGGTAGGTGAGAAGGGGCGGTGGTGAATGTTATTGCCCCCAATCCAAAAAGCTCACTTTCCAACTTTGGCATAGGCAGGTGCAGAAGAAGCCTCCATTCCACCTGAGAAGAAATCTGCAGTTAACCATCTGTCGTATTCATCTTCTTCAATAGTGACTGGGGTACTTTGGGCAAGGTGACAGGCATAGAGACCAAGTAGTAGGCCAAGAGTGCGCTCGCAATCGATAAGTGGTGACGATACTGATAATGCACTATCCAAGGCAAGCTCTTGATCAGGCTGCAATAAAATGAATTAAATCATGAATGCATAATCAGATAGAAACAGAAAGTTTGTGCTATTTTCTCCATATACTGTGAAATAGAGAGCAAAGCCCCCTTCACAAGTGGATGGATAGTACATTTCCGAATTGCTTTCAGGTTATGTCCACACTCGTTCCTTTAATTTTCAGAACTCGTACAAACTTCAGCATTTTCGGCCTAGCTCCGTGTACCAAAGAAACGAACGCAGACTGGATATTCGTCCTTGAGGGGACAGATGTAAACGTAAACACGCAAGTTTGCATCAACTCATGAAGAGAAAAGGGCTCATATGGCAGATCAGATCAGATCATGTGGCAGATCATATATTCTTTATTTTTTTTTGGAAATAAGTTTAACATGTGTATAAATGATCTGCAAGGTTCATATGAAGGATACGCACAAGAAATCGCTCTGAAAAAAGAGGCAAAACTAATTACAAATGGCATAATGCGGTGCAGTTTGTCTACTACCGCTTATCTTTCAGGGAAGACGAAGTCACGCAACATACACAGATATGAAATACAATATTAATTTCTCCTTCCACTCACTTCAACAAAAATCCCTACAAAGAAAGCTTGCATCATCTCCCTTGCTTCTAATGAATGCTTGGTTTCCTCAAAAATTTGAGTGGCATCTGACGCTGAGCAAAATAGGAAAGAACAATTGCATTAACTACATTGTTTAAGTTTCTCCAGATTAATAAACCAATGATACATGTTGATACATGTACCAACAAGTCTAAAACGCCCACCCTCACTTACAGTACCGCTCAAAAGTCAGTTACCAGTCGCGTCTCGTTTCCTGCGCGCGCGACGAGAAACTCGTAGTGCCAGAATCATTCAAGCTGAAAGTTTTTGCATAAACTACATAAACTATTTGATCTCGTAGTTTTCTTAATCAACGCGACATAAGCCACTTGACTGACAGAAGAGGAGACCTTGGTTAGTGTAATAATCAAAGATGACAGAGTGATTTGACCGATCTCTATAGGAGGAGTTCTATCCTTTCGAGGTTGGTGACTCGCCAAGTAAAATCTAGGGGGATGTCAAACACGCGTCTGAAGATCCGTTCAATCGATAACGAAATTATAATTCTTCGCTACACAACCATTTGCATGAAAAATGATCCTACAAAGTGTAGCTGGTGGGTTTGCAAATCATATCGCTATGCGGAGCCGAAAAAAATCATCATAGAACTTTGTACAATAATTCCAAGAAAGGTTTACCTGCATATGACTGAAGCCGTTCTTTTCCGCACGGGGCCTTGAAAAAAAAAATAACAGCAATAGTCACCATTTTTATAATCGTCACTTTTGACATGATCAAAATCATCAACATTGTCGTCATCATCGTCATCGTCATCGTTGTCATTATCATGAGCATCATTGTCATCATCACCACAATCACCATTGAGAACAATAGAAACAACAACATCATTTGCAATGGCACTTATTTGGCATTTGGCTAGGCATGCATTTCCATTGCAGTGTCGAAATCATCCTGGTTTAATTTTGACAGCCATCCTTTTCACTACGCAACTGTTCTACACACTTACAAAATAGTCAAAGTACCTGATCTTTGAAATCTTGAAGGTCATAAACTTTTCCATGAATAACCACCCACAGACCACCGTCTTTATTATGATTTTCTAGGTCTTCAGGTCTGATAAATGTTATATCATTATCAGCTCTCCGTCGAGCTGGTGTTGGGCTTCCTATCCCGCCAGGCCAGGCTAAATCTTCCTCGTCTTCCTTTTGCACGCCAGGGGCTAGCGTGTTAAACTTGTCTAGCAAGTCTAGCAGACCACTAATGAGAGGAACTGTTCTAGATGAGTCCATGACACTTGGCATGCAAGTCTGCAGCAAGACCATGGCACTCAGAAATTCAGGTAGTAAAACACCTGTAAATTCTCGTTGGATTATCTGGGAGGACACCACAAAGTGCCGTGGACCATTTGATGCCAATGAAGAGGCTACAGGAAGAATCTCAACAACATGGGCGCAGAGCAAAGTAGCATACTTATGTAACAGTAATGTAGCTCCATATTGCTTAACACTCAGAGCCCTCTCTTCACCTTCGAAAATAAATAACATACAGTTGCTTCTTAGTGGCCGTGAGCAAGCACCTTATTCATTCAGGCATTAAAATGTGATGATATAAGCACAGATGCAAAGGTGGGATAGTGGAATCTGAACATCTATAAGTGGTGAAATACACGCAGACATTTCACTTAAAGTAATGCAACGAAATTCTACACCAAGCGTTGCTCTCCCTTTCAACTAGTGCTTAAACAATCTAAAAGAGGAAAGGCTAAGCGTCTGCTTTATTTTCAAGGTTTAATACAAATGTATCAGGAATGAATTTCATGGCAGAGGTAAAAAAGGGACTACAACTACATGTACAAGATTGGACTTGATGCTGCTAAAAATGAACTTGACCAAAATACTCTCAAAGACTAACCTTTAAACAAATACCAAGGTCTATCATCTTCATGATGTAAAAAGAAGCTTCCTATAAGAAGTCTTTGTAATTTTAATAGCAGTTCCACGGTCATGGAGCGGGGTGGCGGAATGTACGGCCACTGAACAACAGGTGGCTTGAGATTTAACTGCTGAAATTCACTTAAGACTTGCCCAGAAGATGTCTTCAGCAGTTGCTGCGTTAGATGAAGTAGAGGAACGTCAACAACCTCGTCCTTAGTTTCAGACGTTTTCTCCTTGTCATTTTTCCCCGCACCTTCTTTTATTTCATTTTCTATAGCTGTCTCAAGAGCAGATTCTAGACTGCCTTCTGCCATCAGGCTGCTAATGAGCAGGTCTGACATGAACTTTCTTCCAGCTGGCGAAGATGTTGGTTTGTCGCATGCTATTGGCAGAGAATCAGGAGAAGAATCAGAAAAGACACTTCAAGTTAGAGAGGAGCTTGTATAATTTGCTTTGTACATGGTGCAGTTGGGCGGATAAGATAATAGAACCGAAGGAGAAGTCAGAGGCAATGACAGGGGAGGGGATGCAAACTGGTGGATGGCGAGATGGACAGACATGCCTAATGTGACTCTCGATGCACAACAAAGATAAAAAGTTAACTTAATTTTGAGCGGTGCTATGGGTCAAATGATGGATGGACAGCTGGGTGGAAAGTTGATTAAAAGAAGGGATAGAGGTAGAATGAATAGATGGGCAATAGAATGGCAAGTGCAACTAATGAATGTCGGAGAGGCGGGTTGGAAGGATGACACAAGGGAGACGAAAAACATGGAGGGAAGGTAGAGGAGTAGAGAACAGAAAAGACAAAGAAATGGACAGATAAAAAAAAACATTCTTTTTACGACTTACTTTCAATAAGCAGTTCAGTTAATGCTCTTGCTCTTTCCTCTGGTGTTGGGAGTAATAAGACCCAGCCATTTCTCAGAGCTCCTTGAGCTGCAGATTGCACTGTCTTTAAAACCCCCTTGTTACTGGCAAGTGTGACCACTTGTTGTTTGAGGGACTGAAGAAGCTTGCTTCCTACTCCAAGACCTAAATCATCTGCAGATACATTTCCTGTAATGGCTGCATGAAGCTGAAGAGCAAAAAAAAAAAGTCACAGAGTTATTAAAAGCAAAATACGCATGGTGCATAATAGCTTTCAGCGATGACACATTTTGGAGGTGCAAGTGCTGTGTAGATGGAGGGCCATAAGGGAAATTAAAAAGTAACAAAAGAAACAGCCGTATAAGGCAAAGCGAACCACAACGCTGATGCATTAAACAGAAGGAAATATAAAAATGAAAAGGCAATCTTTAAATAGAAGGTGCAAAATGTACGGCGCTGAAAAGATGGGAAAAAAGCTTTCTCGAAAGCTTTTCTCTTCTTTCTCGCTTTTCTCTTTCTTTCTCTCTTCTTTCTCGCTTTTCTATTCCCAAAGACGCAAAATAATTAATGGCATGCGTCCCGTAGGATGCAAAGATCAATTCATCAATCTGAAGATGTTTTTGTAGAATATCTTGTTCGTAAGAATTCTATGGCTGTTATTGTGGCTGTTGTGTGACGATGCATTTTCTTTCAGTCTATTCTGTGCTTTAAATAGAACGACTACATTTATATTTTAATTTCAGTAAACTGCAATCAAGAGTTTTGGAGTCTCTTTTCAGATTAACTGTCTGATTACATACATGTAAAGGCCCCAGCATTTTCAATTTACGACTGGTTGATTTTTGAACTGGGACTCATTGGCTCTACACTGGAACTCATGATTTTTCACAAAATGAGTCCCAGGACTCACCATAACCATTTGTACCAAAATCACCGCATACATCTCACTGAAACCAATAAATATTGATCACTCACCTGTAGTCTCAACAGGTTTAATGCTGCTACCGCAATGCATTCTTTCTCTTGGGGAGGAGGGGGCCAATCGAGTGCTCCTGTTAGGTCTTCACTTACACGACGTAAGAGTGAATCGAGATATTCAAATGTCTTCTTACAAACATCAAGACAAAATGGAAGACGCAGACCAACATTCCAGTGACCAGCTGATGACCATGTAAAACTCTAGGGGAACGAATTATATGTGTGACATTGCATGATTCAATGCCAAGAAATTCTTATAATATCATAATCGTTTTGGTATCTGTCATAGCAACAAATACTTTAATTATTTCATCCAGGAAAGAAAGCCCACAGAGGGAAAAACAACAAAAACAACATCTTAACAAGCCAAACAAGAACTCTGCACATGTGTCACACTTATGCTACATTTCCTTTCTTTTCCCTGGATAACTACAGCGTAATATGATATCATTGTTAACAAAAATTATTCTCACATTACGTTATCGTTCTCAAGTTATTACAACTACAAGCACACACCAATTTCAGTACTTCAGCTTCCTAGGTATTACCACTGCTAATAATTAAATTATAACTACATTATGATTTACATTGTGCGTTTAAGCAACTTCTTGATAGAAAGCATTTTTTCGGTTGCATTTGACTTGTTTTGGTACAGTAGTTTGATAGCACAGATGTCCCATCTGTGAACCGCTCAGTAATTTAATCTACAAATGTAAAAAAAAAATCTCACCTGTGCAGGACCACAGGCCACCCCAGTTATTTCCTTGCTTTCTAATGCTGCAATAAGGGCAGGCTCTGTTCTGGCAATATTCGAAGTGTCACCCAACTGTCCCTGCTCATTTCTGCCCCAGCTGTACACCTCACCATCCTCTGTGACTGCCAAGCTGTGAACTGATCCTACAGCAACATCAATTATCTTCTTACCAGAGAATGCTTCAATCACTTTGGGATGACGCATGTGATCTTCGGCGACATGACCAAGGCGGCCACCTTCCCCCTTACCCCTGTAAAAAGAGTTCACATAAAGAATATTTGTAACACTTAAGCTAGTGATGCGTGTTTTAAAATTTGTTGATCGACAAAAGTTGTTACTCTTGTTGCTCAACAAGTTGTAACATGGGCAATTTTCACACACAGATTAACACTGGGGGCATGTGGGTCAAACAGCAAACAATAGTTACCATGTCAACACTTGCCCATCCCTTGTCAAAGCCACGGAAAACTGGGATCCACAGAAAACGCGCACAACACCAAAGCTTTGTAGCTTGTCAATAATTTTAGGAGCTTTAAATGCATCACTACCACCATGACCAAGTTTGCCATAATCGCCATCCCCCCACGACCAAACTGTACCTATCACAAACAAAAAAGCAAATTAAAGCTTGTGATAAAGTTCTCTGGATAAAAATGTTTTTAAAAATTCAATCATCAACAAGTGAAATGATGTGAAAATGAAAAAAAATCTAAAATATAAAGTGATAAAAATGTAAAAGAACAAAATTACATTAAAATCAAAATTAAGAAGGGATTCTTTAAGAATTTGTGTTCAAAAGAATGCTACATTGCCTTGGGAGAAGGCAAGAGTTATTGTCAGCATTATGTACTTTCATAGTGTGTCAGACTAAATAATTTGTAACATGACAATTGCCTTTGTCAATAATGAAGACATTGTCAAAATCAATATCGTGGTTGTGGGTCCAAGCATGATTGGCAATCTTGGAGCCTTTAGCTGCTGTTTTTATATCATTGCTTTTTCCTAATGGCAATCAATCTTGTTGAAGAAACAATCATGAACACAACACAACATCTGTAAAGGAAAGAGGCGACACTTTAAACAAGACAGCTGTCTAACCCAACTGCATCAAATACTAATATATTTTCTACTTAATTAACATTTTCTTTTTAAGGCCAGGTATGGGGCAAGGCTATATTGTTGTTAACTTTAAATGGGTGAAATCCCATGTTGCTGCAATTGAAATGAAACCTTTTCTGGCAGAACTTTTACAACAACAAAAACAGCTTTATCCAAACTTCTGAATAAACATGACAATGCTTCTGCATTGTACTTTACTTTCATTAGAATTTTACAAAAAGATATTATTTTGGAATTTTAGGGAATTTTCTACGTCAATGACAACTATGTATTTAGAGTAAAAGGGTGAAGACACCAATGTGTAGAGATTCTTACCATCATCAGCAACAGCAAGGCTATGAGCATCCCCGCTGCCACAGGCTACATCTATAACATGGTACCCTCGCAAACCACTCACTAGCATTGGAACAAGGTGGTCCTCACTATTCCCTAGACAAAAAGGAAAAAATACAGAAATGATAAACCCAAGATGCAATATGACTCACAAAACAAAACTAAAGTTATTGAAAAATAGAGGAGAGTAGAGGAAGGAATGGACGAGTGGACAAATGGACAGACTGATGGAATAAGAGACTGACAGAAGGACAGAGAAAAGGAGGGGGGAGGAGAAAGAATTGGACAGATGGACACAGCTCCCCTTGATTCTTACTGCCCTTTTGCTTTGCTGACTTGTAATTTGTTAAGACAGTTTAAAACAAATTCCGACATGGTCTCTGATAAATCAAACTTGTTTTTGCTGATAATTTTGCCCTTAATGAATGCTTTGAACTATGCAAAATACTAAAACTGCCTTAATGTCAGTCGCTTTCCTGTAGGTCCTGGCCACAGAAGCAAACTTGCTTTAATTAAAGCATTTGCCATTACATACAACTCATTAATAGTTTGGTGTTAAGGGACCTCATAATAATACAGCTCTGATAATTATGGTAAAGCACAAAATACACCCTGTATTACATTAAATCTTTCTGTCCATAAGCATATCATGAACTGACAACTGAAATATATAATAAAGCGATTTTCGTATAACCTTAAAATGAAAATTCATGAACAAAACAGAAACAACAAATGAACGGCAACAGAGCGATGTAAGTGGTTTATCAAATGGATGCAAATGAACTTGGCTTTTGGTTGGTTAAGTGAACGTTTGGGTGAAAAACTTCATTCCCGAAAACTTTCTAGAGATCAACTGATAATACGCTTCGACGTCATACTGCAACAAGATTAGCCAATTGAACAATGCCCTGACTCCAAATTATTTAGGGTTTTCGTTGGCGGGAAAATGAAGAGGCCATGTTTTGTCCTTTTCATCCATTGGCTGAGAAAACAAATAACGAACACTAACCAAAACCATTTTTCAACACCATACAAAAATCGCTCTGTTTCAATAAAGCAACTGTACCATGTCCAAGTCTGCCATAGTTTCCTCTGCCCCATGTGTACAACTCTCCTTCTGATGTCACGGCAGCACTGTGACTGCTTCCACAAGCAATCTGAACAACTTGCTTCCCAGCAAGGCCAGTAATCAAGGTTGGCTCATCACAAAAACTACCACAGTAAGCAACAAAACAATTACTTAGGCTAATGATAATGATAATATTAGACCAATATTAAGTTAGGATGTGCAGAGAGAAAGGAGAAAGTGTAAGTCACGTAACAAGTGAATGCAGCAAGTCAGCTCAATGTGAGTAATAGGGGTGACATGACAGTTTGGAGCGATATGTGCATTTGGCAACTGTGTGGGAAGACCTAACTGCAACAAGTAGAACAGTGGTACAAACATAACCTAGAGCAAGTGGTAGAAAATACAGGTTTTAAAGTTCTATGCGCTTTCAGAGTACAGTGTGATAGCATGGTTGAAGCTAGAAGGCTAGACATCGCATCGTCTTCGTTGATAAGCAAGCAAAGGAGGCTAAGATCATAGACGTCGCTATACCTGGAGATGCACGAGTGAAAGACAAAGAACTGGAGAAAAGTACAGTTGTGCCAATTGAGATCCGGGCATTGGGAGCTGTATCTGATACATTGTATGTTTGAGAAAATTAAGCTTAATTAACATTACCATCAGACTTGAAGTGATCTAGAAGGAGGTTCTGTTGAGAACATCTAGACTATTACGGAAAGTATTGGCTATTTAGGGACTCAAATGTAAGGACTCCTTTGGGACCTTTAGGGACTTGTAGTTGCTTGCTCCCAAGGGTAATTTCCCAGGCAATGTACATGTTAACCATTTAAGCCTGAGATTCAACAATAATTTATAAAATAATAATAATTTTTAACAAAGGAAAGGATTAAGGATCTGTGAGTGTATAACAAAGTCATGTGATGAATAAAACCACAAGAAAACAATTCTTATGTTCACATGTTTATGTATGAAGATCAAATAATTAGTGGGGTTTTAATTCCAAGAAACTGCTTTCCAAAGAACTTTTGGCATCAACAAACCATCTCTTTACACTCCCAATTCTTACTTGTTGTCTCCATGACCCAGTTTGCCGCCATCTCCAGATCCCCAGGAATATACTTCACCCTCACGGCTTAGAGCCATGAAATGTTTGCACTCTGGGCTTGTAGCAATTTTAATGATTTCACATCTTCTAGCTAGAGATTCTATGAGCATAGGGCCCTGTAGAACAAATTGTACAGTTACTAAAGATCAATAGCTTGATTTTTAATCAAGGTCACTCAAAATTTTAATGTACATCTAAAAATTACTAGTATCAGACTGGTGTCTTTCTTTTACGTACATGTACAAAAACCATGAAAATTTTGGCTGTATTTGTTTGGCAAATAAATTAGCTAGCACTTGCTTAAATTTAGCAAAATAATTGTCTCCAATTTTGTTTGTATCAATTATTGTATACTACATGTAAGCCCTTATATGTGTCAGGGTTTTTCATTGAGAATTCTAGTAGCAGGAGAAAGGTGTAATGTTGCAGGAGAATACCGTAAAATTCCGAAAATAAGCCCCGGGGCTTACATTTTTCAAAGGCCCTTTTTGAGGGGCTTATATTCGGAGGGGCTTATATTTGGAGGGGCTTATCTATGGAGGGAAATTTGTGTTTCAAACTCGATTGGGCTAGCCTTATAGTTGGAAGTAAATTTACCGTTTTTGCTCATTGTTTTACTTTGTATTTGAGGGCAATTTTCTAAGTACAGGCCCAGGAGGCTTATATTTGGAGGGGCGATTTAACGGAGGGTCTTTGCTTTACCGGTTTGGGGGGCTTATATTTGGAGGGGCTTATACATGGATGGGCTTATTTTCTGAAATTTACAATATTTCTTAAAGAGGCTCCACATCTGAGTAAAAAATAGTTATAGGGTATTGACCGTTGGCCGGAGAATTCTGCGTAGTAAATGGAGAATTCTCCAGTCACCAATGCCTACACCCTGCTGAACACAGTATATTTATACTGCACTGTGTGCAGAACTGTAATATCAGCAATTGCCATAATTATCCCCTTATTGAAAATATAATTGTAGGATTCACTATACAGTCGACTCCCGGTAACTCGAACCCTCGCTAACTCAAAACTCGCGCTAACTCGAACCAAAATTGATTTCCCCTGGATTTCCGTCATACATTCACTGTAATTTTATCCTCCATAACTCGAACCCTCGATAACTCAAACTCCTGCTAACTCGAACCAATTTGCGTTTCCCCTCAGGTCATTTTCTATATATAATTTTACCCTCGATAACTCGAACCATGTTTTGAGCCCTTAAAAAGTTGGGAAAAAAGCCGACTACTGGTGTCCGAAACATTGAATTTTGGATTTCCTATTGACGTGTTGTAGGAGTATATAGTTTACTAGTGGAGGCTGATGTTGATTGTCACAGGCTAACGTGAAGCAGCTTTTCTTCTCAAAACAGTAAAACACATGCTCTATTTAGGCTATGTTTTGTTACGTTACGTTCTGATTTATAATCTGGAAGTATCTTTTAATTTTCACTTGACATTTCTACAATTAAATGTGATTAAAATGTTCACTGTGCAGTAAAAACTGTTTGTTACCTTACTGTCGGCTATTTTTTTCGAACTCCCGATAACTCGAACCTTTTTTCGATTTCCCCTGAACGTTCGAGTTATCGGGAGTTGACTGTAATTACTATGATTATCATTAAATGTCGTTATGAAAGGCCATTTAACTTAACCAAGAAAATAGAAACGTGCACAGCCTACAGTGTACACAACCGTACATGTAGTTGTATTTGCTGTTGATAAAATTAATAACAAGAACATAAAACTAAACACTCACTTGTCCCTCGGAAATGTAATGACAGGTGTAGACTTTCCCTGTTTTAGTCAATGCCAGAAAACACTTCTCCGCGCAACAAATCTGAGCAATGCCAATAATTTCCACCAAGCTGCTCAATGAAGTTGGACCCAAGGTATGACCAGCATTCCCCCAAGAGAGCCAACCCCACCCATAAACTTCTTGGACAAGGGCAACGCTTGGAGTCTAAACCAGATAATTATTATTATTAAAAACTGAACCATTAAATAATGTAATTCTAGAGCTCTGATTGGCTTAGCCATCATGGTATATGAGCCATTATACCATGCTCTCCAAATATGGTACAATGTAACTGTATGCATCTGCTCAAAATTAAAAACAAGCTGGAAATTGGTCATTTCTTCAAACAAACGTTTTGTCTACAACCAACATCCCGCTGTCTGAGCTAGCCTTTAAAGTAGCTTGTTTACTGGAATGTGACTTTGTCTCCAAGTTAAAGTTTAATTGTACAGGAACTGACGGCTTGGAAATGACTTTAAGCGTGATTTTTGTCGAGGCAGTAAAATTGTCTGGTAAGTTTATCCATTCTTCCCACTCGTCGTCATAATGCTGCAGTATCAGATTGTTTGTAATACTTGTCTCATTTGGGTGTTATGTAAGAAAGGGGGGCCCTTAAATCTTTTGACATGATTGAAGGGGGGTACCTAAAAGACATGGGTGCTATCGAGTAGGGGTCTGGAAATACTTTGGGATAAAAAACAATTTCTCCTCCACCCCCCTCCAACTTAAATATAAATTCTCAATTATTATTATTATTATTAAATTACCAGTAATGATTACATGCACTGTATCTGCATTGTACCTTTTGATTTGATGACAGTGGCAGATAAGGAGCAGCTAATCTGTCCAAGTGTGAAACTAGAACAACAGCACAGTGCTGCAGTTCAACAAACTCCGATTCATCTTCAGGGAGGGCTAGGTAACGCAGAAATGATTCTGTTGGACTCACTTTAGGCACACTGGATGAAAGGACCTATGGAGTAAAATATACATGTTGTACATGTAAGATGCATCTAGGAGACATCAGCATTTACAAACTACACTTCTGCTTGGAACATTAATATCAATAAGTGACCCCAGTGTAAGTATCACTATATACATGTACAGCTGTACATGTACGTTACAGGTAAAAATTAAATTCAGGTTTAAATGTTTTAACCTAGGTTGATTCTCAATTTTTCTTAGTCTCCTAGCCCTAATTATTCTTGAATCAAAACTTTTATGATGAATTTAATTTGATCTGTAACATAATAATTTAATATATTACATTTTGAACTCTTAGGATCTGAGAACGAATTTAAACCTGGGAGACTGCAATATACAATAAAATCCAGTGCCCTAGTCTACTATTCATGTACTGTCACCTATGGATGGTAGGTAAATATTGCTTGTGAAAAGAATAAGGACATTAAGGAGCAAATTTACCTCATCAGCTAACTTATTAGGTTCTAGAGTCTTTTGAGAAGCCCCACTTATCTCCTCAAATCTCTGCAGCAAATGAATAAGAGGTGCAGATGTAAAACAAGAATCAGTGTCATTATCTTGTCCACTGTCCCAAAGTTCTAACAACAGCAAAATAGCTTCCAGCATGTGTTGAAGGGAACCACGCTGCACAGCAAGTTCTAGCAGTATTCCTAAAGCCACATGTTGGTCAGAAACAGGTACAGAATCAAGTGGTTTGCAGTACACTCTGTCTTCATTTCCCCTCCTATCAGAAACGCAAAAAAGAAAAATAAAACCACGATAGAAAGGTCAACATCATTAATATTATTATTTTCTTCATGGGCACACTTGAAAACAGTACATCGATTTTCTTACATATCATAGTGTACATCATAAATGTCAATGACTTTTTCCAGGTGGTTGGATACAGTTTCCAGCATTGGCCAGATTAACATCATCTGTTTCTTTCTACACTTTGTGTAAAGGGCAGGACAGTGCAGATTTTTGGGAGCCCTTTGGGCTCCTAAAATAAAAAAAGGTAGGAGCCCATTGATCAATAAACTTAAATAGATGTAATACATGTATGTCCTAAATTGAACATACTTATGCCTTTACAGCGCATGTAACCAGACAGTTAATCTAGAGACAGATGCCAAAACTCTGAAATTAAAATATAGTCCTTCTACAATAAATATTACTAAAAGCACAAAAAGACTAAAATAGATTTTCATCTCTTAAACAATAGCCACAGAAATCACACAAACAGGATATTCTACTATATCGATCAGTCATTCTTTGACTCCTGCTGGATGCATGTCATGGATTATTTTACATCTTTGGGGACGTTTATGTGTTCACTGGGAAGAAGGATGCAGAGGTAACAAAATCACTGCCTAACTATTATGAAACTTACCCTGCCACCACTGATCTAAGAAATTTTGTTGAACGGTCAACCACTTCAAGCCACACTGGTGAAACTGATCCTTCATCAAAAAGAGTCGCTTCAGGAAGATACTGCAAAGCTTCGAGAGCTTCATCAAGAAGCTCACGGCATAAGTCTGCATCTTCCCCTGATCTCCATGCACGACGTAGAAAAGCAAATGCGAATGACAATGCTGCTCTAGCACCAATTCTAGCTAGGCCCAATGAGGCCTGCTCAGAGTTAGCACAGTTCTTACGATTTTTAATTACATGTTGTTTCTCTTCTTTTACACTCTTCCTTTTCACACTCTTCGCAGTATTAGCTTGCCTTTCACGTGACAAAGCAATAAAATAACGTCCCAAAACAGCTAGCCTCTGCTGAAGCCTCATAGCAGACAGGGTTGTTCCTGCTGCTTGGCTTGCAAGCTCCTGTTGCTCAAAAATAAGGCCCTGGAGGACTTCTCTGAGCTTGTCTGGGCTTGGCTGGTCCCCCCAAGTCCATGAGTCCATCAAGGGACCTGCAGCTGGAGGTGCTCTCTCCTCCTCTTCTTTTTGTTCCCTATCTTCTTGGTCCAGTTTCTGACATGATTCACAGTTACATCCATTTCTAGGTCCACAATGTCCATCACAGCACATACATTTTAAAATACGACGACCACAATAAAATTTGCCCGTCTCACCCTTTTGGGAAGGCACACCATCACTGTTGATCCTTACATCAGAGGGTTTACCAGGGATTTCTCCATCTTTTACTAACTCATTCCAAAGCCTTTTAAGACCTTCATTTGAAAATGCAGTCTAAAAAGAAAAAGATACAGTATTCTTATCATCACGTTTGATGGTAAACAAATATGTAGCAAACGTTTCTTGTGATACACTAAAGAAATATAAGGGAATTGAATAATTGATTTTTACAAACATGTACATGTAGAAAAACTGGCCTGGGATAAAATCACTTTATCAGTATACTAAAGGGGTCATGAATCATGTAGACTCAACACACTCATTTCCTGTGTAAAAAGTCACATGCACTGTGACTATCCAATATGCAGTCTTCACCAAAATTCTACATGTAGATGCTTATAACTCTCTGCTTAACAGAAGGATTTATTATTCAGAGAGTACATGTAGGCTAGTCCTTATTATTGTCAGTATTACCAAGATCCCAAAAACTTCTATTATAGCGGCACTTTCAAGTTCAATACACGTAAAAATACACGTAGAAAAGAACAAAGAACAATCAGCACTGGGAATTTGCATATATTCAGCTCCCAGTGTTTTATAGTGAAAACATGATAAAGTATTTAAGCCTGTTTATCATATGCCACTGATGTAACTGCAAAGTAGCCACTGGCACTGCCTGGGATACTGTTTGGTTGAATGAGAACAAGCGCCACAGGCAACAATTAGCCACTGCAGGGCTTTACTGCTTGGCCAGCATGCCTGTAAAGTTGAACCCGAGTCAACTATGCAAGCATGCAAGCGGGAAAGACTGGGAAAACTAATGTTGCCAGCCACTTCTCTTCTCATGTCACAAAAGTATCTCAGGTTGTACCGGCTGTCATTTTGTAGGTAACTCAACCACATACCAGAACCAGACTTAAGTCATGTGCAAGTACATTATCAGACAGAGAAAAGGAATTAATAAAAACTGAACCAAAAAGCTTAAGTTGAAAAGTGGTACAGAGTACACTGTACAAGTAAATTTGTTTTGGCAATTAGTACTTACATTACATATATCTTGATATCTGTCCCATTAATAGAGGCACAAAAAAATAATAATAAAACTGCAAGCATCTCTAACATAATTCTGTGACGCCGTTAGCTAGGAGTCGTTAACCGTCACATTACTGTTATCATCTGACTCAGTGAATTCGAGAAACCAAACAAAAAAAACACACGTACATGTACAACACACAAGATCATGTGATAGAAGTAGGAAATGGCATAATTATTTACATCCAAGAGAAACTTCTAACGTTCTTAGCTCACAACAAAAAGCATTAGTGGCCAGTTGCATTAAAATTAATTTGTTACAGTCGGGCGAAACCACTAACTCGCGTTATACATTTCTGCAACTACCTTCAGGTTCTTAATGAAATGACCTTAAACCTGTTTCAGGGTAAACACTTTCAGCCTAGAATGAAGGTCGTAAGCTTTTACAAAAGCCACAACACTGAAGCTTTTGTGACTGGCCAAATTGCACGCAAACACGCATGGTGGAATCGCGGATTCAATGCAATAAATTAAAGCACAGAACGAGGGGAATGACTGTTGCTGGGCTCAAGTTCCGCCAACGTTCAAGTACAACCCAAAACAACCGGTTTATTTTGATTTCAACCAACCTGTATGTCAGTCTTTAGCCATTTTGAGTCGAGCCTTGGCTGCGGTCGAAGCGATGAAACCGGGTTGGCCAAATTCGGCATCACACCGCGTCAGAAAAAAATGCCACTTGTTTTATCCGAAGAGAATGAAATACAATGCAAAGATTCTCATCGTTCCTGGTTTTCTAGATAGACTGAATGAAGAACAACAAGAAAATATTATTTCCTTCGTATCTCTCCTCGGTGACTTTACTTCACAGTGTCAAAAAAGAAAAAATGTGAAGTCACTTTGTTTGCTTTAATACGCCCGAATATGTAGGAATGGGATTAACCGCTGACATAGTATTGGTTGTTCCCAGTCCGAACCGAGCACAAGCGGAGTGCCTTTATCCCATACATCGAGAAAAGAGCTTTGCTCAGCCAAAACAAAAGCAGATCCAATAGGTATTATCTTCGTTTATTTTATTTACTTGTGTTTTCTCTTGGCTCCGCGTGAAAATTCCCCTCAGCCCTAGACAGACCCAGGTGCGGGATTAGAGGGTCGGAAGCAGCTCATGCTCAGTTCAAACAAAAAAATGCATGCCATTAAATAACAAAAGGATAACAAAACATACAACAGCACATTTCATATTTGCCTCGTTTAAAAGTCTCCATGGAAAGCCTAAAGACAGCGTAATTTTTAACAGCAAAAAGGATTCCAACCGGTATTTTGTGGAAAAATTCACAAAATTGTGAACTTTTAAATCTTAGCGTGTGGAACTCTTGATACAAAGAACATGTCAAAATTCAAGATTGTGAGCGTAATACTTTTTTACTCATGAAGCTTCACGCCTGGATAATCAAACGGTGTACTTGTGCCTAGAAGAGAATTTTATTAGAATTTTAACAAAGAGAAAGTGAAATTATTTCCGTATTTCACTCTAAACCATTTTATTTCATAAACTAGTGAAGCATTTGTATAGCTCTGTAATAAAGCTCAAAGGTGCTTCACAATAAAGGTTTGAAACTGTAAGGTACTACAAATGTAACTCAATTACTACATCACAAAGAAGGAAAATAAAAAAGTTGTGAATAAAAAAAGCGCTTTTAAACTTTTAAGACGAAGATACAGAGTTCATTTTTTGTGTTTGGGAGGGTTATTGCAAAGTTTAGGGTCACCAAAACAGAAACACCGAGTTCAAACGTTTTATCCAGAGTGCTTAGGGCCATCTTTTCGTGTTGGCCAGATTTTGCAATAGTGTTAGATGTGCACAAGCGCAATTTAAGCGACTTGACTTGCGTGATCCCCATTTTAATTTACACACCGTGAGGCAACACCTACAAACCTTCTGTTACGCCACAACAATAGCTGTCCCTGTGAAACTATTTCTATGTCAGCTTCGAAACGAGCCAAATTTCCCTGAAACTTGAACCCCCAATAGTCAAGTTAGGAACTCAAGGTAGCTTAAAGTAAACCCCAAAAGAGACCTGGAAATGTTTCTGTTCAATTCGAGAATGATGAAGTCATCATCCCAGCATCCCCGTCACTTTTATGTGGGCCCCCCCCTCTCCCCCACATATTTTTGTTTTGTTTCAAAAAAGAACTCAGATTCAAGGATGGTATCTCCCTTTTTTTACAAGATAACAAATAGCGTGACGTCGCTTCTTAACGGTGGCAAGCCAAAGGACACCATCGGGTACTCTTAATAGTCTGGTTATGATGTCACCTTTATATAATATTAAGACAAAATAAAAAAAGCGCCTTAAAAAATTGAGTCTTGAGCCTGCTTATAAAAGAACGAAGTTTGAGACTACGTTTTATGTGCTCTGAAAGATTATTCCAAAAGTTAGGGGTACAAAACAAAAAGCACGCCGACCGATTTGAAACATTTGTGCCATTTAACATTTCATTTGTTTGGGTAGCTTTAGCGCATAATCGCAGTTAAACCGAATTACTATACGTGATGTTTTTATTTGCACACCTGTTGTTTTGTTCAGATCAAATAGGAGGTTGAATATACTAATCTTTTCTTGCGCCTTAAGAGCATCTGCCTGCGTTAAACTATTTCTCAGCCTCAACAAATCAAAGTTCCCTAAAATTGGAACTTCCAAACAATATTCGCACTGCATACATATTGCCCTGTCACGGGGAAATAAGTTATGGCAGGAACCGCGACTGCATGCCAGGACATTAGGCGTGCCAAATAATGAGGGTATGCGACGTCAGGCTCAACCAGGGGAGGTGGGAGGGGCAAAAGTCACTTCCACTGAGCTCCGTTGAACTGGCCAACAGGAGAGCAAAAACCGAGCAATTCTAATTGTTGGTTTTCACATGACGTCACTAAAATTCAAACTAAAAAACTATCGATCATACTGAGATTTTACTTTCACGATGCATTAGAGCATCTGAAAACTAATTTTCATACAAATTTTCGCTTCAAAGGGGTTCTTGGTTTAGTGATAGAGTACGCTTTAATTTCTAAGCTTTTGCGTGACGCGGCATTTACATGACGGCCAAGAGAGCTGTCATGTAGGTTAAAAAAGTGACTTATTTCAGGAAATTTTGCTTTCTAAACAGTTCATGTATAAGAAAAAGTATTACTTTAATGTTTATGAGTTTCTCGGAGAATAAATTCACGCTTTTGTAGCAAAACTCAGTAACAGATGTTTCTGTTGGCTTCTGTCGGCATGTTGGAGCTCATGCAGGTGAGCACCAGCATGGCGTCTTCATACAAATCTCTATTAGTTTGCGTAAAGCATTTCTTCGGATATCTCGTATACGAAATATTCCTCTGACCTGAATCTTGGCGAGGGTCTTCGTATATGTACCTCCTTTCATTTCCCAGATTCTGAACTTTATCTATTGAACGGTTTTGATTTTTATTTTGATCTATTTTGAACGGCGTGACACTGAAAACCAGCAATACAGGGCCGCGTTGCATCATGCCAATAGTGCGCAGGCTCGACATGAAGGAATTTAAAGGCGTTTCCTATTTCCCGCGTCACGGGGCAATTATGTATGCAGTGAGAATACCATTCGCATAGCCTAAGTTAGCCTGTGAACAGGCCTTTGGTAGAGTCTGTTCACAGGCTAAGCCTAAGTCTGAGCGCGTCAACCTCTCGCTCTGAGGAGACAAGATGCCAACAGACGGATGGTTACTCTGTGCAGTACCAATTTAAGCACTGAAGCACACGTATATATAAGCGAGTCTGCGGATCATTTCGGATTGTCCAGGCAGGCGGCAACCCGATGTCTCACGGTTGTCCAGGTCTTCGGTAGAGTGCGTATTTTTCGCTCCTTCAGTGATATGGAGCCTCCCGTAATGACCCTTGAGATGCATTGCAGAAACAAACGTTTCTGCCCGCCAACAGTTTGTCTCCCTACAGATTGTACATACAGGGCGAATCTTTTGAAAAGATCCTCAAATTGTCGCGGCGAAGTGATTGGCCAAGGAGGCGGAGCTGCCGTCCTCTCACCTCGGTTGACACGGGTCGAACTTGCGTTTGACTATATACGGACTCGTCGGTGGAAATTGTTGAAATTTCACACAGTGATTCACTTCGAGTCCATGTTTCCGACTCCTAAAGAAGAACACTCAGAACGGTACACTTGTAGAGGCGAACCTTGATAGCAATTGGCAGGTTAGACTTCCAAATACGCTCTAATCTCCAGAAGACATCCCATGACTGACCTTGTCGTTGGCTTGACATCGTTCTAAGTGGTGGCAATATAAGAACTTAGGTAATTAAAGTCATCTACGGAGTCAAGGTCGATGTTGTTAACTCGCAGTGGAGGTGACCGTGGATGATTGAGAACCAAGACTTTGGGTATTGGTGGCATTGTCTTGGAGGCCAACATCTGCAGCAGCAGACAAGTCGACCGAGGAATTTTTGAGCGTCTCCAACACTTGATATTAACATAGCAATGTCATCTGCATAGTCAAGGTCAATTAGCTTATATTCTGGATGTCTTCGTGACTGTCAGAATCATGACGAACCCAGGATTGTCAACGGTAGCCTGGCGCATATCCCAATACGGTAGTCTCTTCAGAGTCAAAGTGAGTTGTATCACGTCAGTTGATGGTATTAAGTCCTGGTTATTGAACTGATTTGTCAATTAAGTCGCTATCTTATTGGTCGTCTGCCAGTTAAGCTGTGATGTTATTGGTGGCTGAGAAGACTCCTTATATCATGGTACGTTTCAATACGTCTATTGTCACAGTTAATCAGTCGTGTATTGTTAGTCATATGGTCGGTTGTCCATGCATTCTCTCGGATTTAGTTGTGCTTGAGTCCGTCGTCAAAGTCCTTTGTACGGTGCCGGTGACTGTTGACTACGATTCAGTGGCGTTTGTGCTAAGTTAGTTAACCAGCTTTCTTAAGGTGATTCCCTGGTTTTGCACTGCGCATCTCTTACTGCGCATAACAAGATGGCCGCCGTAAAAAAGAGCATGTGAAGTAACATTATTAAAATGAAGTTGACTGAAGAGAAACGCTATTGGAATTTTTACTTGCGGTTGTTTCTTGCCGTGGTGAGACTCAATGTGTTGGGAATGTGCATAACGTAAGTAGTACGCGTGTTGCTGAGTTCGACTTCCTCACGGAGAACCTCGATAGTGGATGTTTAACTTGTGCTTACTCACTTTGATTTTCATTTAAAGGTTTTCTTTATCACATTGTGTCCTAAATGTGATATCTCGATGTAAATTTTGTAAAAACAGATTTTTTAATACTTTCTCGCCCCTTTCACATACATTCTATTTTGAAACTCGCCCCAGTCCTCTCTCAAATATCGGAGAAAATGCATTTGGTGCGCACTTTCTGCAGCCCTACCGCAAAAACGAGTACGGTGACCCCCATTTTTTATTTCATTATTCTAATAAGGACAGTGCTTCCTTTCGATGAGAAAAAAGTTGGCACAAATCTATGTTCAGTTTTTTTGGCAATTTTACTAAATTGTACGGATTGAGCTATCACGAGCCGAATAGCGCGGGTCCAATTCAAGTCTACTTTGGAGCGTAAAATAAAAACAGGAGCATTAAAAGTTATTTTTCTGGTATGTAAGCGGATAAACAATACAATAAAGTCAAATTCTGTGCGATACCGCATGCATCATCGAAAAAATCTCTCCTTTTTGCCTAGTTTTGGGCTGCGCGCGGTTTTTGACAAAGGGTCCAAAATAGCCGTATTTCTCAGCATTGTGACGTCAAAACGAGCACGGTGACCCCCACTTTTTATTCCTTTTTTACCATTATCTTGACTTGTTACATCACTGTGCCAAGTTTCATCTACAATCTATGTTAGGTTCTTTTACTAAGGAATCACCCTAAGTGAGTCGTTGATAGTAGTCTGTGGAATGCGTAATAGATGTCACAGAGTTCCAGTCGATTTGATGTTTCGTCTGTTACTGGTGTTCAGCAATGTGATTGTTGACATCACCATTTCTTGTAATTCGTAGGTATCCAGTCAGTCGCGTGCTAAGGTTTCTGCCGATTTCACCGATGTTACTGGCCTGTCAGTCGCAGCATTTGTTCTTGTATACTCCATAGCAGCTTCTGTTCACCGTAAGGTTCCCTTTCACTTCTGTCTTCCTCGTTCGGTTGAGTAGCTGGTAACGCACAAGGCAACTCCTTTTCATCTGCATCTCTCGTACCAACTTCAACTTGAACATCTCCGCATCACTCGTGCCAACTTCAACACTTTCCGCATCAAATTCGCCCTCTTCTGTCACTGCCGCTTGAACAGGATCCAGATAAACCACGTGTGCACTTCCACTAGGCTCGCCTCCTCTCGTTACAGCCAGAACAGAGCCGCTAGTTATAACAGACTCAATATATTGAGCATCGCCAGTTCGAGATACACCAGACGTACTACTCTCTTATTGCTCCGAAGTCCATCTCCTCAACGCCTACCCGAGGTACAGCTGAAGATTAACTGCATGAATTAGCTTAGTTTTCGCCCCTCGACTTCTTTGTATGCCGTAAGTTATGCCTGACAGCACGGACGCCACTAAGAAGGGACCTTCCTAAGGGCCATCTGCCCTTCTTCCGTCGAATATTGTGCAGCCCAACACGTCACCAACTCGAAAAGGCTTACTGGATACTCACTAATCATAATGTCTCTTCTGGCGTTTGGCCGCCTTTCCTAAGTGCCGCCGCGCTGCCTCGTTTGGCGCTAGCAAACTTCTGTTGTAGGGCCAATCATACTCAGTTGATTAAGGAACAGCGTCCGGGGTTGATTCAGTCATTACACATGTAAGGGTACTTCAATTTCCCGTCCCAGCATAAGCATGTTGGGCGTCTCGCCAATGGAATAATTGAAGGAACTCCAGTAAGCCATTTTGCTAGGGCAAGTTGTTTAAGTCATCGCAAAATGGCATATAACTTCGACTAACTTCTCAGCTACCTTGAAAGCTTCTTGGTTTGGGATAAGATATCTTTCCGTCCACTTTGTGTAGAAGTTCGTTACGACAAGAACATATGTATTCCCGCGATGGTTAAGAGAAAATGCCCGAATTTGTACAAGGCGAGGCGTTCCATCGATGCACCGACTCACATACCACTTAATAGTGAACCTCTCTTCTTTCCCAAATACCTTTTGAATCCATTCTCATGACAAGTTCTAACTTATAAAATTCGTCCTGACCAGTGTCGAGCCCTAATCGCTCCAAGTGTTTTTTAACACCCCTGTGTCTCATCTGGTACTTAGCTCTGGATCCCCTTTCCTCTTCCCATCTTCGGCATAATACTTCATCTCGGATCTCAAGCTGATCCCATTGGGCCCAAAGTATCTTTACAGTGCAGTCGCAGGTCGAAACATCTCCCCTTTTTGGCCTGAAAGCGCCTGCCCCCTTGCATTGGATTTTGAAATAGAGGCCGAGATCCTTTCTTGCCGCCATGAAGGCACTCCCGAGTCCAATATGGTTTCCACATGACTGTATTGCATTTAGAGAGTCAGGCTGACTCGGTGGACAATGATCAATGTAAGCTTCAAAACTCTGCTAAACCCTGTTTTTCTTTGAGGTATTTACTCTGTCACAAGCCCTTTAGGCTCGACCCGCAACACTAAACACGTGTTTAACCTTCTTCCACCCCTTACACCATTTAAAACCAATGCCAATAGGAGCTCGTGGCATGGCATACGTATGCGGATACTGCAGAACTTCTCGATACTCAATCTCATAGATAAAGGAATCCATGTACACTATCCACCTAGCGAGCTACCCCTCTCGTTGCTTGAGGAACGGAGGAGTGCTCCGACCACTTGATCAAAATTAGGAACAAAGCGTTGATAAAGGTCCTAAGAAGCCCTTTACTGCAGTCGTATTCTCTGGCGCTAGCCAATCACGCGCACGTTCAATCTTAGTAGGGTCGATTTGTCAGTCTCAGTGCCACATTCAGACAGAATGTGACGCTCTTCGATCTTAAACAGCACACATTTACTCGGTTTAAGCTTATTTCCAGCAGATTAAAAACCATACGAACACCTCTGAGTATTCTAGGTTTTCTGCAAACTTTTTCGCATAAACACTGTGACGTCAACTAAATAAATCAAGGAGGTTTCAAACCTATGTCCTGACAAGGTTAGTTCCATTACGCGCTCCATAGTCCGGTGTTTGTGATGAGGTAAGAACCAAGGGCATAGAGGTCCAATCATACAGTATTGATGTAGTCACAAAGGCAAGATACCGCTACCAGCTGGCTCCATTGAAATCTGCCAGTAGCCTGAAGCCTGATGTAACATGCTGAAAAACTTTGCTCCAGAAAACAGGCAATGGGGCGTCGATGCGCGGCAGGGAACAAGGACATTTGACAGTCATCACATTTACTTGCCTGAAATGAACGCAGAATATTTGAGAATAATCTTTTTTCTTTTTTGAGCAAGAGTGAGTACAAATAAAGGTTGTTGTTGTTGTTGTTGTTGTTGTTGTCTTCACTAGTACCACGGGCTTGACAATGACAATGTATCCTTGCAGCAAGTCCTTTATCTGTCATAATTGCCTCATTTTTTCGACGGTGAAGTGCGGTGTGGATGCGGTTTGATAGGTCTCGTATATCCCGTATTAATGTGATGTCCTATTCGGCTGGACCTGCCAACATCATGCTCTGACAGGGAGACTACGTCTTTGTGTCGGTGCAACAAGTCAGCAACTGCTTTGCTAACTTTCCTCTTGGTCAAAATGTTCTGAGCGGATGTGGTAACGTTTCCCCTCTGCACTTTGAGAGCAATCTGAGGTCTGCTCGGGAATCTCCAACTCTACCACACTGCTCGCTAGTTTGGCCACAACTACAACAGTTTTCGCACCGATGGTTTGTGCTTTGTCCAATGTGTTTAATATTCGCACAGGAACAACAGCGTGTGGGTGTGAAATCGTCATCGCCACTCCGACGTTTTCGACTTCCCACTGTAGTCGGTTTAAAAGGGTCGGTCGAACTTACGGGTGTAAGACACTGCTCAACCACCAAAGTGAAGAAAGCGAGGAACTCATTTTGTTAACGCAGGAACGTTCAACATGCCCCAATTCATCCATCAGCTTTGTTCACCATTTTATTGGAAACGGAAAACTACATTGCAAAATCCTCTTGTGTACTAAGGAGGGTAAATTTAAATTTTTAGGGTTGTTTATATAGGCCAAGAAAATCAGCTGCAGAGACTTCAAAGAGCGGAAAAATTGCATCGCCTCAAATTACAGCCCTTTTTTTAATCTTCCCAAACAGAAGGGCGCGAATCATCCGATTTTCCAACCGGAAAATGGAAGTATCCCTGCAATTTTGTGGGGATCGCTTTAGGTTTTTCCGATTGCTAACAGGTTCTTAGTGAAGAGTTTGGACTTTCCATTGGAATGGCGAGGAAGATAAGATTTCAGATGAATCAAGTTAAATTTCATTCACTTGGACTGCAGGAGAGAGATTTAAAATTTAACGAGGGATCATTGCATTTATGTACGCAATGTAAGTAGTTGCAAAAAAAAAAAAAAGCCTAAAAAAGGATTCGAGCCCACGACCTCTGCGATACTGTTGCAATACTCTTACCACTGAGCTATCAAGGCAACTGGGAGCTGGTAACTTTGTGACTTATTAAAAGATGCTGCCAGTTATACACAACTCAATTCTGGCGAAGTTCTCAAGTGTGCGCTGGAAGGATGTCCTTAGCATAATTCTTTCCATAACACCGTACAGCTGTATGCGTTGTAGTTGTTACGGCCAGGTTAATTTCGTTTATATACTCTTTTTTGCCAGTCATGCCAGTTTTTTTCAGTCCCAGCTCATTCTAGCGAGATTCTCAAGTGTACGTTTTTATCTTATTTCTCTATTTACTTGGTATTTACTGTTTTTGTCTCCTTCATGATATTGTCAAATACAATATTGCAGCGATGTAACGTTGAGACTTATTGTTTCCCCCTCGCGTCACTAAAGTAGTGGCACCTGTGGCCGAGATAAGTAAACCAATTTATTTGGCACAAAAATTGAAGTGAATGAATCACATTCTTGTCAATAACATTAACTTTTCAGTTTTTTATTTCCTTCTTGTCTGTGTTACGCAAGTTCGATATTTTACGGGGATCTCTAACATCAGCGAGCGAACTGCACTTCTGAGAATCAAGCCCTAACGCGGTTAAGAGCCTCCCTCGTTTCCAGGCGCCTCCTCTTTGTACGCGAGGAAGTCTTACGCAGGAACGATACGCTCACTTTTTTTTACTGCGCTGTAGTGGCCTTTTCCAAGTAAAATAATAACAAACACTTACTAAAGTAAGGCATCCTCTGATGAAAATTGACTTTCAAGTATTTTATTTCCTCCATAGACATCGTTATATAACCATAAGATTTTATTAGGTTTTCTAAGGCGAGTTTAAATTACTCCAGACTAATATGTTATATTCCATTCCATTTCCTTCTCTGCGAGAAACTATTTCTTCTTTCCAACGATAACTTGGTATTTCTTTACGGTTGCTTTAAATCCAGGCGCGGTCCCTGCATTGTTGGATGTAAATTTGAGGTACATCACGCCAGTGGGGGCCTGGATTGCTTGGAGGGCGAATCTTTCACCATCAATATCGAAGATTAGATCGCTACCTGTAAAACGTAGAGGACAAGATATGACTTTTAACTCACTTTAAAACTGAATTAGTTAAGACTTGCTAAATTTTATCGCATGGGTGGTGCCAGTTTCTTTGCCCAGTCGATCAAGTTAACTGACGCAACAAGGCAACCGTACTAGTAATGTCTATCAATGAAAACAATCCAAACCGACTGCGACCCAATTACAGCTCATACCACTCCGAATTAGGTCACATTGAATTGGCTATTTTGTGGTCGTTGTTGTTGTTGTTGTTGTAGTTGTTACAGCTGATAAATATAGTAAGTAGTGCGAGATATTTAAGCCATCATCTTGCAATTATATTACACGCTTTTGTGTTTAAGAGAATTTAAAGCGCGTTGTAGATAAAGGGTGGTCAAACAAGAGCTTACTAACGACGTGAGGGGATATTAAAAAAGCGTGACGCTAGCTACTTGATTAAAAGGCCGGTGTTATGGAGCCTTTTCACATGACGTCAAGGCGGCCATATTGGTGTTCCAAAACAATTTAGCGGCGGCCATGTTGGTGTACCGAGCAAATCCTATGGGATTTGAACTAATTTCTTAAGCCTCGTGCGAGCGGGCGAAACATTGTTGGATGTTAGAAGTTACGTCCGTTTGCACACGCTGTTGCGTGTTGTTGGGATTTGTTGAGCAAAGTTTGAAAGCGGTCAAACTCTTGAGCAAACAACTCCTAACATTTCTCTTTTTCCGTGATCGCCGAAGCGTGGCGCGCAACAATTTTGGGTCGTTTGCACAACTCTTTCAACACTGTTGGCGCCGCTTACGCACATTACACATGGTCTCCAAAGTCTTATGTGTTGTATCCTTCCCACCATGCACCGCAAGTCCCAACATTATTGGTACTTGTTGTTTCCGTTTGCACAACACTGCCAACACGGACGCAACAAATCCCAACATTGTTAGTTGCGTCTTTTAGCACGTAGCTTTACGTAAACGCTTTCAAAAGTTGCAATAAATTTGCATGGATACTGAAAAAGTGAGTGGATTTCACATGGAACGAAAATGAACACAAATGAAGCTGTTACCAAATAGTCAGCTTAATCATTCTCAAATGCTTATCTTGCATAAAACAATTAATTTAAAAAAAATGATCAGCCTTGTAAACCGTTTTCGTACACGTGGCCAACAGCTTTACTAATTTATCCGAACACAGGGACGTTTTTACACATGAAAAAAGTTTGACTCCAAGTCCAAATGGACAAATTTCACATGGTCACCAACATGGCCGTTCTTTATCTGCTCTGGGACACCAAAATTGCGGACCTGACGTCATGTTAAAACTCTAATTCGTTCATTAAACTCACAGTTCATGTTTCGTCAACTTTGCAATTCTCAGAAGCGCCTTATATTTTGAACTCGATAAGAAGTTGTACTTGATTTTAAGCAACATGTATTTAAACTTACCTGCGTAAATGTCATACAAACGGTTTTTTACCCTGATGTCACGAAGATTGCGATTGTCTAGAAAGGTCGATTAATCAACCGACGAAGTTCCTTTTTTTGTTCTGTTTTTTGTTAATTTAATTGTATTGTATTTTTCGCAAAAATACGCTTCTTTTTAAATACTGATAACTTTGACTCTAATAATAGTGTTCAAGGCAAATTCAGTATCATGTAGAGGTCTATGAAAAAATGCATTTTGTTTAAGTGACTAAAAGCATTAAATATCGCAGTAGTCCGTGACGGAGGTATAGCATTTTCTATTCCTTTATTCCTTAATTGATTTTCTGAACTCATGCCATATGATTACAGCAGTACTTACCGGTAAAAGACGTAAGAGACGAGTAACCCTTTAGCAGATCGTATCCAGACTCGGTGTGGAACCGTTCAAACTCAAGCTGGAAGGCCTGTCCAGGATTAATAGCCCATACACACGTAACACTGTTGGGATAATCGCTGGGATAGTTGGGTGACATGACGGTTTCATCGAGTGCCGTGATTAAACCACCACACGCTGAAAGGAAAGGAGAATATTTAGACCAATTAATGACTCGCTCTAAGAAAGGAAAATCCAAGACAGTCTTGCATTCTGGATTCCACGCCGTGGATTTCGGATTCCAGGTACTAGATTCCAGATTCTCAGACAGTGAAACTTGGATTCCGGATTCCAATCATTAGTGGGATTCCGGATCCTTTGAACTGTATTTTCCCGGAATTCAGATTCCCATTGATGGTGCGAAACAACAATCAACGGATAAGAGAGAGATCCTTGGAACGAGGTTGATTTTAGATCTGCCATTTTGAACTGTGAGCTAGGAAAGAGTCAAGAAGATATCCATACAAAGCAAACTCCGCTGCAAATAATAACAAATATCAAATTCACGCTGTTTTTTTTTCAAGCTGAGCGGCCAACAGATTCCGTGGGGGCGTGATGGGCACAAACATTTTTGGAATTCTTGGGGCTATAGCTTTGTTTCCTTTAAAGGCATGTTTCTGAAATTGATACAAGCAAAAATACCTGATTCCAGAATATTTAAAATTAACTGTTCCTCTGGTTACCAGTCACGTGACTCTCTGATGGCCAATTAAAAAATCAAAACTCCCAAAAGTTTCTCCCTCAAAAGTTTGGAACCTAAAACTGTGATACTATGCAGAAATACAGTACACACAAAATCGAAAAACTTGTCCGATTTGAATTCTCAAACTTCATTTTTGTGACGTTACAACTGATGACGTCACAAAATGGGCTTTTTGGTGATGCACAGTACTAATCCAAAAAATGAAGAATTTGAAACAATAACTTGAGAAACGCGAAGTTTCAACTCATTGCCTTCTATAATTAATTTTAAGAGATATTGGTAATATTCCATGCATATTTTAAAAGAATAGTTTGGAAAAATTTGTGGCCGATTTTTAACACTTTTTTTTCCCAGCGTGATTCATGATTTGCAAAATATAATTATGCCTGCCAAAGAAGGGCTGTCATAAGTTAGAATGGCAAAGGTAAGGTATGGTCTTTTAAAACGTTCTAGAGCACCGCCCGTGAGATCCACATTCCTGTACCTTGAATTGCAAGTTTTTAGAACAGAACAGACCTAGAATGCCAGCAGTACTACAAAGGCCCAACAATAACGGAATCAGCTGAGCCAAACCAACTCAGATCATACAGTTTTACATTTTCAAAATGAATTGGCTCATGGCAAGAAAATAAGAGAACAGAGAAACAGTTGTTTTCAACACAATTGTGGTGGAAAATATATTAGCTTCTTGTCGATTCAAAAACTCCTTTCCAATTTCATATTCAACCATGGTTATTAAAGGGGAATGGTAATGAAACTCCTTTGTTTAGCTTTTTTGGACCTGACCGTGCGCAACGTTCAATAGCATTCCTATATTTTGAATTTACTGACCAATAGACATCGCATTAATTTATTCAGTTACAACTTGTGAACAAAAAACAAAGGATTGTGTACGGCCAGCGAGCTTCAAACGTAAACAACAGCACCATTGTTTTCAACTTTGACGTTTGTCGGCTTTCATAACCAGTCTCCTCTACTAACTATGATTCAACGTGGTAAGAAATAAAATATACTATTTAAAATATTACTCACCTGGATATCCTAGCAATGAATTTTTGGCAAAAAGAAAATAAACGTACGCATGGCTATATGATTTTACACGTTTAAAGTTACCATCAAGATCATGGGTTAACATACAGTTGGTTCTACTTGGATTTTCATGGCATCTGAAAGTCACTAAAAGTACCCCGGGTCTGGAAAGGTATTAGCGGGATACGGGATGTGACCAAAATACAATGCAGGATTCGGAAAACGTTAACGCACGGTATAAGGGATTTGGCTGCAACCCGAGAAGCGGAATTCACCAAAATCTGCGCACAGGATGCAGGATTGAGAAAGAGAAACGATTGCAAGCCAACGACGGTAGTTCGGGACGAGGAATTCTCGTAAAAAGAAGCAAGAATGCGGGTTGAGGACCTCCCCTTTCAAACTCTAAGTACTTTTGTGAGAACTGTCAATCGGAATATGATTTTTACTTACTGACTTGCTGGTAAGAAGCGGAAAATCCCTCAGAGTTTTCACTAGAGTCGGAGATAAACCGTATGTCGATAGAATTGCTCTCAGATGCAAATGCCACAGCACTGCTGTAAACTCCAGAGAGCGTTGTTATAAGTTGTTTCGATGAACCGTCGTAAATCTCGACCACATCGTTACCCTTCTGCGTCTTGAATGAATTGAACGTTACCAAGACTTTCTTGTCAGCAGGTACGCTTATCTTCCAACGACAGTAAGCATTGTCTGGATAACTGTTGGGGTTGTTTGGTGAGCCAAAGCTTCCAGAAGGACCAACAAGGCTGGCACCGCAGGACGCAACTGCGTAGTAATTTATTTTTTGAAAAAGTAAGATCACAAGGATTAAAGAGTAAGCAGCGATGCTATGATGTGTTGCTCAAGGGACAGTAAAACGGAAGCCATTGAAATTAGTTCTATTAGCGGTGTCCAAGGGAAAAAAAATTAATCGGTCTTCAGAAGATAGAAAACGTATTTTGTTGCTGGGATGGCCTTACATTTTGCATTAAGTGATCCCAACATTCAAAGACTGGCATTATTGATATAAAGAAGAGTGCGATGATCATGGCAACTGATACATAAAAATATATAAAATAAAACAATAATAGAAAAGATATACAAATTTGGCAGCTCTGTTTAACAAAATTGAAAAGTGCATGCCGCCTTGAACGTTCAAATAGGCTATATTCCGTTCAATAAGTTCTGACTGTTTGGACAATTAGAGCTCCAATACTCGTTGATCAACATTCCTAAAACGTATGTCATTGACGTTGAAAGAATTGAGTATCTCTTTAAAAGGGAATGCTTCAGTTCCTACGCAATTGACTTACCAGTACAAGAGACAACTGAACCAGACCATGATCCATCTAGCTGACATGTTCGAGTTCTGGAACCCGACAGCTGGTAGCCTGGGTCGCAGTCGTAAATTATAGTCTTGCCGTAGGTAAATTCAGATCCTACTCTCTCTCCATTGGCAGGAGTACCAGGGTCACCGCAATTGATAACTACAAAATGATAGCAAAGAAAAAATTTCTAATATCACTTTGGCCGGTTGACGGGCACTGATCGGTGATTTGTATTTCATTACATGAAATCTTGTTGTTTTTAAGGCATCACGCCACAAGCTGCAAAAAGAAATGAAATTATCAATGTGTTTGAGAGTTACCGAGAAATGAATAGCTCTTGCCGCAAGGTAAGCCAATTCGGCTTTATTGACAGTTTACGACGAATTTTGCTAATAAATCCGGAAGTAATTCTGTGAGCTCGAGAAAGACGAGCGAATTTCGACGGCTTACAGAAGATCAGTCACACCTTTTTCAAGAATTCGACAGTTTTTACAATTACGCTCACTTCTTAATCCTACAAAAGAATCAGTACGCGATCCAGGAAATGTGGGTGCTACTGGTGTCGTTTGTAAAAGCACTCATGTATGTTCCATTCTTAATATTGACTTGTTTAACATACTTAACCTACATAAAGCTTTCCACTTCATATTCGTCTCAGTCCCACTCATTTTTCTAGAGGTTCCTGGGCCACTTACACGTACTAAGGTTTACAGCACATGCAGATTCTTATCTGTCTAAACTTAATGCAAAAACTACTTCAGTCAATGAAATATACGTACTTTGGCAGGTTGGTTGTGTTCCATCCCAGTTATTGTCTGTTTTACATGTTCTGGAGCTGGATCCAACAAGATTGTAACCTTCATTGCATGTAAAGGTAACTACGTCACCATATTGATAGTTCTCGCCAGTCTTCTTTCCGTCGGTAGGTGTACCAGGGTTACCGCAGGAGTTCTCTGCCAATAAAAGGGACAAACAAGATTCAAAATATTACTTTTTGAGAACTCATGTAGATTTTACAGCTGCCTTGTTTGTCACTAATCTATACGAAAAATTCAAAAACAACCGTTAGGTAGGTTGCATATATTATGGTACGAAAAAAAGGTAGGACAATCAAACTGAAGAATGGGGCATACAACTCTCAAACGTGAATAGCAGTAATTTAACCACCTGACTTTTGCAGGAGAAAGAAGACATTCAAACCATACCAAAATGATTTCGGTTCAATTACATCGAGATTAAATGGCCAAACAAATCATGCCTCTTTGATGGAGTATAATCCAATGAAAATCTTGATCCACTGTGATTGCTAAAAGTCAGTAGCTGTGTGAAAACAGTTCTCACCGAAGTCAGGACGCCTAGCAAATGCCCGGCAAAAATAATAATAATAATAATAATAATAAAAATAATAATAATAATAATAATAATAATAATAACAATAATAATAATAATAACAATAATAATAATAATAATAATAATAATAATAATAATAACAATAATAAAGGGTTCAAGAAATGCGAAAGAAGCGGGTAAAGTTGAAGAACGAAAATTTCGTTTGCTGCCCACCCCCGAACTCCCAAAGTGTGGGTGGGTTTCATGCATGCTTCTGAAAAGCAAAGATAGATTAGTAATAGACTTGTGAACAATTTGTTGGGCAGTGTTCGCTGTTTTTTTGACAGTTTCTCAGACAGTGGTTCGAACAGCTTTTTTAAACGATGCTTTTCGGCAAAATGTTTATTGGTGAGTAGATCAACTTTATACAAGCACTTAGAACTTACCCAGACAAGCAGGTTGTGTTCCACTCCATAACCCATCTCCCTGACAAGTTCTCTCCTGTGAACCTGACAACTTAAAGTTTGAGGCAACACAAGAATAGGTTACCTTGGCGTTGTAAGAGTAGTCTGTACCGTGGATTATGCCGTTAGGTACTGCTGGAGGGGCACCGCAATTTACCACTAGAAAAAAAAAAAATAAAAAATAAAACACATTTCAGTAAGCCATTAAGACATCTACTTTTTTCCCTAGGCAATCATCAAGGGCCTGAGAGTAGTTGAGATGGATTATTAATTTCATTACGTTTTCCACGGTCGCCACTTTTCTCCTTACAACATCTTAAAACAAGGAAAAAACCGTCTTCAAGTTGCTTGTCGTTTTATATACCGTAAAATTCCGAAAATAAGCCCCGTGGCTTATATTTTTCAAAGGCCCTTTTTGAGGGGTTTATTTTTAGAGGGGCTTATATACGGAGGGAAATTTGCGTTTCGAAATCGATTGGGCTAGCCTTATAGTTGGAAGTAAATTTACCGTTTTTGCTTTGTTTTACTTTGTATTTGAGGGCAATTTTCCAAGTACAAGCTTATGTTTGGAAGGGCGATTTAACGGAGAGTTTTTTTTGCGTTACGAGTTTGGGGGGTTATATTTGGAGGGGCCTATTTTCGGAATTTTACGGTACCCTACCCCTAGTTGCTTAGTGGCTTCAAGCAGGCTTTTCAAAGTATCAATTAAGAATTGAAATAGACGAACACATTATCAGAACAGTGGTACATTTTTGACAATGTACAGCAACATAGGTACCGTGTTATCAAATGAATTCAAATCCGAAAACAATGAAAATAAAAAACTGATGTGACGTGAGTGACGCAGGTGAACTTTTTGCATTCTTGGGCAGAAGTTTTTGATATGAGGGGGTGAGGAGGGGGGGGGGATGGGAATCGTCTCTACAAGCTACTTAGCAATTTACATTTGTAGGCATCAAGGCATATAAAAAAGAAAAGTGCCTTCTGACTGACGTGTGTCGCTCAAAGACGCCTTTGTTTAAGCTCTCTAATGAGAGCTTTTACTTACGGGTACAAGAAGGGGTTGGCGAGTTCCAGGCCCCACTCTCACAAATTGCATAAGACTGCCCAACCAACTTGTAACCAACATCACATTCATATCGAATCGTGTCACCATTTTTCCGCTGGAGTCCAATCAGTTGACCATTGGATGGGACTGAGGGCTCAGGGCAGTCAGCAGCTAGCAAAAAAGCGAAGAGACAAGAATAAGCAATAAATAAATAAATAATTAAACAAAATAAATAATTCTCTAGGTTTAGCTAACTGGGATACAAAGAAAATTAAATCTTACAGGTCTGTGACTTAGTCAGTGTACAGAGAGGGTTACAGCTATTTTGAGAAAGGTTGTTGGATAAAATGTGCACGCGACAATCCCGAAAGGTAATATGGGATACTACTGATACACTATTCCTGGCCACTGCAGCTGTCGAAGCTACTTCTGTTGCTTTCCTTTAGCACGTACAAACACATTTCCATGGCCTTCTGTGCCACTTCTTTCAAATTTCTCTGAAGAACAGTGAGCTCAAAACCACCCACAATACCTTTCGGGACTGTCGCGTGCAATTTTCCGACCTTTCTCGAAATAGCTGTATATAGTGCACTAAGATCTTGGGGCAGTGACCATGCTACCTTAGGAAGCCTTTAGAAAGCATTGCTATATTTTTCAAAATTGCAGTAGCCTCGATCCCATGTTTCGTAAAATATTGATTCAACATTGTATATAGCTCAGCAACATACGATGTTGAAGGCAAATGAAGTTCATTTGCGTGGAATTGTTCTTTTCAGGTGTGTAAAAAAGCGCCACAATTGCAAATTTGCCCCAATACTTCTCGTACATTATAGTGGGTTTCAACATGTCTAGCTGCACGACAGGCTGTTAACGTCAGTCGAGTAATTTTCTTTTAATTTGATTATTACTTGTAAAGTTACTGCACATAGCATTACACGGCGTACCGAAATTTATATTCGGAAATTCTAGTTACTTCCCAGCTGTCGGTAACAACCGGGGCTATTTTGTCGTTTGGTGACAATTGGCTTTGCCAATTTAAGGCGGGAAGTCCGTTCACTTAAAGTGTCAATTTCTCACTAGCTGGCTTTGCTAAGGATTCTTTTTCTTGTCACAAGGACTTTCTTATCTACGAAGGCACTCCCGTTTTTCAAAACGTCGAAAACAGGCCCCAGGGCTTATGGTTTTAAAGGGCTCCTTATTATTCCGTAAGGCTAATTGTAGGATTACATTCAGAGAGGTTATCTTTGGCTGGATTTATCCCAACTTCCCAGATGTAACGATTCTAATATTAACCAGTTTCAGCAAAAACACGTGACGACAAGGACGACGGCTCGGGCAGACCTTAAAATCGGATTGACCAATGTCAGAGAGGCGAAGAGCACCATAAGTCGCATTAACTCCCTTCCGTGTGCTTTCGAGTTCTCAGTTGACGTTGTATTGTCTTTGAAAAATCTGCATTTTAATTCTTCCGACGAGCACTGTTACACCCGATGTTTCATACCTATACAGCGAGGATGCTCTCCGCTCCATGTTCCGTCAGCCTGGCATGTTCGTGTTGCCGATCCAACTAGTCTGAATCCTGAGTTACACGCATAGGAGACCACTGAATTGTAATTGTTGCCAGCAGTTGTGGTTTTTGTGCCGTCCTGTAGTTCACCAGGTATGATGCATTTTACCACTAACCAAAGGAAAAATAATAACAATAAAAAGTCAGCTTGCTCGCTCAATAATTCATTCGTTCATTCGCTCACTCACTCACTCACTCACTCACTCACTTTCTAACTCACACTTGTTCGTTCGTTCGCCTTTTCTTTCTTGAAACATAAATTCAACGAAACCACCGCGAATACCATTCTTTATTTAAAATTCTTTCTATAAATGTTGATTTTTTTTTCGGAAACTGCCTCAATCACTGCACACCTTCGAAAAAACAATACAACCACATGGTTTATTTGTCTGCAATAATTTCGTAAACCTCACCATCACAACGAGGTGCGCTGCCAGACCACGTGTTATCAGCCAAGCAGGTTCTCGTGGAAGCTCCCCTGAGGATGTAACCTTGGTTACACGAGAATCGTACCGTACTACCAGTAGTCGTTGCTGGGCTAGCAGGATCAAGAGCTCCATTTGCAAAACTTGATATCGCTGGAAACGAGTTCGCTGTTTTTAAAAAAAAAAAAAAAAAAAAAGAAAAGAAAGAAAAGAAAAGGATGCATGATTCAGAGAGAGTTAATGCAGTTAACATTCTGTTTTATCATGTCGCTGAGCCAGTCTGGTATATTATTGGCCAATTTTCGGATCATGACTTGCTGAAGAACCCGAAAGAAGATTTTATCCTCTGTCTTCAATTTGGTAGCTACAAACACGTTTTTCTTGACAAAAGTCCATCAAAATTTAGTTAAGCTGTTGATTTTAAACTTGTAAACTTCTCCATTTACGCTTTTATTTGCTTGCTCCAATAATATTACTACTAACAATATCAGTACTAATAATCATAATCATAATCAGTTACAGAGTGAAATTACTTGAACCGTGAAACAGATAATAAAAACTAGCGCAAAATAGCTACAAATAAACGTAAGAAGACAATAGAATTTGTGCATAATAGTGCGTAGTATTCTACTACCTATTTTACGGGTTAAGTAAACTCACTCTAATCATAATAATAATCATAATCATAATTGTAATCATAAAATCGCAAATTCTTTACTGATGGTATATCCTTTGTCAAACGCCTATCATACACATATTTTAATAGCTTGCCTCTGGCTAGCGTTCAGGTCCTAGATATGGTACTGTGAGGAAGGAGGGGCAGGAGGCTCGGTCTGTGATTTACAGACCCGATCTCAAGATTAGCTGATAAAATATTTGAATCTTGAAAGGTCTTATGCATATGGCAATTTGTTGCATTTGATTTGCATTTTGATGAAACAAAGAAATATTATTTGAATAAAAGCTCTAATTCAGGGGATAAAACTGTTCTTTCGTAACAAGAAAATATACCTAAACAATGAACAGCCGTTGTGCGCTGGGTATTAATTCGCGTAGACCTTCCCATAAGCATTTTATCTAAAATATAACCTTTAGTTATGCACATGTCTCGGATCTGGCATCTTACAAAATTTGGATTTTTCCCTTTTAAAAGAAAAGTGACTGTGCTCTTTCACTAACGCTCGACAGCAAGTAAGCGCTTCTAGACTCCTTGTTAATATTCAATAACTCACCTGCGCACGTTTTTCCGTCAGCATTCAGCGTATATCCAGCGTTACAGAGACACTGATAACTTAGATAGGAGTTGACGCAAATATGTTCACAGGGTCCCAATCCTCCGTTAGTAGAGCACTCGTTATCGTCTATTAAAGTAAATAAATAAATAAATAAATAAAAAGAACTGTTTAAGCTTACAAAAAGTTCTCTTAAAATGTTAAGCAGTAGTTTATCGACTTTTTGGTAACCTTTATTTAAGTTCTTTTTCAGTCTCTTCAGTAGCGGATCCAGGATTTTTTTTAGGAGGGGGTGCACTGGTCTCTTGCTCTACTTCAACACCAATAAACCACATAGTTTTTTTTTTGCAGAATACCAGTTGTATTAGAAAACCGCAGGTCATCTCAGGGGGGGGGGGGTGCGCACCCCCTGGACCCTCCCCCTAGATCCGCCCCTGCTCTTCAGTAGCACTACACCACAGCAGACTCATTCCTAAATGTGTTCTCATTCTTTTTTTTTTCACAGTTCGTAAAGTAGTTATGAAAAAAAAAAGCATCTCAATCCTTTACAAAACTCCCTTTGCTTCGTATAATGTAATTATATCATATCATTTCCTATGTTTTACTTTAATCAAACAACTTACCTTCACACGAGACACCGTCGGACGAAAGCACGTATCCCGATGAGCAGGTACAACGGTAGCTGCCATCACTGTTATGACAACTTTGCTGACAGTTTCCGTTGTTGAGGGAACATTCGTTGATATCTGAAAAACAAACGTCATTTTACTGACAGTTAAAGCATATAAACCGCATTTTTATACTATCACCCTTAATTTGGAAATGGAGGGCTTTGGAACTCGGACACCTACCTGCGCATGTTTTGCCGTCTGCATTCAGTGAATACCCTGAATTGCACGTGCATTTAAAACTACCGTATGTGTTTACGCAGCCTTGTGCACATCCTGAGGTCCCTTCAGTACACTCGTCAACATCTAGAAGTCAAACAAAAACCCTTGAATTGCCAATAAACTTAATTTTGCTACGTCTTTGGATGAAGATCGGTGAAGAATAACTTCGTTTAAAACTTAGAAGTTAATGTTATTAACCGTGAAATGATGCCGGCAAGGACAAACTAACAGAAAAGAAACCAACCTTTGCCTACCCTGGATAGTGGTAAAAAGGAATGATGATGAAACAGGTGCCAAGAATAATTGCACCATGACGTCAATTCACTAAAACTACCAGAATCCTTTGCTTTTTAGTAAAAATTAGAGCTTTAAAACAAAACTTAGCGAGGTTGACAAATTTAAATGAGCAAATAGAAAATAATGTATATTAATTTGGCAGTTGTAGTCAAATGAAGTCATCGCGAACATGGCCCATAGTGATAGACCCGATACTGTTTAGCATGCCGGAAAATTTCGGCTTTTTAAAAAATAACCAAACGTAATGAGGCCCACATTTCACAACCGATCATTTCTAAATATTCTAATCTATTTCCAGTACTAGCATGGAAAAAAATATAAATAAAATGAAGAACAAGACGTATACTAGGTTGAAGAGTGACATTAATATTTGAAGTGGGGAAGGTTTTATAAAGACTGATAGAACGGTGCTTACCGATGCATTGTGGGACCGCTGCGTCATATTTTCCATTAACACAATTCAGTGTTGCCGTTCCGCTTGCCCTAAATCCAGCATTGCATGTAATTGTCATTGTTCCTCCATGCGAACGGCTTCCACTACGTTGACCATTAGCTATCCTACCAGTGCATGGGCACTTCACAGCTGTGGTGTAAAATCAAGTGAAAATGTTTGCATAAAAACTTCCAGAAATCCTTCCCTTTAATCAGTCAGACGGAAACGAAAACTTTTAATCTATTTGTATAGGTAATAGCATGATTTGTAGTGATATTTGGCATAAATACCACGAGTGATATTTCGAAATTGTTATACGTAATTTCACGAGCCGTTAGGCGAGTGAGATTTGAGACAATTTTGAAATGTCACGAGTGGTATTTATGCCAAATATCACGTGCAAATCATGCTATTATTTGTTTATACTACTACCCGCAAAAGGTTTGTAATTTTCACTTGTAGGTATTTCAAATTAAGCTGAAATACCACTGCTCTAAGCCAATCAGATTGCAGAAATTTCTCATGTAGTAGTATAAGGGAAGTTAATTTACCTTTCTTGACGATTCTAAGTTACAGAAGGAAAAAAATGTGGAATGTAGTTCAGAATCGTATAGCCTGAGAAAACAGCCGACATTTGGCGACGCTACCGCTGGTTTTCCCGCCAAATGAAGTCTGAGAAACGAGCGCAGAAATTCCATACTGATGACGCGTCACTACCCAGATCTGGGTAGTGCTTCTGATTAGTTGAATCAAATTTACCAGGCGGCACGACCAATCAGAAGCACTACCCAGATCTGGGTAGTGACGCGTCATCAGTATGGAATTTCTGCGCTCGTTTCTCAGATGTCATTTGGCGGGGAAACAAGTGGTAGCGTCGCCAAGTGTCGGCTGTTTTCTCAGGCTAAGATGTAAGAATCGTACGGAAGCAAAATATATGAAATCTAAAGATTTAGCCATACTTTACGAACAATTTACTTACATAAAAATAAAATCGTGTAATGCCAAACGCGAGGGTAACGAGAAGGGGAAAAATAATAATAAAAGAGGTGTAATTAGCATAAAAAGCAACTTTGCACGTGCAGCACACTTTTTTGTACATTTCTTTGCCGTTGTTGTTGTACGACTGGAACCTGAAACTCTCTAGTTTTATGGAGGAAATGTATGTTTTCACAAAGAAAAATTGTTGTTTGTGTTTGGCTATTTGATTTCCTTTCCACTGCAGCTAATTTTCACCTTACTGGCCGCTAACATTTCTCATTTTCTCACCACCGCTTTAAATTTTTAATGTTGTGTTTCTTACAAAATTCGTCTCCTTGTTTTTTATCTCTCGCTCTAGCTCTTTCTCTGTTATCCAAGTCAGCGTAGACAGAAATTTAGTCGAAAAAATGATCCGGCTTTGTTGTTGTTTTTTCTCTCTAAAAGTGCAGGTGGCGAAGATGACCACAACATGGACCTCTGTCATCAAGTTAAACACAGGTTGCAGACTACACACAGAGTAAAAAGGGTCATTTCACTTTGGGTACCCTGTGGTGCGGATGGACGGGCATATGGTCGCCTAGCTGCCAAAATGTCTCGGATGCATAGATAACCAAATTTTCTTACTCATGGCGCTCTGCGATAAGTGCAATAACTTACATTACTGATCATTGCCCTTGGCATCCTACTGATAAATGTGGATACAGTTGCTAGCCATTCCAAAAATACTGATTGGGTATCCAAACTATATGGCGGTTAGTTCAAAGTGCTTGCTTTAATAATTCGGATAGATAAAGTTACAAAATTATCCTCCCAGCTCTCCCTTGCTTAAGTCTTTGTTTACTTAACTAGAAATAGAAAGAATGCTTTGTCGCCTAAAGCTTGGGATCAGTGTTTTTGTAAGGCTTCCTTATACATCGAGAGTCAACGCAAGTCTATGGCTTTTTTTGTGGAGGCTTAAAAACCTGCCTGTCATATATATATATTTTAACTCAAACGTTACTCCTTTGGTTTCGATAGAGTTTTAACATTTAACAAACTTCTTAACTATCTTATGCACCTGTTTCACAGTGTCTTCCTTCGTATCCGGCATTACATTTACACTGGTATCCAACTGGTAGAGCTTCACATGTTCCATGGGCTCCACATGGGTTTGAAGCACAAGCAGTGTTCGCTGGGAACGCAAGTCATACATTTAATTTATATACAAGTTTTGCGAATGCCTCGTATTATTCAGTTCAAAAAGGTTCGAGAGGAGGATTCAAAAAAGGGGCTCAGATTAGGGGAATCCTAGTCTTAGTCAAACTCCGTCTTAAGCAAAATTTTAACATTTTGCACAGAAATCATTTAAAGAGGTGATCAGTCTAAGGCCTAGGCCAAGCGTCGAATTTTTCATCAGAGGAACCAAACTTGGTAAGTTCGACGTGTGGCTCAGTTGAGTTAGTCTGAATGAGTTTGGATAGTCCAACACATTCTATCCATCTGCTTCAGACGGACAGAACGTCTGAAGATCGTCTTCGGGACAGAACGTCGATCTTCAAATGCGACAAACTCAGCTATTAAATTATCAATTTGTATGAAAACTATATTTAGCCTCGTTCGGGAAAGAAAATTACAAAAATTGCTTTTTGGTCTGATGTGGTTGAATGGTTCGACGCGTCGTGAGTTCGACATGTCTGGCCCAACAGACGATCTTAAGATAATTTAGGTGGATCCAAAGAGTTTCGTTCGTCTCCTGAAAGTTTGTCGTTTGGCTTAGGCCTAAACAAATGACGGAATTGCAAGAAGCTAGTTTCCACCTTTGCACGTGAAAAAAAAAAAAAAAAAAAAAGGAAAATAGAATGATTTACATAACGATACAGACCACTCTGCAACCAATTTTCATTTTACAAAAAAGAGCAATGCGATTAATTACCTTTTCTAGATTCGATGAGCACTCTAGTCCTTTGTTTAAATCTCTTAAAATTATAAAATTCCTGGACCTAGTAACTTTTCATTTAGCAATCTTGATGTATAAATATCATAATCAATTGTTGCCATCGGTCTTTAATTCTTTTTTCACTAAAATTTCGCAAATTCATACCTATAATACAAGGCTTGGTGCAAAACAGTCTTGTTATCTTCCAAAAGCAAGAACAAATTACGGTATATTCAATATCAGATTTCAAGGTCCATCAGTATGGAATTCCATTGACGAAGATATCAAATTATCTTCATTGTCTTTGTTTAAAAAGAAAATGAAACAGCACTTTATCAAAGATTACTAGACATCTGTACATTGTCTGGGTAACTTTAAAATGGAAATAATACTTTTTGCAAAATGGAAATTTTAATACTTTTATTTGGTAGTTTACTTAATTTGTATGTCTGTTTTTCTTTGTTCTTGTGTTCCTGACCTAAACATTTAAACATCTTTTCCTTTAACTGGCTGCCTGGCATTTTTAACTCTTGGGTTATTTCGGGCAGCCAGCGCCCCTATCATCGTCTGTACTATTGTTCTTGTATATTATGGGGTGAAATAAAGTGTTGTTGTTGTTGTTGTTGTTGTTCTTGTTGTTATACAGACCATAGATGCGCGTATAAACAGTACCAGTAAAGGGATTTTATGCTTACATGGGCAGGTGCAGACGTAACGAACTTTGAAATCTGGGCAACTTCGATCCGCTCTCTGGTCACTATTCAAGCACGTGATTCCGCTACTTGAGCACGTGGTCTTATTAAGCTCAACGTCAGGCATTGATAGCCCATCAACTGTCTGACAGGCGAAGGAGGTTGGACTGGCGCATGCGCTAGAGCTGGTTTCAGTATCCCCGTCACCAGTTGACGGTGAATCGTTGTTGATCCAGTTGGTCCAGCACTTGTTTTCTGAAAAGAAACCAAACAAAGGAATAAAGGTAGAAACGATATTATACATAACTTATCTGTTCCAGAATGGAGCCCCTAGATTAAGGCCTGACTTATGTTTGAGGTCACTACCTTTGTGTAAATTTGTCTCGTGAAATTTGGCTGCGGTCACACCAGGGGTGTCGTGTTATTTAAGCAATTGACCACCCTTTCTATGGGTTTACCGGCGTGATAATACACGCTGGATGTTGAGAGAACACGAGAAAAGCACAACATCCTAAGTGGGTTATCACGCCGGTAAACCCATAGAAAGCGTGGTCTATTGCTTTTATAAAACAACTTGGTTTTCTATGAGTTTATCGGCACTATAAACCGTAGGTTTTTAACCAAACAGAACGCGCGTACTATCTTAGTTATTTTATAATTTCAAATAGTGCTAGTGTGTGTTCACAACTGTAAGGTACCAAATCTTACCAGCTGAGTTTTCATGTTGAGCTCGAAACGTCAGTTTTTCTCATTTTACGGTGTTAAATTGACTTCGAATTATTAAATTGTAGTATATAATTAAGGACTGAGAAAACAGTCCATTTGTATTTTGTTTTGCTTCGACATCTTTGAGCTTCTTTTTGAATAAAGATACCGGTTTGGTTTCAGGAAACCACGTTTAAACACACATAGTCACATTTAACATAGTCCGGTTGAACTGATCGTCAAGTGGGCAGTAATATCGTTAATTGATGCCAAGTGCAGGTTCGAGAAGGGAACGAGGAAAGAGGTGCTCATCCAGAATTGGAGGGTGGGGGGCACTCCTGCAGGCCTGAAGGTTTGAGTCGAAAAGTAAGCGGGGATGAACTTCCCGGCGCTTTACACAGATCTCTGGGTGGTACGCTATTTAAGGGAGCTGTGTTTCGAAATTTAAGCGAACGAACTGTTACCAAATCGAGTGAAACATTAAAGTACAGTAAAAACCCGCGACTAAGAACCTGCATTTTCCCAAGTCAGCCTAAACATGTTCTTACATAAATGGTAATTAGCACATATTTAGGCTACTTTAGGTTCTTGAAATAGGTTCTTATTTTCTGAAGAAAAAGATACATTGAAGCTAAGAGCATTTAGTGGTATGTACCTTAATTCCTTCTATAAAATATGCAGATCATTACATTACAGCTGGTGTGATAAGTCTCCTATGTGTTCAAAGAGGATCCTGAATGTTGCAATTGACTTATCTTATTTGCCCAATTGAAAAGAATTTTCTTTATGAAATTTAGAAAATAAGAACCTGTTTCGTATTTTAGGCTAGACAGGTTCTTGTATAGAGGTGGCCTAACTTGCAAATAATAACCTAACAGGTTCTTAAAAACCAGTTTCTTAGTCGTGGGTTTTTACTGTAACTGCTCAAAACGTTAAAAGAAGGCAAATATAACACCGTAAATACAAAAAGAGGTACAGATAGACAAACTTCAGAAATAGAAACGGATTACAATAGTGGGTTTTAAAAAAAGGTGTCAGCCTAACAGTTTTTCAATGTTTATTTTCGTTGTTTGTAACTTTGGATATAATGTTTAGGCGACATGCTAGTCTAACACGTAGCTGTGATTTTGTCATTTACATGCAATTTGTCAACTTCCATAGCGAAAAAGGGCGCGTAATTGGGATTATAAACAAAATGAGCTAGACAGCCGTGACACTACATCTCCTTTAAGTTTTGTTATCTCACCTGTTCGAGCTACAGAAGGGGAAACTTTCTTGATACCCTGATCTGCAGGATCGTAGAAATCAGACCAAGCAACGACATTTCCAATAAAGTTATTAGCATGCCTGGCCATATCTGCAAGGTCGCTCGCAGGGAGCTCGTAATCCCACACATTCATCTGAGTCATATGGCCTATGAACGCTTCATTTGCACTGAAGTTTGCAGCTACTTCGTCCTGTTCTTGTCCAAGCACAAAGAAACCATTTGCTGAAATTACCTAAAGATAATTTGAATGTAAGATAGAAAGAATTTAGTTTTAAGACTTAAAATCCCACGTTTTTTGTTTCTGGCAACTGGAACCTTAAACGGTTTCCTGAAACTAATCTGAATTCAAATTAAAGACGCCTACACTTCACCCTGCTCTAGTGTAACAAACCAACTACATGCTTCGTACATGAATAGGGTGAGGATGAGCGTGCATGATGTTGCTTTGGTTTCTTCTTTTCCTGGATCCAGGAATTTTTAATGGCGTGGGGGGGGGGTGGGGGGACGGTTGGCTGATACCAATTGTTGGCCAAAAAATTACACGTTTACTTTATTTTAAGTTGTCCTACGTTTGTCCCAGAACATGGCGATTTAGAAAGGACGAATAGTCCCTTTTCGAGTTCGCTATGACCGCTGAATTAAAGAAGTGAAGACGCATTTTTCACACCCTTAGCCTCAATCTGAAGTAATATACCCACAAATTCCAACGAGAAAAAGACCTGTTTATTACTCCGTCTATTGTGTATATTCAAATCTCAAACTTTACTTGCCAGAATTTCTGAATATTTTACTTTACGTCGAGGCTAACCCTGTATGAATGTGTCGTTAATGTTTATATATTCAGCGGTAATGTTTGATTTGAAACTGGACTATTGAAGACTGTATAACTGCAAACTCTTGAAAGCCGCAAAATGAAAAATAGAAGCTAACAGAAATACCTTACTAACCTAGTTGGCCAAAAGTGAAGACGGCGTCATTCGTCTAGGGTGAAGCGCCACAAATCTCTCACAAACTATACTTCTTTCGATGGTTCTGCATCAACATGTATGGCGATTGCACGTGCCTCTATATTTTTGGGGACCCACGTATTTCCGTTTGTTTTTCAGTGTAGGTGGGCTGTCCTACCTCCCCCCCACCCGGGATCCACCCCTGCGTGTAAAACAAAAAACTTACCTAAAGTTTCCCCAACAGCAGTTTAACCTATGAAATTCTCGTTATCAGTCCACTAAGTTACAACAGACTCTTGAAAACTAATAACAGCTGATGCAAAAGTAACCAATAGTACTTACCTGTCCTGCTTGAAACGCGGTAGTGCTTTGCTTGACGTTACTTCCATCTTTGTACACTTTCCATGCACCTGATGAACTCTGCCAAGTGAAAGCCATGTGATGCCATTTGCCGTCATTTGCCGGTACATTGGTTGCTTCTTTCTCTCCCATAATCCAAATGTTAAAGCCATTGTAGTCATGAATAACCAGAGCGTTATCCACAATGTTCCCTAATGGTCCAGATGTAAGATATACAGGAAGGTATCTTTAGGTCTGTCCCATAACTCATTTAGATAAATTTTGAAGAAATGAAGATTTTCCTTATAAATACAAGCCCAGTTCGTGCGTGTAATAAATCTTTGATTTCGATAATAGCTAACAAAGGCCGTTGATACGATAGTTTAATGCACAGATCGTCTAGCAGGGAGTATAGGGCTGAAAAGGACAGGTGTTGGCAACATCGAGGTTGAACCCATTTGACCGTGACAGTATCAACTCACATGTGTAGGATCGGTTCACAGTCTTAAAATAGCGCTTGTAATACATTAAATGATAACAGCTTGGAATACAGATTCTGGTCTGGAGTGGACGCGCCACAGCTCACTCCATAGAACTGTACCACTACAGAAACGTCTAAGCACACAGAAAGCGACAAAGGACATCTTCTTAACACGTAGACTTAGATACCTATTTCTTCATATAGCAAAAGCTGCTACTTTACTTAAATTAATTGCTGATAGCATTGCCAGCGTGCATATATCCCGCATTGGGAACTTTGCACACTATGGACCTAGATTCAAGTGAAATAATATTACCTCCGACTTCCGTAGCGTAAGAAAGAGGCGTTCCCGGATCAATTTCGGTGTTGGCAACCTTTAGCCAGAAGGCAACGGTAAAAGCTGTCAAATTCTGACGCATCTCGACGATTGATGCCCCACGGCCAAGTGACCTACTGAACTCGAAGTCAAAATCAGTGGACACCTCTGAAACAAAATGAAAATAATTTATTTTTTTTATGTTAAGACTTAGAAAAATGAACAGCCGCAAAAAATGACGGTTATAAGTTTTTATGGCGTTTTACCCAGGAAACAGTTTCAAAGATTTTTTTTTTCGAACGACCAATCAAATTTCTGGGTCGGTTTTATCGCTCCTTAATTTTTTTAAAAAAATTACCAGAAATTTTCAGTCAGATACCTGTCTCGCAATTTGTTCCCTTGAATGAAGGCTTACAATAGCATTTATATCCATTAACTTGGTCAACGCAATTCCCGTTGTTCTGGCATGGTGAGCTGTTGCACTCGTTAATGTTGACGTCACACGTTGCCCCGGCATACCCTGGCGCGCAGCTGCAAACATGACCATAGCTTGTGTCGGTGCAAGTCGCTCCATTCAAGCAGGAGTCTGGGAGACAGCCATTGTCGTTTTTTTCGCATTGATTACCACTGTACCCTGTAGGGCAAGTACATTTGAAGGAAAGGTTTTCGACCGAACATGTGCCACCATTTTTGCAGGGAGACGATTTGCATTCCTGAAATAAGAAAGCAAAGAAATTATCAAATACATGGAGAGACACGAAAACAATAACAACAACAACAATGTAATTTATTCAATATCCATAAAGCTTACAATACTTTATGCCCTGCAAATTGCTATAGCGCCAATCTAGGCAGGACAAAAATTATAAATAAAATCGTTATTAAATTACATATTAAGAAAAAAGGAAAAGATAAGAAATACAACAACACACAGAAAGAAAAACTCCTAACACAAACTCAAGCGCGAGGGTTTTGTTATTAGAAAAAAAAAAGACTAAAATTACAACTGGAGGTATATTACAACGTATCAGGTTAACTACTCAAAATATTCTATTAAATAAGTAACATTCAAATAAATATCTTCCTTATCTAGGGCATTAAGGAGTAGTGATTTAATTTTTTTTACGAAAATTAGATAAGTTGAGAGTTTTAACAGAATGTGGAATAGAATTCCAAATAGATTCACCAATCCTAGTAAAATACATTGTGCTAATTAAAGTTTTTTTCTCGTCCTTACATTTGATTGTTGCTCACAGAACGTCCCTTCGTATCCATCAGGGCATTCACAGTCGTTCCCTTCTGGTGTATTTACACAGGTAGAACCACTGGCACACTTGCCGCTGGAACATGTGCTCGATTTCACATCACAGTGCTGGCCAGTGTAGTCTGCTGGACACAGGCAAACGTACCCATTCACCTGCAAGGAAGCAAACAAAGATCCGCGGACTGCTCATCGACAAAGTTGTGAATGAATGATCGCACAATCCATCTTAAAGAAAGGAGCTTATAAAACTACACGTTAGTGACGGCAAAGGGAAGGCAACGACAAAGTCATAGAAGCGAGATTAATGGGCAAAAAGCAACTTCAAACAGTATCTTTCATGCGCTTGATTAGGCCCAGAGTGTTCGCTTTTCGTCGAAAGTGGCATTATCCTTTTAGCGGCGTTTTCTTTTCTTGAAATTTACTAGCTTTCTTAGCGAGTCTCGGTGGTTCGTTTGGGCTTAGTGATCTCAATAAAATCTCGGTCTCTAAAATGATACGTTGTCTCTGCTTATGTTTAAAAATCACATCAAATATTCCGTTCGAAAAAGCAACCATGCCGTTTTAATATTTTTAATAGTTTCAATGTCATAATTTTAACTCGGAAATCGTTTTTTGACTTTATATGTGTTTTAAATAGTTTTTGATGCCACCAGGCATTAGTTTCTTTTAATATTGATATTGTAGATGTAATATGCAATTGACTATATATATATATATATATATATATATATATATATTTTATCACATACTGTCTCCAATTAGTGTGTAAACACTAGAACGACTGACACTTTAATGAAGTTACTTGCCTACTTACTTACTTAAACGCTATGTTCCTTTGAAAGCTATATTAAGTATTCCGAGCCTCTTTGTTAACTATTGTTTTTAAGCGGATTGAATTTAGTTTTTTTGTTTGTTTAGCTTGCTAGACGCGTGCTATAACGCACCCGTGTCATTTTCGCACGTTTACCGTAACACACTGCTAGAAACAAAGGCTATTGCGTGCAGGTTACATGACACTTATTTTTTCTTATTAAACATGCGCACGTATCTGTAAAATATTGACATGCAAACACTTTTCCCTTTTCCTTCTGCTTTCATAATATTTATGATCTCACCGTTACGTAGCGAAACCTCTTACATCATGAATAGCGTAAGGTATGGTCAGTATTAGACAAGTCTTGCAATACCGACCCGTCATTTCCATCGTTTAGTTTTAAAAAATTGCTCTTAATATAAGGATTTTCCTACCAAAGAAGAGGAGAGGAAGAGGTATCCTTTGATAATGTTTGATTTAGTATTAAGAGTATTTAATGAACACAGATATACCCGTTTGTCCCATTATACCTTGTCGACGCATGATGCTCCCTTGGCGCACGGGCTCGCTACACATTCATCCTCTTCCACTTCACAGTTAGTTCCTGTAAAACCTGGCTGACAAACGCATTTGTAGCCTTCAGCGACTTCAACACACGAAGCGTCATTGTTGCATGGATTCGAGGCGCAGTCTTGAATGTCTATAGATCAAACAAAGAAAAGTGCCGCATAAGTAACTTAGAAATTTCACATTGGTCAATTGTCCTGAAGAATTAAAAACTCGGTCAGGGATATACGCAGGCTTTCAAACAACAATTCACCTTTCAAATTAAAGACGCTTTGGTCTTCTTCCATTTTTCAATGATTAGGTGCTGAGATGTAGATCATAGTATAACTTAAGATTGGGCGTCTCCTTCATACGTTCGTTATTCGTAGCACAATAACTCGTCGGTGAATTTATCTGTTTCTATGGATCACGTACCCACAACTACTACATTACGGGCCGGCGATCACATTGATATATTGCTGGGTGGTGCGAGACAAGGCTGTGGTACTTCCACTTACCGATACACTGGCTCGCCGAGGAAGCACCTGTTCCGTAGGTTGATTTGGGTGCTCCACAGAGAAGACATGAAGTTTGTTTGACCCCGGGTTGGTAGTATCCTTTGGCGCAAGGAAGACACGGTTCAACACCAGTCTGGGAGTATGTACCAGCAGCGCAAGGCACTAGAACATATAAAACAAATAATATGTGATAATGTAAACAGTTGGGCAGAAAAAGTCATTTTTAGTTACTAACAGAATTGCGACCTCGTCCACTTCACCGGCTGTAGTCCTGTGTGCGGCTGTTAAGGTTTGTGTCTCCCCATGTAATCTAATCCAAGACAGTCTAATGGATTCTTGATTTTACGCTGTGTATTCCGGGTTCCAGGTACTAAATTTCTTGGTATTTCACACGTTTCTATTGAAATATATTTAAACTTAAGGCCAGAAAGAATGTACAATTGTATAAAAACCCAAAACTTATTAATAAGAAATAAGACCAAAAAAGTTTCGATCTTGTATAAATGTAATTTGCTTAAGATTTTATAGATTAAAATAACACACATTGATATATTTTGTTGGCCTCGCATAGTTCATTTGTGCTACAAAACAAATCCTAAAAAAACTGACGACATCATTTTATATCAATACCCAATTTCTACATTACTTATTGGAGAAACCAACACTAATTTTCTTGTGAGTCTAGATAAGTGTTTAATCGATAAGGTGGTCCTGAACGACCGTAAAATACACTCACTTCCGCATTCACTGATCGATTTGGAACCTGCTGCTAAGGTCACTGATGATCCAGGACAACTGTCGCACGTTGATTGACGTACAAGAGATTGATAATAATTGATGGGGCATGGAAAGCAGTTGGCCAGACCAGTGGGCGAGTACTCTCCAGGCTGACAGGCGGCTATTTAAACAAATAGAACGAATTATCCCATGTGAGACTTTTTTCGGCACCAAATCATCCTGTCCGAGAAAACTGCGAGCGTGATTTTCGCTTAGTGCTTCTAGCTCAAAAGGCAGTGAGACAAAAAGTAGTCAATTGTATTCCAGATACTTGGATGGTGCAGTGGTGAGAGCAATGGGCCCTAAAAATGTAGCCTGGATGCCAATCGCGGGGACGACGCAATTGTGGGTGTGGTTTATTGGCCTGGTTCTCGCCAATTTTCTTAGAGGTGTTTCTATGAGTACCCCGATTTCCCCTTGACATGAGACGTGATAGAGGAAGAAACATTCTGTTGATGCGTTCATCAAACCAAGTTGTATTATCATAAATTCTGCCCAAAAATATCAATACTTTGTCAAGAAACATGGCGGTCTTGAATGATTGTTTCTTCCTTAAGCTCCTTTTACCATTTACCATGTGCAGCATTGCGTATTGACAACAATATGCAGTTGCTGAAAATACCGTAAAATTCCGAGAATAAGCCCCAGGGCTTATATATTTTTCAAAGGCCCTTTTTGAGGGGCTTATTTTTGGAGGGGCTTATATTCGGAGGGGCTTATCAATGGAGGGAAATTTGCCTCTCAAAATCGATTGGGCTAGCCTTATAGTTGGAAGTAAGTTTACCGTTTTTGCTTTTTTCTTAGTATTTGAGGTCAATTTTCCAAGTACAAGCCCCCGGTGGGCTTATATTTTTGAGGGACGATTTAACGGAGGGGATTTTGCGTTACCGATTTGGGGTAGCTTATATTTGGAGGGGCTGCTACATGGAGGGGCTTATTTTCGGAATTTTACGGTATATCCAATATTGTATTTTTTACTTTTTCGTACCTAAACATTGAGTTATGTTTTTACTTCCGTTGTTCAACGTAAAAGTGTTTTCCGGACAAACGATACACTCTCCGAGTTGTCCAGTGGATGGATTGTATGTATCTAACGGGCAATTTGTGCAACTTCCGGCGTTAAAGTCAAAGTATGTTCCTGACGGGCAGTTCTCTAAGAGGGAATAAAGACAGAATCATTAATTCATTCATTCGCTCTTTTGTTCGTTAACTTTATGTATTTATTATTGGGCTGCCTGTGGCCATTCAGTCGTAAATTCGGTTTCGTTGGTCGTGTCAATCAAAAACTAAAAATTGTTAAATATTAACCCTGATTTACCCAGAGGGAGTTGCCTTTTTCGTTTCCATTATGAAAGAAAATGTTGCATGGTAGCAAATTAAAGTGAACGTGCAAGGAGTCTCAAAGTTCCAATTTTTGGTGTCCTAGTCTTCTTTATTGTCTTATCTTTTGAAAATTTTTAATTTTGAAAATGTAGTTTAAAAGAAACTTGACGTTCGATGACTTCATGTCATCATTATCAAAAAATAAGAAATTAATATGATTATAATGAAACAAAATTATCAAAGCTCCAAGTTTCCATTATATTGTTCATTTTTGTTTCAAAATGTAAAAATCATCCTTATTTTATTTTTATGGTTGATTTATTTAAGGAAAAATGGAAATCCTTAGGGGCATTCCTCTTCTTCCATTTCAGTAACCAGAATTCTTGGAATATGTCTGCGACATTATTTGTCAAGCCATGCTCTTTTCGACGTTTCTTGTTCTTATCGTCACGTTTTTTACGATAATTATCTAGATCTTTTCCTACAAATCTTAAAGGGCCCTAAATCAAAAAAGCGCCAACACTTAGAATGAGGCACATGGAGTACGTACGGCATTTCGTATTGTGGCCAAAAGCTTGGTTGAGACCATACACACTGCCATTTACGCACACTCCGTACGTAGGGGTGTCTGTGACATTGTTCAAAGTCATAGTTTGTGATCCAGCATTCATTGATTGCATCGACGGATCGGTTTTTGCATTGGTAACGTTCTGTTCTAGAGAGGTCTTTGCTTGATCAAAGTCATTGTTTTGAGTCTTAACTTCCACATCAAGTTCGATGATAAGGACGGGCTATAAAATGAAAACAAAGAAATATCATTATGTGGGCCCACGTTACGAAACCTTAGCCCCTTTTTCGTTGGTCTCTCGAGGAGAGTAGCCTGTCATTCATAATACAAATCCTCCTGTATTGTTATATTTGACTTATTTTGAAACTTTGAATAGCCGGCGAATTTTACTGCAGTAGCCTGCTCCCTAATGACAGCCCCGTCTAGTAGGTTTGCTGATACTATCAAGAACACTTGGTTGCTTTTTCCGAGAAAATGTTTACTCTTTTTTCTCTCGTTTCATTTAAATGGTCTCAAAATAAGAAACAAATATGTGGACTGCAGCCACTTTAGTCAGGAGAAACGGGGACGTCCACTGTGGGCGTATGGGACGCATAAAAGTGCATCCTAGGGATTTTTGCATTTTTTGTATTTCGATTTTAAAGTTTTTTGGCGGAAAGATGACGTCAGAAGATTGACAGCCAAATAAAATAAATAAAAGCAAATTAATAATTTTAAAAGAGCACGACCCGTTTTAAAAAAATATGAATTTTTTTTTTGGTAAAGGTCAATTGGTTAAAGAGTTATTAAGCTTTGATTTTTGAATTTCCCGCCATTTTGTTACTTTTTTTAGAAACATACGTACATTTCAAGATGCTTTATCTCCTAAAACAATTGACCTTTTCCAAAGATGTTTTCACATTTGTTTCTACACGTCACGCTCTTTCAAAATTATTTCTTTGTTTTGCCATAACTTGAAATTTAATGAGTTTTGCTGTGAATCTTGTGAGGTCATTTTCCCACCATCATCCATTCAATCCTGAATCTCGGCCCAATTTTGCTTTTTAATCCCAAGCCCCGAGCCTTAAATAAGGGAGATCCCGGATCCTGAGAAACCTATTGGGGACGCCCAACTTAGCCTTAAGACCCCAGTTGTTCAAAACGTGGAAAACGCTATTCACTGGATAAATCACTATCCACTAGATAGCGCAATTGATTTCCTGTATACTTATCCACTGGATAGTGATTTATCCGGTGGACAGCGCTATTAAGCTTTTGAACAACTGGGGCAAGGACTCTATTATGCAGCTCACTACTCACCTGTGCAGCTCGACGCTTTCGTCTTTGCGTCTTTCCACATGTGACTTTAATGTTTTCAAGTGCGCATACTCCCTCACGTTGGCAATAGTTAGGATCGCCGCCTCCAAAAATCGCGTTTAATCCGTTCTGGAAATTGATCTTGGCTTGTTCTTGCACTGCAGGATCCGAGCAGTCTCCAACAAAATATTGCCATTCCATGCCCTTACGTGCAGCTCCAGGTACATATTCCTCTGCGGGAAGTCAATAAGCACCATCAGAATATTCAAACAACTCAAGATTAATCGATTTCGGCTCATCAGCGAAGAAAGATGCGGGACCACGTTTTGTTGAAATCCTGCAGAAATTCGTCTGCCATGGCAACTTGACGTAACGACTTCTCCTCCCTATTCATTTTAAGGTGGCTCGTGAACAGCAGTAACTAACACTTCTCTCTTTTTTGTCTGCTAGTTTATTACTTGAATGTTTAAAGTCAAGTATGCGAGCCAAAATTTGAAAGTAACCTAACATTGCCGAAAATGCTGTGATTTCAAGCAAGAATAGTCTCATTATGATCTCTTGTTTCAAGATAATAATATGGCTTAAACCTCTTCAACACTGTAAACGGCATAAAGCGGTAAACGCCTTTTTCATTTGATGTTTTAACAAAAGTACGGGAACGAGAACGCCTTAGGCTAAGCCGGTCGATTTTTTCATGTGAATGCTGTGCGAGCTTAATTCTGGAACTAAACTCATTTCGGTGTCACGTAAACAATCCCTTAACCGATTACTGATCAAGGCGAACAAATCTACAATGGACGGGGTAACTTAATTCATTTGGTAGGTTGTTGTATCAATGCTGAAACTTGAAAACTTTACCTTCGAACTGGCAAATATCCTAAGGGTTAGAGATGATTGCCAACGAGCAGCCTCGTGAAGACGCGAGGCTGCGAGGCGGCAGCATAATAAAGCCGCGCGCGAAAGTTCCAAGGCAGAATGAATCTCGAAGCGATGTAACATAAGGTGGTGTAAGGTAACGTTTATGACGTAAAACAGAGAAGAGAATATACAAAAAATATGCTATTTAAAATCAGTATTTCAAATTCTTTATGCAGTAGGACAGATTAGTTCACCATTTTCAAGGTAATTTTTGCTCCAGCAATCGAATTGAGTTCAAAATATTTTACCCAAATACATTGCCTGTTTATTCGGGCTAAGAAAAATGATAACGCTACAAAAATTATTGTCGTTGAAGCAAAATAATTCGGAAGGCATCATCGGCACACCATAAATCCTTTTTTTCCTGAAAAGAGTAGACTTCCTAAGCGTTAAAAAGAGACCAAATATAAATCTGTTTGTGGAATATTCGCGGACTTATGGTTTTTCAAGCATTCTAAGTTTGCTTATAAAACCACTAAAATTTACGCAACATGCAGTATCTCGAAAAATGTGCTATGTAAAGTTGGGATTTCAAGTTTAGTTCACATCTTTAAAGGTAATTTTTGGCTTATGCAATCGAATTGAGTTCAAACTATTTTTCGTGAATAACGGTAATTCATGACGTTTCTAAACAAACTGAACAGCGCCGGCGTCTCGCTAAAATCTTTGCTATTGGCACTCAGCGCTAGACAATAACTAGTATATATCAATGAGCCAAAAATTGACTCTGTAGGGGTAACACAATTACTGGCAACCCAGTAGTTCCTATTGTGCCCCACAAATAAGTACGGAAACAAATAATTGAAATAGACACAATAAATTTTGGAGGCAAATCAGTTGACTATTTTACAAGCGTGACAGAGGAGTTAAAGTGTTTCGATACAGTTTTTGGGATACCATACCGATGTTTTTCAATCACTTAAAAGTTGATTTTATCCTTGTCCGATTGCTACAACATTTTCACCAGTGATTGATTATGAATTGAAGTTTGTCAAAATGCAGATTTTAGTAAAATCGATATCACTATGACAACAATAAACAAAAAACTTTAAAATAGATATAATCCGAATTTTGCGCGATCTAGCCTACGAACCGGCGAAAAATCGGCGTTACAACATTCACTGTTTTGACGTTATGCTGATTTTTCCAAATTAATGCCCACCATACATAACTCCATGACTGGTACATTTCAGTGTAAATATTGTCTAACCGGGTGTTTACCTGTGCAATCCGGCCAAGGCATTTCCCGTGAAACTGTTGGTCGGAAATCCCAGATGTACCAGTTACCACTTGCCTGGCAGATGTAGAAGGAAGCTGGGATTCGAGCAAATTCTTTTAGCTGGTTACACTGAGGAGTACAAGCTTCTCCACCCCACAGATCGGAATGCGAACAAGTTATAAGTCCGTTAATTGGTGGATCGTATGGCTTGCAGTTGACAGCTGAATACATATAAAAAAGAATACTTCAGTTTTAATTAAAAAAAAAAAGACTAGGAAGGATCAACCTACTAGCTAGTCGTTATTGTAATGAATGGTGAGTCTTATGTTTTCAGCAGTTGATAACTACAGTAGAACCCCGGTAACTTGAACTCTGAAAGGACACGAAAAGTAGTTCGAGTTTTAGGAGTCCATTTAATCTTCAATTTACCATCATGATGTTATATATTGATAGTTCACTATCTTATATTTCAGCACTTCGGTATACAGCAGAGCGCAAATTAAACTTGTCTCATCAGAAATGGTAACACGTTTATACATTTTTTCCAGATAATACAGGGAAATGATTGTCAAATACGTGATCTGCACTCGTTGCAAAAATTGTGTTGTGTTAGTTTTAGGTGTTTTACCGATTACGCGACAAGAAAAGCTATAGGGATGGCAGTCGTGGTGAGTTGCAATAACCAGAATTCGAGTTATCGGCGTAAATTTCAGTGAAATCTTGACCAAGGGAAACGAAAATTAGTTCGAGTTAGCAGGGAATTCGAGTTGTCGAGTTATCCTAATAAAAATGATTTAAAGTAAGGTCAAATCCAAGGGAATTGGGAATTAAGCTGTAGCTATAGCCATAGCCACAAAACACGTAAATCTTCACGGCCTTAACCCATATAGAGGCTGACCGACCATTTCGTTTTCAAAACTGACCAAAACAAAAGAAGCTTCTGGAGCTTTAAAAAAGCCTTAGCATATTCTTCTCCTGCAAAAACGAAAAAGCGCAGTATAATATGAGCATCGTTTACTTACTCGAAACAACGATAATAAATGTGCACGAGGCATTGTTTCCCACGTGATCGGTGGCATCGTACTTCACTTGATGTTGACCTGTTCTGAAGTCAGACCCGTTGATTGACTCGGTGAATATGGTGACCGCCTGGCCGGAGTTATCACTGTATGTTGGGGGATCCCAATAAACCTTAATGGTTGGCTGGCTGTTCTCTTTCTTAACTTCCTGGTTTTGTGGACAGTAAATTCTGGGAGGTTCATTATCTGAAGAACAAATTAATGGATTGCAAGTTGAGTTACCCTCTAACAGTTTTTCAACATTCATTTTTTGTTGTTTGAAACGTTTGATATAATTCTTGGGAGACATGTTTGTTTGACATAAAGCAGAAATTTTGTCATTTCTCAAGCTCTACAGCAAGCAAGGACAGGTAATATTAGGTATACGCCACCTCCACATACCTTATTTCCCCCCCAAAATTGTGCATAAGCTTTGTTTTTCATTAGTCCTAGGTTTTACAGCCTTCCCAAGATAAATTGAAAGCAATGCTGATGCAAAATTTTGGGGGGCAAATAAGGAGCATTATGGGAAATGCGGAAGTGCAAATGCTAATAAAATAAACTAGACACCCGTGACACAGCCTCTTTAAGAAGGAATGTGGGATCAATTTAGGTTTCTGGGAAACTGCCCACCTACCCCTCTCCTAAGCCAACAGTTACACTTACCTCTCGTTTAGGGCAAAATGTTGATTTAGGGGAGGGGTATGAGGGCAGTTTCCTAGAAACCTAAATTGATCCATGATGAGATGAATTGGTCTGAAGTAGTTTTTTAAAGAGGCCTGGGGCAATTGATTATGCTTGGACAATGGTTTTTTGGCTATATCTTTTGACAGGGGGAAGGATTTACTGATTTAAGACTTCCCGCTCACAAGCTTCCACTTATCAGTTTCCATCTCCAGAGGTACCGCTGATCATCCGGTTCCAGGGGCCCGTTTCTCGAAAGTCCCGATAATTAACGGGCCCGGTAAGCTGTCTCCGTTTACATAAAAGATCGAGGTTTCAATAGTTTTGCATCAAGCATGATAAAACTATCAGTTAGTGAAACAAAATGGAGTAGTTTGCTAGCCAGGACCCGCGCTCTTATTCTTTACATTTCGATATGAATATTTGATTTCAACGTCTGGAATAAATGCAATCGAAGTTTACGACAATATTTTTGACAGTGCTTTGGAAGATCTAGAATTATAAATATGTATGTATTTATTGGAAAGTATGGACATTCATTTCAAATAAGAAGGGCTAAATATATTTAAGTCACACTCTTTGCTCTCTTTCAAGCGACTTACTAAAAAGCAGGTTGATACAATTTAAATCAGTAAGGTCTTTCTACGTCACAATTCTAGATTCAGCCTCGTCCTGCCTTGTTTAACCAATAAACGTTTTTTATTTAGGTAAAGCCAACCTTAATAGGTAAAGCCGTTAACTTCTTTTTGTAATCCATGCACTTAAGGTCATCTTTACAGTCTCGCTGCATGAACAAGTTCGCCAAGTCTATTAGAAAAATTCACCTGAGCTGGAATTGGTAAGTCGCTTCAATGTGTAAACGAAAATCCGATTCGACACTATTAGTCTGAAGCAAATGTTTTGAGAGCATTTTTTATAGACAGTTTCTCGCTTTAGTAGAATCGATGATTACTGTCTCAAAATGAATTCACGAACGTGGTTTCAAAATTAACACCTTACGACATGCAAGCATGATAACATAAATGTGAATTTTACAAGGGCACCCAACGAGAATATAGTTCAAAACACTTAAACATGGCATTGTTGAACGTATTTCAGTATTTAAACGGTAGATAAAGGCATATTTTTATCCCCTAAAAATTTTTCATCTGTTCGGATGTCCTAGCTGAAAGTCTAGTGATCTGAAAATTATAGGGATCAAAACTTACCATTTCGAAAATTTCAGCCAGAAAAAAGGGTCCCGAAAATTCTAGGTGACCTTTTTAGGGTAAAAATCCGTTGAAAATGGGCAATTATACCATTTTTTAGATGTTCGAAAATCCCAGAAGAGGCAGGCAAGCAAAAAATTTTACAACAAATATTCCGAAAATTCTAGACCTCAAATCGTCTTCCGAACAGATATTTTCCCAAAATTGACGTTGGGTGCCCCTGATTTTACTTACCAATAATAGTTACGGTAAAAACGCACGATGCTGAGTTGTTGCTTTTGTCTGTGGCCGTGTAGGTAATACGCGTTGTACCGGTGGGGAAGTCGTAAGGGGAGGCGATATTGAGCGACTTTACAACAGTTGGTGTGGCTAATGGATCGTGCAATTCTGAGTTGTCACTGACCACTGGATCGCTCCAAGTTACTGTCCTTGTTGGACGCTCAGGGTCTGTTCCGTTATATATATCGGCAGGGCATGTTATTAGAGGTGGTTGGTTATCTAAAGGAAAATACAAGCACGGATAGATTAGATGACAGGCAATTTACTAAAGGCTTTTAAACTTAGCTACAGTTCATATTTCTATCATTCCGCATAAGCACATAACGACATTCTAGTCCTAGACGGCGAGCAGTCTCTTATTTTTCTTTGCAAAGTTACTGCACGCGAAACCTAAGCATGCGAGCGGCAAAGCGTCTTTTCTCGTCTCGTCTCAATCCCTTATTATAATAATAACGTCGTGGTTTGCAATCGCGCTGGATGACATAAGGACTAGACGGATTTTAAGAGAAAAGGTGGACTGCAAGCAGTCTATTCTAGTCCTAGCAGTATGTATATAAATTCGAACCTAGTTTAGTGGCTTTAGCTCTCACTAGTTTTCTGTCGCGATATATACATCTAGCAGTAAAAAAAACAAAAAAAAAACAGTCTTTTGGTTATCAGTGCATTACTGGGTGTATAAGTAATATAATAAACCAGGCAAAACCAGGATCCCCTTTAAATTAGTTGCTACGAATAGCTAGCAACGTGATCAAGTTTGCCCTTTTTGGGCATTGACGGACCTAAAGGGAGTAATTCTGCGACGGCACCTTCTACTAGGTAGAAGATTGTCGCTTATCATATTACTCTTTATAACATAACAAAAGTAAATCGCGCGCTCTGATTGGTCAGTTAGCCACTACCATTTGCCCGTGGGTGCACGCCAAGAGACTGAGCTAGCGCGGTAAAATTTAGGCAAATTCAACAATTCTCCTCTCCCAACGGTAAAATACACCGATGAAATGCACAGATGAAAAGTGGAAGTTGAAGAAAATACTAAGCTGTCGTTTTGAAGGAAAAAATACAAAAGATCAAGCGACAAATTTGCCCTGGATGAATTAATCACTGTTTTCCTTGCGGCTAGAATCGGCTGAAGGAAATCGAGCCAGCGAAGATTTAAGGTACATATTGTGTGTTTTTTATAGAAGAGAAAGTCTGTTTGAAATGTAAATTTATCAATTAGCATTGTGTTATTGACTTTTTGGCCAAGCTGATGCTAAATTCAAGCAATTATTTTAGGAAACACGCTCAAATTCGAGACAGCTTTGTTGTGAAGTTTTCGTCGCATCGATTAAAATTTTAGTTGAGTTTAAACGGGCACATTACGCTGGAATAAGCGAATTTCATTTGAGTACAGAAACATTTGGATTTTCAAATAGATTTTTTCAAAAATAACCTGTGTGTGTATCACTTTGTTCCTCAGTGTTCATTCATAACAGTCGATCAGAACGGTCGAAAAACAACAGCTTCAGCGCCGCCTGTGTGTCGGCGAGTTTCACGTTCAACTTTGACTTTCATAGCTGGATTTCCCCAGACAGATTTCGATACAAAGCTAGTTAATTTCTTTTTACAATTAGTGTTACCTGTTATTCTAAAGGAATTACAGTTGAATTTTCTCATTTGTACTTTACGTGTATTTCAAAAATTGTCACATAAATAAGCTTGATAATTATTTCATTTATTTAGTTTTAGCTGATTTTTAAGAGTCGTGTTAGTTGGTGTTTAAAGTTGCAGCTATAGTTTTCCCTCAAAGTTTTTACCCTAATATTAAGAGCAACTAGACAGATGCCATGAGAATAACACCGAAAAACGTTTTGCAATTTACATTAAGACGGAGAACGGTTGATTCAGCGAAAGAAGAACTCAGAGGCAAGTTTTTGAAAAACATAGAACATGATTTGTTTACGAGCGGACAGATGGCAGCATTCATGAACTCGAACCGAAGGCAAATGGAAAATAATGTTTTTCTCTTTTGATTATGTTATAAAAGAAATGGTAAACGTTGCAGCTGTGCAACCATGGAGTTATGGATGCACTTGGGAGGTTTGCTAAGCACCCAAGAAGCTAGAGTCGCACTCGGCTATCGCCTCGTGCGACTCTTACGCTTCTTTCGTTCTTAGCAACCTCCCGCGTGCATCCATAACTCCATGGTTGCACGCTGCACGTTTACCATTTCTTAATTTTGTTGGTCGTTTGTTAGTGGAGCGTGCTACCAGATTGCTTTCCCACCCACCAACCCTAGATTGTTCTGAATGACGATGGCAGAAAAGTTAATTATTCTCATCGTTTGACAGGAGCCGATCACTTGTTTGACTGTCAGTTTTCTTTACAATAAACTTCTCTCTGTGCCAAAACACCAGTTTGCGTGTGATCGTTTAACTTTGAAGGGGCCTGTTGGGGAATTAAGCATTATTGTACACTACAAAAGAAAAAGTAGTACCATTGCAGGATGGAAACGTTCCTTGCCACGTGCCATCGGCGCCACAGGTCAAAGGACTATCTCCAGTCATGACATAACCAACAACACATCTCATAACGCATCCTCGCTGGTAGGGCTGTGGAGTCGTTACACAATCGACGGGTTCTACTGTGCCAAATGCCAGTGAACGTAAGGCGGGGCACTGACGGGCTGCAAAATCAGCAAACGCAAACCATTAATCATGATACCTTGTGTAAGTGCCTTTTTTACGTATGGAGGAGCTCTTCCCCTTCAGTTTTCACAGGATATGTGTGTTTTTCTAATAATTATCAAATCCGTATTCTTGAGTCCTTAACGGTGTGCCCTTTTTCGCAAAAATATAAAAACTGAGAAAGGAAATTCCGAGAGAATTAATTTAATTATATCTAGACCTGGACTTAAAGTTTTTATAGAGCTAAAGATGCGCGCATGCAGTCCAAAAAGTGCTTATTACTAGGGGTTTTCTTGTGAAAAAAAACATCTTTTATCTTTTTCGGTACCGAGAATGGTGCTATCAAAATATAGAGTTAATTTTTAATTTTTTTCTTTTCGTTTAGTGTAACAAATCCACAAGATCCGAGGTTTAAATTAATATATTGGTTGCTCCCAAGAAAGGTTTTTTTCCAAGAAGAATATCAGCAACCTGCTTTAGTTTAAACATGATCTTTTCTTATATTTGAGAAACCACTGTCGGGTTCAATAAGATGCCAAACTTCTCAATTTTTACGCCTTTACAGCTGCTATATAAAGCTAGGAATGAACTGTGATTGTTGTATATTATGTGACTGGAGATCATCTGAGAAGTTTCATAGCCACTCAACATAACTCGGTCGTGTGCAAAAGACCTCAGTACTATCTCAAATGTACCTTCGCAAGTGGCTTGAGTTCCTGACCATTGGCCATCGGCTTGACATGTTCTTACAGAGCTGCCCTTCCTTTCGTAGCCCACATCGCAAGTGAAAGTACACTGATCATTGTATTCGGACCCCTTCCCTGTGCATGTCTTAGTACCATGGGCCTGCTGTGGCAACACTGCACAGGTAATGACTGCAACAAAGCGTAAAACATACTGTTGAGATCGCTTTAAACGTTTTTCCCTTTAAAGCTTGCAAAACTGATCCACTCAGGCGCCCCACACAAGGTAATCCAAGATTCTGGATTTCACGCTTTTTCTTAATTTCCTGACCGGATTCCACATTCCTTGTCAGTAGGAGCTTGTATTACGGATTCCAATCGTTAGCGGGATTCCAGAATGCTTGCGCTCAATTCCACGTTATTCAAAGCCCGGAATTCTAGATTCCACAAGCAAAAATTTCGGATTTTGGAATCCAGATTACTTTGCATGGGGAAGTGCCAAATGGGGCGAATTACATGGGGCGAAATTTAGGGCAGTGGAGTGGTATGGAGGTGCCGAATGCGAAGTTTTCCTGATGAAAACCAAACATGGTATCAGAGTCTAATGACACGATCGTTGATTCACCAAATCCGGGTAATTGCAAGTGAACAAGGCAACCAGACCCTCAAATAGAAACACCCGTAATTCATTATCTGTCCTCTCTTGATCAAAGTACATGTTAAATTATTCGCGTTTCATCCTTGCTATCCCGCGGGCTGACAGGCAGAATTGCCCGCTAGCCAGTTCATACATAAGAATGTTAAATTAATCGCAAAAAACTAGAACCCACAAATTCCTAGTAAACGATGTGAAATCTAGAGTAACATCACCTGTTCTGATGAAATAATTGGCGAAAATCAGGCTAAGCTAAGGAAAGGATTTTCGATCGAACGAAATCAGTACTCACTCTCACACCGTGCTGGTGTGCCGCTCCAAGCCTTGTTACTTTGACATGTTCGAGTGCTTGAACCTTCTAGATTGTAACCATCATTGCACTGGAATTCACAGACACTGGAGAAAGTATTTCCACAGGCAGCCCTGAAAGCGCCGTTTGCTGGAGCCGCTAGTTGTTCACACTGGACAGCTTTATTACAAATAGAAAATCACAGTCATGTCTTAAATTAAGAGCAATGAACAATATTAGTATGTGTTATACTATTAGTATAGGTAATAGCATGATTTGTAGCGATATTTGGCATAAATACCACGAGTGATATTTCGAATTTGTTATACGTAATTTCACGAGTCGTTAGGCGAGTGAAATTTGTGACAATTTTTAAATATCACGAGTGGTACTTATGCCAAATATCATGTACAAATCATGCTACTGTTTGTTTATACTACTACCCGCAAAAGGTTTGTAATTTCCACATGTAGGTATTTTAAATTAAGCTGAAATACCTCTGCTCTAAGCCAATGCAGTTGTTGTATATCACGAGAAATTTCTGCAATTTGATTGGCTTAGAGCAGTACTATTTCAGCTTAATTTGAAATACCTACATGTGAAAATTTCAAACCTTATGCGGGTAGTAGTATAAACAAATTATAGCATGATTTGTACGTGATATTTGGCATAAATACCACTCGTGATGTTTCAATTTGTCTCAAATTTCACTATAATTACGTATAACAGTTTTGAAATATCACTCATGGTATTTATGCTAAATATCACGACTAATCATGCTATTACCTATACAAATTAGGAGCAATGAACAATATTAGTATGTGTAATCATATGGTGAAAAGTGAAATTAGGCAATAATTTCAGGTACATTTTGTCTAAATTCTAATAATATTATGGATGGCAAATTACGCTCATTATTATACACTGTACTCACTATCTGTTTTCTCATTGGCTAAGAGCCTACAGTTAATACTGTAAATGCAGCGCAACCTACAGATTTGTTAGTTATCTGCTAGCAGATAATTGACTAACCTGTAGGTTGTGCTCGCAAAGCATGGTTTCCAATAACAATATCAAATCATGTTCCTTGCGAAGGTTTGTTTGTCGTTATTTTCTTCAAAACAATGTATAATAAAAACAATTATTACTTTCAGTTTTTGTGATATCCTAAGTAATCAAGGTGTCTCACTTACCGAGACCTTGATTATTCTAGGTATCACAAAAAACTCATCCAATAATTGTTTACAATTGGCCACTTCCTAGTTCCAAAAATCCTCACGTTCATGAATTTTATTTGCATGAAAATGAAAAATTTACAGTCTCGCCAACAGTCAGTACAGTCGATCTCGGAGAAAGAATCCCGTGCGTTTAAATACATTTTAAATATCGGGTTTTGGGGAAATTAGTGCATAAGCCGCTGCTAGATCCAGGTTACTGATTATTAACACGATATATACGCGTTCACCGTGTGAATTACAAAGGTAAAACAGCGCGTGCCTCAGTGGAATTAATGAACGAACACATAAACAAGAAATGGTCTCTTGTGCCGGATCAAAAACTTGTAAGACAAACAGTAATGAACTGACCCAACACTCATTCATTCTAAAAATAAATAAATAAATTTATTTATTAATAAATGAATGAATGAAATAAAAAAAAATACGCTTATAAACACTAAACAAATTCCATTTTTTTGGCCTAGCGTAAACAATGGTTTATAAGCCCCCGAACTTGTTAGCCTCCCCCATCAAGTTTAGGCCCATCAACCTGTGAACAAAAATAATACATCTGATTACAAGCCAAATGTACTCAAATGAAATTGATTTATTTTGACGTCTTTCAAAAAGCGTATTTTGATCAGCAGTGCTATACATTGATTCCAAGCACTCGGCCTTCGAGTTCCGCCTCATGGGCTATTGACTCAGTGGCCATAAAGGCGAGAGGAATAATTGTTTTTGTAAAATCCAACTAGTTGGTCAAAAAAATAGCAAGAAAACAACTTTAGCTAGCAAAACACGATTCAGCCGCCATTATTTTGGTTTTCAAAGCCGGCGCTTTCGCTACTAGTGGGCTATAACATATAGCCTAGTAGTAGCTCAACCAATCAGAACGCAGCATTGATAAAAGACCACTGGTTGGATTTTACTGAAAGGTTATATGCCCTCCGAAAACCCCTAACGAAGATGTATAAACCCAGAGCTTACAAGTGGCAGTTAAAAGGTACATAAGATAATTACGTGTGCAAGCGACGCCAGTCTTTGGATTCCCCTCGTATCCAGTCCAGCAATTGCACTCATCTATTAGAGTGCTACCACTATTAACTGTGGTGGAATTCTCAGGACATGCAGTACACTGACTTGGAGTCGCCCACGTTTTGTACGTGCCGCGGATGCAGGCTAAGGAATAATTAAAACAAGAAAGGAGTTGACATGAACATAATTTGTATACATTTGTGTTTTAACATCACATTCGCTTAAAGGAAGACTTGACAACATCTAAATACAAGTTTGCGGACCTCTCCGGAAATCAACTTCCGATAAATTTTAAACTTATAATTGGTCTAAAAATAACTTTGGTAAAATTAACTGATATCCCAAGGGCTGTTTCCCTATCCCTCCCATTATTCTCTCTTGCATAAGGTGATGTTACACGGGACAATTCGCAATGACGATTTCTAGCGCAACGCAACGTTGCTATGTTGGAAGAATGTTGGAACCATTCGAAACAATGTTGCAACGCTGTGTTGCACTAAAAATCTTCGTTGCGAATCGTCTCGAGTAACATCACCTTTAAGGCCGATTTAGACGGCACGGTCATTTGCTTACGACCATCGTGCGCGACTAGCATACGCCATGACTTTCGACCATCCACACGCGCACAATTTTCACTTACGAAATCCACATGTGTCGTACGAATGTCGTGTGTCTAATTCACACAACACGATCTGTCGTGAAGTCATGACGTATGCTAGTTGCACACGATAGTCGAAAGCAAATGATCGTGCCGTCTAAATCGGCCTTTAAACTAAGTCATACGCCTTTCTTACATTTAAGGAGGTATTCATGTAATGCAGAAAAATGTCTCTTCAACTTTGTATGACAGTATACACTATTAAGGTGAGGTTACACGAGCGATTCGCAACGACGATTTTTAGCGCAACACAGCGTTGCAACATTGTTGCAACATTGTTTCGAATAGTTGCAACACTGTTCCAGCATTGCATTGCTGTGTTGCGCTAAAAATTGCGAATCGTCCCGTGTAACATCACCTTTAGTGTAGAAGAAAATCGCACGTTACTTGTATTTTTTTTGGCATGCACCTGTTTTTTCATGTACTTGGTATTAAAGCGATTACAAAACACGGGATTTATCGGTTATTCACACACGGACAGGTGGTCTTAGGGCCTGTTTATATTGAAAAAAGTTGTCAACACTAGCGAGCGTTTATGTTAGAAAAAAAGTTGACCTATTTGCCAAACCAAACCAAGTGAAATCCTTTTACCCGGGATTTCTTTCCATCTCAGCTTGGCCTCCCCACAACAATATTCTCGCCTGGCTGAATGTTTTTGTGACCTCCCAAGTATGTGAGAGACTGGCACAGGCCAAAGCTAAAGCAAAGTCATTAGAAAGACTCTTGGGACAAATTTGCATTTCTTACTGTTTTTGACTGAATAGCACAAGCAAATCTCCTTCCCCCAACCCCTCATACAAGGTTCTGACCATATATCCTCAATTTCTCTGGACCTGATTGCGATAACTTACGATAGCAATGTCCAGGGGTTCCAGCACCATAATACCCTTGTTTGCAGACGCACTGGTATATTCCACTGACCGTACCGCAGGCACAGAAAGCATTAATATCACAGCCATTGGCCGTAGTGCATTTGCTGCTCGTCACTGGCATAAAAATGTTATCGTGGGCATCTGGGAAAAGGAAAATAGCAAATACCCAAGTAAGACAAGGAAGAAAAAAGGTACAACTTTTTCGTTTTTTCTTGGATCACAAATTTGTTATTAGGGAGTTGAAGCAACGACATTTTTGAGCGACGCACGTCAACCGGAAGAAGATTTTTGCAATCTTGGGGCATGATGTTGACCACATTTTTGGGTAAATCGTCTGTATGAGAAAAAAAAAAAAAAAGCAGCTGAGAATACAAAATTGGTAGCGTCATGTCTTGTTGCGAGGGAAAACTACTCACTTTCGGTTAACGTGTGTCGTTCAAAAACGTCTTTGGTTTTAAAATTCTTTATTGGCTACCTAATAAACAAGGAAATAATTGAAGCCTCCATCAGAATTGTAATGTTAATCAGTATTTCTAAAAAAAAAATTGTGTTTTTCACACAAAAGGGTAAAAAAATATTTTTATAGTATTTGTAGCAAAACCAAATTGCAACTTTTCAAAACTTGAAAAAAATCCCTGTAATTTAATCTCTTTACGTGCCACTCCGTACACTTACAGACCCTGCGTGATTTTTGTTTTGTATTTCTAGAGGAGCCACTTTTTCAGCCCTTTCTCAATAGATTTGTTTGAACTTAAAACGATAACAGCTTTTGTTGTGCCTTATGAGATATGAATCTGTCAATGTTTGATCTACAATTTTTCAAACCGATTTAAAAGTCGGTTTGATGGAACTAAAAAGTCTTTAAAAGGTTGTTATAGTTATTTTGAGCTAGCCTGTGTACAGACGGCTATTTTGAGCCATTTTAAAAGACATTTATAGTTTGTTTACATCCATCTAGTACCATATTCTGTTATAGTTGTTCAGTCTCTTACCTCTTATCGAAAAATACTTAAAAAGCGTTTAATAAAATACCATGTATTTTATAGTATTAAGGAAATCTATATAAAACACCAACACATCAAATAGAACAAAATGTTTAAGAAAGAAAATCTTAACATTGCTTAAAAAAATTGCTTAAAAAAGACCCTAAGTTAACGCCAACTAGTAAACTACTATCGCACACAAAAACTAAATCAATTGTAAAAATAATGATAGTAATAATAAATAAATACTCTTTTTTCAAATACAGTTATTTTTTGGCGAAAAAAGAAAGATGAATGTGGTTAATTAGAACATGAATTCATATGCCTTTTAAACAGTAAAGATCTTTTTATGACACAGTTTCCAGGGATGCGTTTCAGTTTTTTTAACTTTTGAGTGCTTAACCGAGATACATTCCTGAATCTTCCTTTGCTTACCGTATACCAATTACTGACAGAGGAATTCGGTTTAGGCCCCATCGTTTAGAGTGAATCCATTTTAGCATCCTCAAAGGCTTACTTTATTACAATACTTTGACACGGAAACCGATGCGTACGCAGACCTACTCTTAGGCAAATTTTACCTGTGTTGAAATAAAAAAAATGTTGGTGGGCTGCTTTTCATTGAATGTCGACGAAAAAATCAACTGATTTTTATGTTCTAACTGAACGCAATACCTTTCAAGGGTAGGTGTTTTATTGGTATGAAATGAAATAAAATAAAATAAAATGGCATGGAACAAAATAATCTTGAATAAATAATCTGTAAAAGCTTTTATTAACAATATTTCACAACTAACGATGCGAATTGACGTAACGTTAGAGAAAGGGGAACACAATATACGCCGAGTATTTTTAAAATGTATTAGTAACATTTCCTACCTCCTCTGATATACAATGCAAGTTCTCGGAAGTTCGTAAAAGTTGCAAACTCGAGAACATGGTCACTACTGGTCGCTAGTGCTTTCAACTGCCAATCACTATAACCATCTACACCTACTGCGAAGAGATCCACATTATAGTTATTTTTCAGTATGTTAGCGTTATCCCTTGGGTCCCCATAATTCCAATAACCGTCGGTGATCAACATGGCGACTGTGTGCACATTCAATCTTTTGTGGTTGTTGTTGATGGCGGTTTGCAGGAGGCTGGAGCTCGTGGAGAAGGCTTCTTTCATATTAGTTGCCCAGCCATATCGGTGGACAACATTGTACTGGAAGAAGGGCTTGAACTCGCACTTTTGATGTGTAAGTGATAACGGATCGATATCAATGTAGTTGATATTAGTCTGAATATATCTGCCGAATGTTATTACCGCTACTCTCGTCGAGTAAGGAGCAACACTGAATTCATTGAGGAGATTCTCGACAAACATCTTCTCTGACGCAAAGCCATAGTCGCTGACACTGCCAGATACATCCATTAAGAAAATTATGTCCGACTGACTGTTGTTGTATTTTGCCTTAAAATCACTAAGAATTTTTGCCTCATTTTCAAAAAGGCCACTTACACTTCTGCCAGCGAAGAAAACCGCAAAAACTACGGGGATCAACAAAGATCCCATCTTTTTTTCCGCTAAGAGAGGCTAAGTTGGTCTCAGCGGGTGAAATTAATAAAGTAAGGTTCTCTCTTCGCTATATTTCTAATTACTCAGTGTGAGTAACTAATGACTAATTAATTCCGAGTTCAAGTTTGCACACCTGTTGAACTGATGATATCGAATGGGATGCAAAATCTACAAAACGTTTATCACGCCTTAACAACAGCTGTCTACGTGAGACTGTTTCTCAGCTTCCACTGCCAAAAAAGTGCGGCTTATACTTTTAAATCTAAAATAATCACAAAACGAAGGCCCTAATAAACACGTATGGAACTAAAGGGCAGAGGAAACGTGAAAATGAGAGATATTCTTATGTTTCTGATATCCGCTATTAATGATGATTGGCTGATGATATATAGTCTGACCATTTCTTTCAATAAATTATTTTACGAATTCATATTCCATCCTAATGAGCCTTATTGTGTTTGGTATTCACGTTTGGGAAAGACAAGAATTGCTCATATATGTAACACCGTATCTCAATTTTTTCACGGTTTTTTTAATTAGTTTACTGAGCTGTTCACCTGTGTAACCAGTAATCAGTTTTGAGATAATACCCATTTAGAAACGAAGCATGAAATTGGCGAAAGAGATTTAGGTTTGAATCAAATTTTATGTTATTCATGATGTACTTTGGGACAAATAACTGGAGACTTCTAAGGCTACTAGGACGAACTGAGCTAAAAAAAGCGAAAGATCAATGTCAAGGACCAAAAAGGAATTTTCTGGCTTAAGACTTCGCTGTGTAATTTACAATACAAGTTGAAAAGAAGAAACTCCGCAGTTTCTCGCGCTTAAAAAAGGATATTTTGCTCCTCATCTCGAATTTATCTGAAGGTCAGAGACGTATTTGCACTAACTAGTTTTCAAGACTATTTTGTTTTTTTTTTATTCATCGTCATCCGTAAGCTTTTTTAAACAAAAAATCGTGTTTTAAAATTCATTTTAACCAGGATGTTTTTATTGTCCAGGAAAAGAAGAAGCACTTTCTGTTGTAAATTAGGCTTGCACAGGACGTTGCCAAACTTGCTGCTAATATATAACTAAGCGCCACCTGGGTCGCTTTCATTTGCGCGTTTTGCCTGGAGTATATTGATCACCTCATGATCGGTCTGAAGTGCACTCCGTCGTATGAAAACTATTCGAATACAGAAAATGCAACTCCTGTGAGGCTACATAAAGGGGCATTTTATGTCAGCGCATACCATTAAAAATGTCAGGAACTTGCTCCCGGAGTAAGTGTGCTACAATTATTTCAAGAGTGCGCTTTGGATATGAGATGGGTGATAGCCAACGAGGCGCGTAGTGATTAGAAAAATGTGTACATTTTATATATTTGTATATTAATTAATTCCTGCTTAATTGTATGGGAAGAATTTTCTGAGGCTAAAGATTCCATTATGAGAAAAAGTATATTTTGAGGTTTGCGTTTTTAAAACATATCTGTTGACTGCAAAATAATAATAATAATAATAATAATAATAATAATAATAATAATAATAATAATAACCAATAATAAATAGATAAACGATTTATTCCTCGAGATTCAAGAATCCGTTCTAGTAAGACAGAGGCTTTCTTTATTTCTAGTCCACTATATAAGGACAGTTCACATCTAAGCTCACTCAATATGATTCCATAACTTCTTGCTTTTCACTGGTATCACGCAGAAGGAGTTTAATAATAACGACTCAAAATACTTTATTAAAATCTTATAAAAAACTGTACACAAAACTTCAGTAAAATATTCATAGACAGAAAATGTCAATATCAATACAAAGTTCCGGCAAAACCCCTTTGCAATTCATAATTCCAAGAAATCTCATAGAGTTATACAAAGAAATCAAGTGAAAAGTCCCAGTGGATGAAATAAACGTCAATGCGCTAATTCTAATAATACGGATAAGACTCTGATCCATAAGGTGAGATATAAATCTATTGCTGTTCATTTTCCGTTCCAATTTCCCGATAAGAAGATGTAAAGGAGTTTACCTTCATAGAAAATATGTAATATTTAATGGAGGCAATTTAAAATTGTCTCTTATGCCGAACATCTTGGGCAATGGAAACAAAATTTAAATAAACTAATTTTAACTGTTCATTGGTTCATTCGGTGCCCAATTTTCACATAGACCATAATGCATCTTGTTTACCCCCCAAATTATGCATAACCACCGTTTGCAATTAACTCCTGAGTATTACAGCAGTTCCAAGAGAAATCGAGGACAATGGTTATGTTCTATGTAAAAATGGTTAATTCTTAAAATTCCGAATTTTCTTGTAAATCTTAAAATCTTAGATTTTTTGATTTTTCGAATTTGAAGTACGTTTTCAGTTTTATCATCTTGTATTTAAACCTTAGGCCCATTTCAAACGTCGTGCTAACGCCGTGCCGAACTCAGTTGATCGAATTAAATTCGACTTTAGCAGGGCAGTAGCTCGACTTGGTTTCAAACGCCGTGCTACCGCCCGGCCGAACTCAATTCATGAATTATAAATATATTAGAATACATTTGAAAGTTTGCTAAACCGTTTCTTTATTTTTGTGTTTTGTTTTCTGCAACAAGCGTTCTATTCGACTAAATTAAATTAGACGTCTGAAACCAAGTCGTGCTAGTGTCATGCTGCAGTCGAGCTACAATCGAGCCAGTTTAGCACGGCAGTACCACGACGTTTGAAACAGGCCTTAGTTAGATTAGAATGTATTAAACATGTGTTATTCTTTCCTGTTTTATCATACCCATCAATCAGCTTTACTGCTTTAATACTGATCGTGTTTAAATCAAGGATAATCAGTCAATCAATCATACATTCATTCATTAAGGAAAAAAAGACATCCAAATCTACAAGACGCTTTAAACGCCTTACTTTTCTTCTAATTATAACAATTATATTGGAAAAACTCTTTGAATTTCGATTGGTCTGTTTAACCATAGTTATTAGAGGAGACTGGTTATGAAAAGCGGCAAACATCAATGATAAAAACAACAGTGCTGCAGTTTATGTTCAAAGCACCGTGAAAGTGCACAATCCTTTGTTTTCTGTTGGCAAATTGTTACGGAATAAATTAATGCAACGTTTTTATTGGTCAATACAATCAAAATGATAGGAATTCTTTTGAACGTTGTGCACTTTCAGGTCCACAAAAACATATAACAAAGGAGTCTGACGGGTTTCATAACCATTCCACTCAATTAACTATGGTTTAACAAATCCTGAACAATTTTCCATGGTTTGTACTCTTATCATCCATAGAAATAAAGTCAAAATGTTTAAAACTCAAGTGGAACTTCGAGCCTGTTTTTGTTTGTGATATTGAAGTGTATTGATAAGTGAGTACACTACAATATACAATATTAAAAAACAAAGAATGACATTACAAACTAAAATAAAAGGAACAGACAAGATTTAACTGTTATACAGGATGTTGCAATTATTAATTACAAAAAATGAATAGTTAAATAGATGAATTAAAAGATAACAAAATTACAGAAATAGCTAAACATGTACAAGTCAAGCTTGTTTGCAGCTAAAGGCTCAAGGATTCACGGACACTTGAAGGCTCTATAGATAGCTTGTATTTCAGTTATTGTGAAAATTATACCTGTGTGTAATGAAAACAATCTGTTCACTTTGCGGATCAGTTGCTGTTGTAACGAACCTCAGAACCGAATTGCCATTTTCTACTAAATTAACCTCAAGGTTTCTTCAGTCCAGTGTTGAAAAGATGCAAGGCTGTCAGTTGCCGTCATCGAGCTTAGTTACCAGGGAGCTTAGTCAACACGGACGGTGACGCCTGCGAAAACGTCACTAAAAAGTGAACTCGCCCTGCTTCAAACTTTATTTCGCAAATTTTTCTGGATTTGAATCTGTATGGAAGTTTAGGAAAATAAAAAGAAAGTCGTTCTTTTGTGTTCACGTCCTCTACAAAACGTGAAATTGGGCATTTTCATGTCGTAGTCGTGCAGTGACGGCAAAAAAAAAAAAAAAAAAAAAAAAAAAAAAACAGGCACAAAAACGTCATGTACGAACAAAATTGCTGTTTTATAGCTTTTTTGCCGTTCCGGTTACCGTCGCTGTCGTCTTTGCTAAAGCTCCCTACTATTTTTTGGTTCATTCTGGCAACTCAGGCAAGGAATAATTTTTTGTCTGTCTTTTTGCGTTTGAGTCCGTAGGCGAAATGGTCGCGGGAAAGACTTAAATATATTGCCATGACAATGTAAGATTTAGAATGTTTCTATTTATGTGCATCTTTAAAATGGTTTGTGTCCTGGCTGTTTTGAATACAAATGAGTGCACATTTTAAAACGATGTTACGGAATGAAGAAAGTTAATTATCTTTTTTACGCTTTAAAATAACGGCAATGCTATTATCGTCAGCAAATTTCCAAACTTTGCCTTCGGTGCGGTTCAGCAAGTTCATTGGATGCTTGAATTGTGCGAGTTAGTTATTTCAATTTAGGATTTAGCTCTTTTCCCTCGAAAACCCTCACGAATCCTTCCCCTCCTTGGCCTCCTACAGTTGCTCAAACATATCTCCCCTCTGCCTAGCCCCAAGCACCCAACTTCCCATTGCCTAGTTCCGTTGCATGCAATTCCATTCTGCACTCCTCAACTCGCCTCACCTCGCCTCTTCGAACTCTGTTGCGCGTAAGGCCTCGACGCATATGAAGTTTACATATTAATTTTAACTTTAAATCTACTTATATTTGCATTAGCTTTTCTCGCAAGATGAAGAGTATTTCTTCACATCGCAATAAGACAGAATACTATTTCAACTTTTTTGCCGCTTTTGACTTTGTTAAGCCATTAATTTGGAAATCTACGCTTTGTAATAGAGCACTCAGATCATGTTCACACCATACTAGATACCTCAGTTATTTTCACTTAATTTCGCGATTCTCGCGATTTGGGAAAACGTGCGAAATTTAATACTCGCGAAGATAATAATCGCGAAATTTAAAAATTTCGCGATAGTAAAATACCGAACCTTTCCTCCTG